CCAAAGAAAGACTCAATTTAAAAGCGCAATGTCAATACAAAATTCAAAAAGCGGTTATTTTTCAACTATACAAGAATATATGGTTGCTGATATATACATATATAAACTGAAGTAGCATTTACCTCTTGGTTAATTGAAGATCACTTGATTGCCTGTTATCGATTTTTTTCTCTCTAATATTGAAAGTGTCACTTTCTATCTCTGACTCTGATTCTCTCTCCCTCCCTAAAACAAACACTTCCCTTTTTCTTGGTTTTTCAGTGCTTGACGAACAAAGCAGCTGGCTATAGCTATTTTGCAGCTGCGCAAGCAACCCGTGGATTCTTAAATTGAACGTTAATAATAATTTATTGATTGGAAATGTCGATTTTATCCATGATAAATCTCTGCATTCGCCCGAGGTGAATTTACAATCCCAACTTACGGAAATGCCCTTGATTTTGTTAAATTAACCAATAGATATGAAGAAACGTGTTGGGCTGTGACAGCACGTTTATCCTTTTTACGGAATATAATAAAAGATGCCATTTATACTAGTATTATTCCATATTCAAAATATTATATTCCTAGATTTCCAATCTTTCTTGCAAGGGAACAACTAACGAAAAACTATTTTCCTAGATTTGCACTATTTCTTGCCATCTAGCATTGCTCCACTGTGGTAAAAATTTTTATCACAGCTTGTGTGAGGCTCAACAAAAATTTAAAGATGTGCATTTACTTACTTGCTCCACATATGTATATTCGCATGTACACATTTGTACGTTCATATTCATAACCCTGATTCCACTCCTCCTCTTTTCTTTTTTTTTTTTTTTTCTCTCTTCCAATGGCGAAAATTAATCTTCATTTATAACCCTAATAACAATCTATCTCTCAAAATATAAAATCTGATAAAAATTTTATCTTTCATTTGTTTGAATAAGCTAAAACTCTTATAAATTTAAGTCACATTTGTTTAACACATTATCTCTTAACTCTCTCAAGCTTAAAACTAAGCAACAAGAGCTATTGATTTGAGTCACAATTTTCTATCTAGTTTAAGATAAAAAAAAAATTAAATCGTGATTTGTATGAATTATGAATATATAAGTATATACATAAGAGTGTGCATATACATAAGGATAAAAGAGAAATATGTATGCACATATGATATGACGCAACTAAGTAAATGCGTTTTTAGAGATTGTAGTTGAGCCTGATACATGTGCCAAAAATCTTTGCCGAAACAAAAAAAAAAAAAAAAAGGCCCAAATAATCTTTTGCCGAAATCAAAAAAAAAAAAAAAAAATCAATTATGTAATTACTGACTAATTAAAATGGACAATAACTAAAAGTTGAAAATTTAATTCTGTGTCTCCAATTCAAAAATGAAAATTAATTAATGAAAAGAAAATTTCGTTTGGCTTAATAAAAAAACCAAAAAGATTGTATAGACTAATTAATTTAAAAACTCATAACTTTCTTTTTCTAACGCATGGCTTTAAAAATCCTGTAAGTTTCATAATTCTTAAAAAAAAAAAAAAAAAAAAATCAATATGTAATTACTACTAATAGAAATGGACAATAACTTAAAAGTTGAAAATAATTCTGCTCAATTCAAAATTGAAAATAATTAAGAAAAGAAAATTTGTTGGCTTAAAAAAACAAAAGATTGTAGACAATAATTTAAACTCATACTTCTTTTTCTACGCATGGCTTTAAAAAATCCTGAAGTTTCATAATCTTTCATTTTCAAGAGCTTGCATACATCCAAGGGCAGGGTCACTTCTTGTCCCCGTAATAATAGGTAGAAATCTCGATTAATGCTAAGTATATACTAACATACTTTCAGAGTAAAAAATAAAAAAGAAATAAAAAAAGAAACTGAATTGATCTCCAAACTTCCAGAGGGCTGTAGAAAAGGATTTACTCAAGTCTGTTCACTGCTTCAGCTATATATATATATATATAATTTTAGCATCAAGCTGTGAATTAATTCTGCTCGCAAAAATATTTCTAGTGGATCTTCTATCAAGAACCAGCATTTTGTTGGCCCAAACAAAATTTGTCCTTGTCAATGCAACTTGCTTACGTTAAAAAAAAGGTTGTTCGCCATTCCCAGTATGGCATCAAGCACAATATTTTGCTCAATTCCGAAACCAATGAAATCTTAAATTTTAATATTAGGGTTCATGTTAAGAAATTGAAAGCTAAATTTCAACCAAAGCAAGTTGAAATAAAAAATTCTGGACCATTAAAGAAGATAAACAATCTGAAACAAACACGGCTTTATACTTATTAATAGATTGCGTGTAACATAACAATCAATCACCATTATTGAAAATTACTACAATTTTTTATTTCAAACATAGCGCCACAGAGCTACAGGTCTTTTTTCTTGGGTCTACCTAATCCATACGTGACCGTCGACGTTAATGGACATCTCCGTCACCTAAACCCACTGACTATTGGTATTAGGGGCCCATAATTAAAGAGGGCAAATTGGCGACAATGATACAAAATTCACTGTCTTCACTACCGTGGCACTGCAGTAACTTCCTGTCTTTAGGAGGGCTATTATCGTAATAACAATGGTTTTTATATTTAAAACTTTTATTATTAAAGGCACCCGCGTCTGCTGGAGAGAAAGCATATTCGCATATCCAAAAAGAATGATCCTTAACGTGAAGCGTATATTCTCTGTCCAAAACAGGAAGATACCGAGCCCACAATCGGTTTGCCAAAACGGGACCCGCAGGGCGACGTCGATGCCCGGAGTTCCATGACATGGCAACATTAACGGATCGTATTCGATGATGATGGAAAGAGTGAGGTACACGTGGCACTCAATGGTTGTCTGTGTCAAAGCGCCATGCCGCCACATACATAATAAGATTGCAATAGCTTTTAAGAAAGCGCAAGGAAACTTCTTTTTCTGGCTTTTGTTTGAATCGTCGGCTTTGGTATGGCGGTTGTTTCATTGAACTGAGGACAGGGAGATATTATTTTCACCAAGAAAGTTCATAGGATTGGAACTTGGAAGTATTGCAACTGTTTTTGATAAATCGTTTAGTTCATCTTCATTTTAAAAATTGAGGATAATGTCTCCGCAGGATAAGGTTTTGTTTTTTTTTTTTTTCTTATCTTGTGTTATGATGGATTATGCAATCAAAAAGTTTTAAAAAATCATAAAATTTAAGTATTAATCCTTCCTTTTATTTATTTAAAGTTAAATATTTTGAAATAAAATTATAAATTGATGAACTATATAATAAAAATAGTCTCAGAATTACAATGTTATTACGAAAACGACAAATGTTATTGAAAAGGAAAAGCTGTTCCAGCGTGGCATACATATTCTCTACATTCATTGATTAAAAAAAAGAAAAAAACTCTCTGTTTTGAATGATACTCTTTCAGGCTGCAACTTCAAGATAACTAATGTGAGAGAGAACAATTTTTTAAACATTTAATGTCTGATAATTCTGATAATACAGAAAATGTATTTTTAATTTTGTTGCATGATATTATAATTATATATGCTCGTCCTATTGATCAATCTTTTTGAGATGAGAATTATTAATGTTGAATGATGGCTTATTAGAAGGCTAACTCACTAACTCAGATATAAATTATAATAGTATGTAATTAAATAATAAACTTTTTTTTTATTTGGAGTCACTGAGAGTCTCAATAAGTTAAAATGTAGACTACACAATAGAATAATCCTCATATCTGACTCAATAAATGAGTGAGAAACTTTTATTATAAAATATTCGAACTCGAATCACAAGCGTTATAATAAATGAAAAGATCAACTCGATTGCATCTAATTAACAAATAATAAAACTTTTGAATTTATAAACAGTGATTGTGACATATTTTTTGATATACTATTAAAAGGACAAAGTATCGAATCACAAGTGTTATAATAAATGAAAAGATTAATTCGATTTATAATTAATAAATAATAAAACTTTTGAACTTGCAAACAATGGTTGTAGCATATTTTTCGATGTACCGTCAAAAGGACAGAGTAGGGACCGCATCAAAGAAAGTATCGTAAATAGCGTCCGGAATCGTAAATGACTTGCATAATCTGGTGGCCGGAGAGGCCTAAAAATAATAAAATCTCAAATATCATCATGAATGGAAAACCAATAATTGAAATAAAAAGAAAAAAAAGATAGTGGATAACGTCACTGGCCAACATTATACTATTCTGATTTTTAATCTTAAGCAAACAACTTAATCAAGTTACTCAACTTGGCTATTGTTATTTAATATATTTAATTAACACTATTAGCTCGATAAAAATATTATAAAAAATATATAACAAGTTTCCAAAATGAGAAGTAACATTAAGCATGCATATATGCTTTTGATATTTAAATGACATTGGAATTTTAAGTAGTAGTGTGTTTTTATTTTAGTTGGTCCACGTATTGATATAATCTGATTTCATGAGTAATTATTTGATTCGGATAGGATTTTAAAATATAATAATACAAGTAAAGGGTTTTCAAAATGTCAAACAATAATATATAATCTTACCTCTAATTAATGAACCATAAAAGAAGTGGATGTGCTGTGCAGTGTGCGCTTCACTTGTGCCGATTCAAGCCGCAAAACCAGGACCCCAAAGCCCAAACCATTTGTGGCTTTTGGATGGTAATTGGGTTAGTTACTGGGTTTACTTTCCAAATTTTGCTCATTGTACCTGCCTACTGGGTTGGATTTGTTCTCAATCAAAAATTATGTTTTTATATTGTATTTTTATTTTATTTTATTTGGTTAAGGTTGCGGCAATTATTATTATTTGATATTAAAATGTGAAAACATGAATTATGAAACTTCCTTTATATGAATTTCATATATGTTGTTTTTGTCTGTAAATTATTGAGAGTTGTTTAGTTTGCTTCCTCTCTCAATTACTCTGTATTTTTTCCTTAAAATTACTTTTAAGGTTCTAAAAGGATTTACTCAAAAGCGGAGATAAAAAAACTCAGGGGATTGAGTTTTCCTCTTGTGGAAAGCAAAACATAAATCCATTTTCAGATATATATCAGGCTCTAACTTGTCATTAGCAAAATAACAACACTTTCAGATATTTAACTACCCACAGTAGGTCAGTCCTATTTATTTGCCAAAATAGTTAATCTACTAAGATAACCCTGCACAAAAACCCATTTAACCGAAAGCTCAAACACCAGTCTCCTTTCTACTCAACCTTAACATGGAACACATCAGACCTCTCGTCCTCCTTCACCTTGGGCACAATCACCTTCAACACGCCGTTTTTCATCTCCGCTTTGATCTCATCAGTCTTATACAATTTCTCCGGTAGATCAATCCTACTGGTGTACCTCCTGCCGCTCTCTTCCTCATCTGATTCCTTCTCTCCCTCGCCTTTGATGATTAGAGTGTTCTGTTCCACGGAGACCTTCACATCTTCTTTGCCTAGTCCTGGCATGTCAATCCGCAGATTCAGAGCATTATCGGTCTCACGAACGTCGAAGCCTCTGCGAAGTCCGGATCCAATTCCTCTGGAGGAAGAGAATAAAGGATTGTCCATGAATTGGTCCACCATGTTGAGCACTTGGCTCAGGCTCCTGCTTGGCAAGAATGGGTCCACCACATCTGCACGCGTACAATAGATAAAACGGAATTAGTAAAAGGACAGACTTTATCCTGTTTGATCATATAGTATACCTTGTTTGGTTACAGAGAAAGCAGGTAAAAAAAATCCTAAATTGAGAAAATTTCAAATTGGTGCAAGAAACCGCAAAATCAGTCACGAAGAACAAATACATGTAAAACCGTAATATGACCTCATTCCTTTCTTTCCCTTCCTTTTCAAATGGACAAACAAAGATCTCTTTTCAGTGTTTCATAGAGTATGGGCTAAGAAGACGACTACCTGAGAAGAAATCATCTCGATGGCGGGACAGAGAGCGACCCGAACGGCGATCAATTTCACTACCACGCTCGTTGTCATCATTGTCGAACTCGCGGAGAGCATTGGTGTTGAAAAGGCGAGAGCCCGTTGGGGTCGTGGCTACTGGGCGGATCAATCGGAGAGAAGAGGGAATGAGGTTTGAAGAGACAAGCCTTTTAAGAGCAACCGAGTACGCCATTGTTTAGAACTTGAGAAATGAGAAAAGAAGCTTAGTTAATGAGAAATTGAAATCTGGTTTTCAACAAGACGCTGAGAAATGTCTTGATGATTGAAGAAGAAAGGATGGGCTTTTATTTAGGAAATTGGAAGGGGAAATTATAAGATTTTTTCATTTGGAAGGTACTAGAACAGATCATTGAGTGGGGAAGAAGACAGAAAATTCTAGAAAGTATATTATCCGAGAATTCCCGAAGGCAGGGACTGGACTCTGGAGGCGAAAATTGGACGAGCAAGAAAACAACTTGTCGTCGAGTTAAACCAGATTCGGAGAAACGACAAACCGTATCAAACAATGACTGGTAGTTTGGTATATAATAAATGGTGGTAGTAAATAATAAATTGCGTTTTTTACCCCTTATCACTCGATTTGCCTAGTGGTTAAATAATAGTAATAATAAGTTGTGTATATGGTTAACTATATGCAAGTTTCAGGTACGTTTTCGGCGGTTAACCAGAAACAAATGAAACACTCTCTAATCACCGTAAAACTTAAACTCTTTGCGATTGTTTAATTCCTACCCCAAAATCTTTGAAATCTCAAACATTTACCCCTTTCCGCGAATAAGCAACTTATTTTCTTCCTCATGACTGCTCAACCTCGAGCAAGTAGAGTCACCGTATACTGAGCAAAGATGATGCTGGATCTAGGTCCATTTTCGGACGAGAAATTCGATCCTAAGAAATGGATCAACTCTGCTTGCAAAAGTCGCCACCCGCAGGAATCGTTGGACAAGCACTTGGTGGATCTCGAAATGAAGCTTCAGATGGTCTCCGAGGAGATCGCTGTCTCTCTCGAAGAGCAAAGTGCCACTTCTCTCCTCCGTGTCCCGCGTGCCACTCGCGATGTCATTCGCCTCCGTGACGACGCCCTTTCCCTTCGGAATTCCGTCTCTTCAATTCTCCAGAAGCTCAAGAAGGTTAGCTCTGCCTTGTTTAGTGGAGATGCGTGCAGGATTAATTTTTTATGTTGATTTGATCTAATCTGGTTAGTCTTCTGGGAGACGATCAAAATCTGATAGTAGAACATTAAGATTTAATGTTACGTGCTTATCCAAAAAACCATCATCGATGATCCTAATTGTGATATCATAAATAAATTTGGTTTCGTGTTAAGGCGGAGGGGTCCTCGGCGGAATCTATAGCTGCACTTGCTAAAGTTGATACTGTCAAACAGAGAATGGAAGCCGCGTATAGGACTTTGCAGGTAAATTTTGCTACTATTCCTGAAAGTGAATTTATATCATGAATGTAATTTGGACATGATACTTCTTCTATTTCCATTTCGTCACATCAGGATGCAGCTGGTTTAACTCAATTAAGTTCAACTGTAGAAGATGTGTTTGCTAGCGGTGATCTTCCTCGAGCTGCAGAAACTTTGGCCAACATGAGGCATTGCTTGTCTGCCGTAGGGGAGGTAAGTATTTTAGCAGATTGTATATTTTTGCCTGCACTGTGTTTGTTAATCATCAATTTTTATTGTTTTCTTCATTTGTAATTTATTTTGGATTAACTATATCCATTAGGTTGCTGAATTTGCTAACGTGAGGAAGCAACTTGAGGTCTTAGAGGATAGGTTGGATGCAATGGTACAGCCTCGTCTGATGGATGCATTGTCCAATCGCAAGGTCATACATTGTTGCAAAATCTGGTTTGGCTACTGATTGTTTTTTGTTCCTTGTGTTCCTTGCTACTTTTTATCTAGAGATATGATAAATTGTTTTGATCTCAACCATTTACTATGAAGCAGGTTGATATTGCACAAGATTTGCGGGGAATTCTCATTCGAATTGGAAGATTCAAGTCTCTAGAGATGCATTATACAAAAGTTCACCTAAAGCCCATAAAACAGCTTTGGGAAGATTTTGACTCGAGACAACGAGCTAATAAGGTTGCGAGTGAGGAGCATGAAATGGAAAGGCTATCGAGCAACACTGATTTGCATACAATTTCATTCTCAAGTTGGTTGCCTAGTTTCTATGATGAGTTGCTTCTCTATCTTGAACAAGAATGGAAGTGGTATGGTTTGATTTTTCTTTTCCCATATAATAATGCATTTATCAACCACAAAAATGTCAGCTAGGCTAATATATGATATATGCTGCTATTATCAATATTATCTAAACCAGATTTTGAAATTTTGTCAATGTGTTGTTAAAACAAGAAGCCAGGCTAGAAGTTGTTCCATAGTGGTCTATTGTAGTTTAATGGAAAATGACATTATTTGGTTTGTCTGACATATGGATTAGTCTCTGAAATTCCTCAATCTGCATTAAAAAATTGGATGGTTACTCTCGGTAATAGAATCTGATTCTAGAATCACCACTTGACTTACTTTGTGAAAATGCTTTTTAACTCTAGGGATGTATTGAACTCTAGTTTACTCTTGATCTGTTATTACGACAAAGTATGCCCTCATAAATCTATTAGTGTAAAACCTATTTCTTATTAGATAGTGGATCTTATATTTGTCAAAGCACACTCTTGTTGCCTTTGATGACATATCAATGCCTTCTCATTGTTCATTTTTATTATTTCCTTTTGTTGAACAATTTACAGGTGTATGGTTGCTTTTCCTGATGATTACAAGAGTCTTGTACCAAAGCTACTGATTGAGACAATGCAAGCTATAGGGGCAAGCTTTGTTTCCCGTGTCAATCTTGCAACTGGAGATGTTGTTCCTGAAACAAAAGCACTTGCCAAAGGTTTAATGTCACATCCTTTTACAATAATAATAATGTTCTATATTATATAATCGGAGGAGACCTTCTAATTCTCATTTATTGCTGCTATTTTATGATTTCTCAATGCTGATTTAGGCAAAATTTTCTTTCATGCATGGAAATAGTAGCTGTTGAGCACTAGGCATCTGAGTTCTTAAGAGCTGATTTAGTAAAGTAAGATAACTCTCCTGTAGATCTTACCTCTGGTTTTAGGGAATGATCTTGAAGAAACAAAACACTTTATCCTTTTGAAGATTCTGAGTGGCTTCTTCCGCTGCTCCATGACTGTAGAATTCTCTCCTGAAATGTTTGAACAATGCTGGGTTAGGCACAGTTTAGGAGGTACAACTTAAAGTAGTGTCGGATAACTTGATGGTTGGTATATAGGTCAAAAGCACAGTAGAAAATATATTCTTTGAAACTGATGTGTAGTTTTATATGACAAATAATTTTTTATTCTAATGGTTACAAGTCAGTATGGGTCTTGATTCAAGCTCTTTATCACCAGAAAACATCACTATGTTATAATTATAGGTTGTGGAGCATAAAATATTCACAATAGTATTTGTAATTTTATGTTGACATTTGTGTGCTTGCAATTTTATGTTAAATGCCGTTTTAATTTGAAAATGGATATATGTTTTTGGCAATTGAATCTTTTTTATTGTTTCCGTATGTTCCTTTTTTTTAGGTATATTAGACATTTTATCTGGAGATATGCCTAAGGGTATCAAAATTCAGACTAAGCATCTTGAGGCCCTTATTGAATTGCACAACATGACGGGGACATTTGCAAGGAATATTCAGCACGTATTTTCAGAATCTGAACTTCGAGTTTTATTGGACACTCTGAAGGCTGTTTACCTTCCCTATGAATCATTTAAGCAGAGGTGACCAACTGTAAATCAAAACTGGATGCTTCCTTTTGGTTAATTGATTCATATGGAGCACAAGAATAAAAACTTATTTTGGAATCTGGATCAGTTTAATTTGAAAAGGAATTAGTAGTGATGCACCATATTTTCTTTTTGAGCATGGCTTATGTGAACACTGTGATGCCAAATGTTTTTTTGTTTATGAGAAACGGAAGTGTGAAATGTGAATGTGGTCTCAGTCACATACCTCAAAGGCAATTTGTAAATGCACAATTGCACACCTGCACCTAGTTTTGCATATAAAAATCTGTCAATATTTCTCAATTGTCCACAAAGCCCCTCCATCACTTCCTTTTTGTGAACTTGTCGTAATCTGTCTATATTTAGCTTGATACCCAAAAAAGCAGTGCCATGTCACCTACTATGTCCATCACTAGTATTACTGTATTTGAATAGGTCAATATTTTGGCCATCACAGATAGCAGGTTCATCTTTTCAATGTTCTGAGATAGTCACTAAATCTGGTTCTATGTATTTTTGGTTGTATCAATGATGGTTCAAATATTGCAAACCCCATTTCAGACCTGCTTCACATATGCCTCTTGATTAATCACCAAGAATGTTTGCTGGTGTTTTCCTCTAGTTGACAAAGGATTAAATGTGGTATAGGTATGGACAGATGGAACGGGCCATCCTGTCTTCTGAGATTGCAGGGGTGGACCTAAGGGGAGCTGTCACTCGTGGTGTGGGAGCACAGGGAATTGAACTGAGCGAAACAGTTAGGAGAATGGAAGAGTCTATTCCCCAAGTTATCGTACTTCTTGAAGCAGCTGTTGAGAGGTGCATTAACTTTACGGGTGGCTCTGAGTCAGACGAGCTAATTCTTGCCCTTGATGACATAATGTTACAGTATATTTCTTTCCTGCAAGAAACCCTTAAATCACTAAGAGCTGTCTGTGGATTGGATAGTGTTGGTGATCCAAAGAGGGATGTGGGTTTAGAGAAAAAGGAAGGGGGCCAAAATGTACGCAAAGGTGACTTGGTTTCAAATGAAGAGGAATGGTCCATTGTCCAGGGGGCTTTGCAGATACTAACTGTTGCAGATTGTCTAATGAGCAGATCCTCTGTCTTTGAAGCTTCCTTGAGAGCTACTCTGGGGAGACTGAGCACAACTTTGTCTCTTTCAGTATTGGGATCCAGTTTGGACCAAAACCAGTCACATGTTGCTGCTAATGATGGAAATGGGGAACCATCTTTGGGTGGAAGGGCTGCTTTGGATGTGGCAGCTGTCAGGCTTGTTGATGTTCCTGAGAAGGCTCGGAAACTTTTTAACCTTTTAGATCAGGTATATGAGTTTCCTATATTTGTATTCCTCTCTCTCCTGGGAAAGCTCATGCATATGCCAGAGTGATAGCCTTGCAGTAATTTCTTTTTTGCCTTGTATTTAAATTGTTTTTCGGATTTGGCAATCTTTTTCTTTGGTTTTAAGACCCTGTTTTTTTGCGTTTGCTGGTTCAACAATGCGCAGACCATAACAGTGAAATCATTTGTGTTGTCTTGCAGTCAAAAGATCCTCGGTTTCATGCACTTCCAGTTGCATCACAGAGAGTTGCAGCATTTGCTGACACAGTGAATGAACTTGTATATGATGTCCTTATATCTAAAGTACGGCAACGCCTCAGTGATGTGTCTCGTTTGCCTATCTGGTCCTCAGTAGAGGAACAGAGTGCTTTCCCTCTTCCAACCTTTAGCGCTTATCCACAATCATATGTAACCAGTGTTGGTGAATATCTTCTAACTCTGCCCCAACAGTTGGAACCCCTTGCTGAGGGTATATCTAACAGTGATGCAAACAATGATGAAGCCCAATTTTTTGCAACTGAATGGATGTTTAAGGTAACCATCCTATACTGATCCTGACTATATGCTGATCTGATAAGTATCAAAAACTCCACTCTTTTGAGAGTTTGGTGAACTAATCTACCGAAGGCAGGAATAAATGAATAAGCTTGTTAAAAGATGCATGAATTAGATAGGAAAAAGCTCACCAATGCAGCTTGGTCCTCTTTAAAAACTCAGCAAACAGCCTCTCTAAGATCTTTTATTATGTCATAATTTTGATAAGATGCTTTTGGTCCATAAGAACACGTGCCTGGTGTTGGCTATGGTGCTTTATACTGCTGGTGGATCGATTTGAAAGACATTACGATTTTTAAAATCTTAGTTTCCCTATTGTTCATGCAAATAACTCGGGCCAATCTGATGGGAGGAAATTGTCTCTTCTGCGTTGTTGTAGGTTGCGGAAGGTGCCACTGCTCTTTACATGGAGCAATTGCGGGGTATTCAGTACGTAACAGATCGTGGAGCACAGCAGCTGTCTGTTGATATTGAGTACTTGAGTAATGTGCTTTCTGCTCTGTCAATGCCAATTCCTCCGATCCTTGCAACATTTCACACATGCTTCTCAACCCCTAGAGACCAGCTGAAGCATCTAGTAAAATCGGATGCAGGGAACCAGCTTGATATTCCAACGGCAAATCTTGTGTGTAAAATTCGGCGCGTTAGTTTAGATTAGAGTTTTACAAGTATAGTAAAAAAATTTTGGATATTTTGCTCTCGTATTCTTTTTTATTATAGTAGATTTACGAAGAAGTATATTCCTCTTAAATTTTTTAAATATATGTGTGTTGTTTCCTTTTTTATTTTTTTTGTTTTCGAAATAAAGGGAATATCTTGTTTTTGTAATTCTGGCCTTTTCTTTGTATGAATGCACTTCCAATTTTTTAACTTCAAAAGCAAACGTGAGCTGTAATCTCTGTTCAATGAACTATGTTCGCGAGGGCAGCAGTCAAGTAATCAAGTCGACAGATGAAAAATATGCTAACATTGTCGTCAAAGATTTGCTTATTAAAGATGGGGTACTTCACTTGCCCGTACAAAGATTCCAAACTGGTGCTTCAAAATTCTCCACCAATCTATTATAAATGAAAGCAGGTCAAACCTCATCATTTTCGCGGTACAGTTATACTTGCCGTCTTAAAATATAAATCAGTTTAAAATTTTTTACATAAGGATTAAAAAAATATTTAATTATTTTAGATTATAGCAAATTCAACAGTAATTTGATTAAATTATCCTTTATCTCAAAATTAATACTCATTTTGTTCCAAAATATAAATCGTTTAAGATTTTTACACACGGATTAAGAAAGTAATTTGATAAAATTGTCATTTATCTCAAAACCAATAGTTGCTTGTGAAATATTGATTGTATTTAGCGTAAAAAAAGCCAACATTGAAAAAATATTATTTATTATTTTTTAAAATACACAATTTTTCGGACAAAAAAACAAATCAAAGTCGACTTATATTTTGAGACAGAGAGAGTAGTTGCTTGTGAAGTATTTATTATATTTAGTGTAAATAAAAGCAACATTGAAAAAAAATCATTTATTATTTCTTAAAATACACAAAACGACTTATATTTTGAAACAAAATAACAAACCAAAAACCTGGAGACAGAGGGAGTATGAACCATTAAGCTCCAAATTCTAACTCCTACCGACTCCTTTTGGGGCGTCTGGTTTTATTCACATTACCTGGGAATTGGAATTGATAGCTATAGTTCAGTAGATTTAAGTTTATGATTTTACATATTAAGGCAAGAGAGGAAAGGGAATAATTGAAGAGAAGGAGGTGACAATGGAAACATTTCCGGATCCTTTTGTGCGATCTTTTGGCTGGTAAACGGCTTTATCTACATATTGCAACAAAAGAAAAAATGAACTAAATTATCCCGACTAGCAATATATTCCATGTCGCAGACAGTGTTTACAACTGTTGAGAGTACAACGAGACATTTGCTGTTAAAATGGCACGAAGGCACAATCCAATTAGCCATGACAATTGCATCCGGAATGTGAACCATTTCGGCAGGGAATATGTGCTTTGACACATTACAACGCTACATCTCCATGCTAATAGTAAACTTAATCAAAGTGGGTGGCATTAAATCAATGGTTAAAGATTTAGTATCACAAGCTAGTAAATATGCCGTTTCTCTTCTCTCTCTGCATAACAATCCCCATCAACTGACCACTGGACATTTGTATAACCCAAAATAACATAAACCAGTTCAAATTCTATAGTGTGTACAGAAACCACAGCCATTTCCACATGGCAGAAGCAAATCAAGATTATATAGTAATATCAGCTGCAAATTGCTCTTACAAATGGTTCCTAAAAGAATTACATCTCACTTCGTATCTTTCAATTTGAAAATATTTTTCCCTGCACAAACCAATCATTTACCCATTTACCAGCAGCTACTATACCATCCAGGTTCACCAGATTAAATTGTCTTCCCTGCAAACTGGAATAGAAAGAAGGTATACGACATATCATACACATCTATTAAGTTACCTCCAAGCCGCCCACAAAAGTGCAAGTTACAGGTTTTGCAACGTTGCATAACCTTGCATCCCAGTCCACTGAAGTGCATTATCAAAGAAGTGTAAAAAAACAGCATTAAAGCAATCGTGCTTTAAACAGACGGCTCAGAAGCCATGAAAATCACGCTGCAAAGAGTAGTAGTTACCTACAATTGTCTGAACCTGATTTTGAAATTGACTCCAAAAATATCCTATTCTGTAAAAGGAGGAAATCCATTTCTGCATGAACATGAATTATAAAGCTTTCACAATTTTCTACCTTCAACGACGCAAAGCCCATTGGTCTTAATAAAAGCCCTTTCATTCGCATGACCAATGATTCAAGTTCCACCAAACAATGGGTTCAGAAAGCAAGGAAAGGAGCAATGACCACCCCTACCTTGTAGATTGTCGACATGTTGATATAATTTATTGATCATCCCGCCTAATAATTTTAAATTGAACATGGTTAATCCTAATAAATTTTGGGATTTTAGACTTTCATCATTTTTTAGTGGAGGAAACAGCAGTATCAAACAAAAATACATCAACTTGAATGAGAAACATCAAATCTATGATAAGCATGGTAAGGGCCATAATAGAAATAAGATATGGTTACCTCGAAACTGAGACATAATATCATCGTCCCTATCAGCAGCAGTGTCATTCATGCATATAATTTGACTCTGTCCTCTTAAAATACATGAGAACAGGATAGCCATCAATAACCCCAGAACAAACGGAGGTACACTAGACTCTAAAAATAATGCTCTAGAACAATTGCATAGAAGAAATTGAATTCAGCCAAAGCCTAAGATGAACGTAAAGGACTTACAACAGTATCAAGTCATACCTACCTCAACCTTTCTCCTCTATTAATATTTGATGTAAGGGAGGTATAGTCTCAACAAGCTGTGATATAGCAAGAAACAATTTTACCCATAATGTTGATTGAACTCAAGAGTCCAAAAACGCATGCTCATAAAACTTCAAGATTGGAAAGGTCTACCTCATTTAATTTAAAAGCTTGGATATCTATCTACATAATCCATTTAATATGGGCGAACTGGACTTCTAGAGGATCTCCTGTGACCATGTCTAACAGGGGAACGTGACCTACTCCGATCGCGATATCTATCCCTGCCACTATCTCTTCCATTCCTGGACCTCCAATCTGTTCCCTTTCCTCCGTCCCCACTTGCTCTGCCATTCCGGTCTCGTGACCTTTCACGATCCCGTTCACGTTCTCGATTGCGGTCCCTCTCCCTGTCTTGATCTCTATCACGATACCGGTCCCTATCATCAGAACCGCTCCTCTTCCTCCTCTTCTTGTTTTCCTTCTCCCTCTGCTTTCTCCGTTCTTCAGCTTCTTTCTCCCTAGCTAGTCTCTCCTCTTCCCTTCCCTTCTCCTTAGCTTCCTGGAAAATGTATTCCTCATTTCTTGTAAAGGAAGAAGAACAAAGAAATCGCAAGTTTTGTAATTCATTCTCAGAAATGTTAACTCACCTTGTATTCTACAATGAAATCTCGGACCATGCCATAACCTATGTGTTGCTTCCCTGTGACATGAGACTGGGTTCTTTCAGCAGCATCATTTGCTACTAGAAAAGAACCACAAATCTCGCATAAGGCCATCTTTTTTTCCTGTGGAACCATCAATACTTTATCATTCTGGGACTGAATCAATGTCTTCTCGGCATTGAGCTCGTCAACCTGCAAATGAAACTTCAAAAGTTTGCGTTAATTGATCATGGTTGGCCACATGACCTGGCCAGATTTTTGGGAACTGTTTTAGCTAGGAAAATAATCAATCCACAATTATAAAGAAGACAAGAAGGAAAACAAAGCATCTTAACAGTGAAAAGTCATTTCTTGAAGTTCATAGTACTTGTAAAGAATAAGTTCCTGCAAATTAAATAAATTGACATTTTTTTATGCGTGCGCTATAATATTTTGGTTTTCCAGCTGAGAGAGGTACTTGGTATTTGTTGGTAAAATAACTGCACCTTTTTCATAAGAGCTTGAGCTTCATCCACCTTTCCAGCTTCACCAAGGGACTCCACTTGCACCAGTAGATTCTTTATTTTCTCCTCTACCACAGATAACTGTTCAGACTTTTCAGTTGACAGTGGAGGAGGTGGTACAGGCTCCTCCCCTTGAGCTAGACGTTCTCGGCCACGCCTAACTCTTCTATCCAAATCCATCACCTATAATAACAAGATAATTATGTCAGAGAAAATGTACAAGTGATCAACCATTACAAGCAACCAAACCACACTGAAGTACAGAACCTACCAATTTCTCACAGCGCTGAGCAAGTTCAGCTTCAAATTTAGACAGATATCTATCATGTCTTGGGGACTTCTCAAAGCTAAAGTCAGAAATTAATCAAAACACCCATTACATTAAGATCGGAAAATGCAGGTAGCGAATATAACAATCTAAACTTTGAGACAAATTCAGAATATCATTAACAGGAGAGCATTCTTATCCATGTCAGCTGGATCCAATGCTTAGAAGACAAAATGAACTTGGTTCTATTACCTCCTTAAGATTTATTATCTGCTGCAACACAAACATAACCATGCAATACAATTGAGAAAATATAAAGCAAGAAAAAGCCAACACATTTAAAAATTTGGACTCCATTTGTTGTAAGGAAGTTATCAGCATCCTTAAATTATTTATCTCAAAAAGATAAATAGGCAACATCTTAGCACAACAGAGGCTGCATAGATAATTAAATTTGTAGCCTTTATTACACATGTTAAGCACTAAATAATTAATGTGAAAAAACTAGCAGTATAAGGAGGAAGCTAAATTCAATAGAAAAATTTCAATCCTACAAATAGTTTTGTCAATACCTATATTTGCAGACATACATAATTTTTCACAATCTCTCATGCAAATGCAAAGAGTTTCATAACACAACAAAAAGCTCACACCTTTCTTTCAACTTTGCATCATGAATCCTATCACACGGCCCTGGCAAATAAACAAGACAAGAAGTAAGTAGACAAATCCAAGATTCTCCAAGAGTAAGAAGATAACTGAGCAAAACTAAGGGCAAAAAAAAAAGATGTAACTAACCAAGATCACTTTTGGTGTTGACAAAGAGGTCATGAGGACAAAACCGAGCCATATAATATGGACAGACCTCCTTAGAATCCCACGTTATTTCTTTGTACTCTTTTTTCTGGTCGTCCGTCAAATTACGGTCTGATAAATTCACCATTCCATAATCATTAAAGGAAAAAAAAAAAAAAAGATTATACAACAATAACAAGCAAGCTTTAAGAAATTCAAATCAGGTAAATTTTGAGCAGACAACAATCTCAATGTGTTAAAAAAAATCAATTTTGTGGAGGACACAATACCAGCTCCCATCAGTTCATCTAACATAGCTCGCTGCAGGTCCATCGTCAACAACAGAAAGTTGAGGTTTAGGATCGAAGGAGCACTGTTTTAGGGATAAACTTTATGGCCTTTAATAAAAGGAGCTAGGGTTCTAAGGATTGGGGAGGGAGGGGATTTCGTGGGGGTTAGGGTTTGGTTGGATTTTTTGTGTGGTTTTAACTCGGGCTCGGGGAGAGAGATGATAGGCTGACCTGGAGGCTGGAGCAGCAATGTGCAGGGCAGACGACGGAATTTGGAGTTTATACAAACGATCCCATGTTGTCGTTTGGAAGGAAGATGCACTTGCGAGTAAATTTAACAAAATCGAACGACCAGCCCTGGGCGATGTCCTTGTACAAATGATTGTCGTTCGCTTTTGGAAAGACCGGTCGAACGACTTGTCCAATGTTTTGAAGTGCGCTTTTTACATTTTATTCAATAAAAATCAGTTATTTATCGTTTTAGAATTTTGCACACAGGTTGTCTAAGTTTAATTGAATCTCGTAAATGCAGATTATCAGATATAATAAGTAAGTTTCATATGCAGTATTAATCAAAATGTTTATTTGAAAAAAATATGATGCTAGGTTAAGTAAATTGGTTCTATAAAGTTAATTAAAAGCTGAATGATGCAATTGACGAGATGAAAAAATTCCATATATTAATCAAATTTTTTACTCTGTAGAAGACAAATTAAAGAGGGCCCACACAATTATAAAACATAAGGGAAAAAAAAAAAAAATAGTAGCAAGGTGCAAAACAATGTCCAACCACATATTCATTGCAAAGAATTATCCAAAAGAAGTATCCACCTGTGGCTCTCCTCTGTAGTTTTCGTTTTTTTCAAATTCTCCACAAACCAAAAATGAACTCTTTCTATCCTTCATCATCAAATTATACCAATTAACATCAACCACTAGCACTAGCCCTCCCACTCTTCCGCCATGAATGACACAGTAGACAAGCTAGTAATCTTCTTAGCAAAAAGAGATGGCATTGACAAGCTTGTCAAGACTTTCCAGTACGTATCGAAGCTAGTTCACTGGCATGCAGAAGCCACGAGCCCAGATATTGCAAATAGGTTTAAGCAATGGGAAGTTGCTTCAGGTCTTAGTAGAAAAGCTTTTAGAACTGGAAGATTCCTCACTGGCTTTAATGCAATAAGAAGAAGCCCTGGTTCAAGCCCAGGTTTTAGGTTCTTATCCGTTCTTGCTAATGCAGGAGAAATGGTCTATTTCTTTTTTGACCATTTTCTTTGGTTATCAAGAATTGGAACTTTGGACGCGAAGTTGGCAAAAAAGATGAGCTTCATTTCAGCTTTTGGTGAGTCTTTTGGGTATATATTTTTTATTATAGCTGACTTTATTATTATCAAAGAAGGAATAAGGGCAGAAAGAAAGCTTGTTTCTTCTAAAGAAGATTCAAAAGAAGTGAAAGATAATATAAGAAAGATTAGAGCAGACAGAATTATGAGGTTCATGGCAGTTGCGGCTAATATTGCAGACTTGATTATTGGATTGGCTGAAATTGAACCCAACCCATTTTGCAACCATACTGTCACTCTTGGGATTAGTGGATTGGTCTCTGCTTGGGCTGGTTGGTATAGAAATTGGCCTTCGTAGATATGAAATCATAAACATCACAGCCTAATTGGTGTTATCTGCTATGGAACTGCAATCCAATCATCATCATAGCGATTGAATTACTATATTGCACCAACTGCACGGTTGAGTTAATTTTATTTTATATAATATATAGTTTTTCTTCTTTTTCTTTTGTTGCTCCAGTATTAATATGCTTTTCTTTTGTTTAATATGGGAGGAAGAATTATTGCTGATAAAATTTGAGCTCGTAGATTATATTTTCACATGACCGTTAAACAGAAACTTCAGAGTCTTTAAGTACAGAAGAAAGATTAATTGAATGCTTTATCACATTGAAATTACCTGCACTTTCATGGCCTGAAAACGAATAGAACATTTAATCCCAAATAAAATTCCGATTGCTTCAACGATGAAAGGTCTAAACGTAATTGTTTGAAAGGCTTCCATGCACTCACCAAAACACCTCTATCTGTTTCTGATAAATAACACTAACACCGCTCAAATAACAACAATCTTCATATATTATAATACATTATTTAATTAAATATATTAATATTTTGAATTGAAAATAAAATTTTGGAAAATAATAATTTCATTCCTTATTCTGTATCTCAATTTTCCATATTTCCAATGGAATTTCTTGTTATGTAAAGTTTTAGAAAGGAACATTCTAAACTAAATTACTCCCACATGCTAAACTGATTTAGTATTTAATTTTATTTTTGTAATTTTCTAATATTTATGTACATTTCTTTTGCTTTATTTTTTATTTTTTATTTTTTATTCTTCCGTATCCCAATAAGATAAGCTGGTAAGTATGAATTGGCATGAAATAATTTATAGTCAATGGTTAAGATAGCTATAATTAAAATTTTTGAAATAAATTATGGGATAAACCGAAAATAATGTGAAAATGCAAGAATTCTACACGTGGCGATCTTTTTTAATTCATGTAATGAGGTGGAATTACAAGGATTTAATACTATGGCGGCCCAAAATGTCATGGCCCATCTTCTAGTATCAATTTATTGGACTAGTCGATCGACGATTCAAATTCTCGGGTTAAAGTCTAAAGCCTGACTCTGCGGGACGGTGACTGGTTAGCGTATTTGAAGAAATCCTATGGACTAAAGTAATTGAAGTTGACTTTGTGAGAAATTTCTTGTCTTTAACCTTTAAATTCAGATAGATTTTGCAGATTTACCAGATTTACAGTGTTACAGAGCATAGAATTGAAGTCCAGGTTAGAGTTCTCTCGCATTTTAGATCAATCAGGAGTCTTCTTGTTTGGGCGTTCGATATTGGGTTGGTGAGATCAGATGGCAGAAGGAAGCAATCACTCACGATATGTGAAGCTGACGAAAGAGCAAACGGCTGTAGAGGACATTAAGCCTGGTGAGCTGAATCAGCCAATCGAAGTTCCTCAGGTTTCAATCTATCTCCGTATCAGTTCAGAACTTTTTCTTTTGTTTTTTGTCAAGAGTTGAAATTTAATTCTTAACAATGGAGGATTGAAAAGGTGTATCTGATTTATTTTATAAACCAGTTTTAGGTCATATTACGAATTTATAAATTCTGCGTGGGATTTTGGCCGAAACTGTTTAAAAATCTGATCTTTGAATGTGTGAATAATCCTTTGGCAGTTGGCTGTTCGCAAGTGCAACGAATGTGGGCAGCCTCTGCCCGAAAACTTTGAGCCTCTAGCAGACGAGCCTTGGACTACCGGAATTTTTGGCTGTACTGAAGATACTGAAAGTTGTAAGTTTGATCTACAAAAAATACGCTGCATATAGAACATTTTTTGAGGCCATGTTTTTGTTCATCTCTTTCCTGGATAGTCATGTCTATTAATTTTCTGCCTAATAAATCTTTCTCAATGTATCAGTGCTTAATTTGTGTAATTTCTTTTGTTAAGGCTACACGAAATGTCACAAGAATGTGGGTTTGAAATTGTCTTTGCTAGTTAAAGCGACATTGACAATTTGGACAAGTGATAACTATCCATGGCTGTTATATTGTTATTATCAGTCATAACCACTGAAAGTTGTTTTGAACTTCTCTGTGTCAAATTGAAGAAGTAATGTGAAGCCAAGTTTTGATTAAAAGAGATGAAGGCCAAATAATGGTGATGTCACATATTGCAATCACCTTTTTGTTTCTCATCCTGACCTTTGTTCTCATGTACAAATATGCAGTAGTTGCCAAAGATTACAAAGTAATTGCATTGTCTATTCATTTATCTTTTATAAATTGAGCCAGCAAAGAGAGTCTATTGTGAGTTTAACCCCATTGTGCTTCTTATGTGTATGAGCGTGTGTCTTAGTATAATTTTAAAGAAGGAAGATGACCAGAAGCCACATAAATTTATGATTTTCTTATTTCACAACGCAACAGGCTGGACAGGACTATTTTGTCCTTGTGTATTATTTGGGCGAAATGTTGAGAGCTTACGAGACGATACCCCTTGGACTAGACCTTGCATTTGTCATGCCATTTGTGTTGAAGGTGGAATGGCACTGGCAGCAGCAACAGCGATCTTCCATGGTGTTGACCCAAGAACATCATTTCTAATCTGTGAGGGTCTACTTTTTGCTTGGTGGATGTGTGGCATTTACACTGGTCTTGCTCGGCAATCCTTACAGAAGAAATATCACCTCAAGGTAACATGAAGTTGTCTAAATTACCACACTTTTTGTCTTACAGGGCCATGTGGATCCTTAAAAATGTTTCTGGGCATATAGAAGATTAGTAGGTACACATTTGGGTAGATGTTGCAAGATAAATGCTTTGCACAATCTTGCATATTTCATAGAAGAACTTAGTTGTTCAGGATAATGAGCATTTTATAGAATTTTCCTGCATGCCCATCCCATCCCATCCATTTCCATACCCCACCCAAGCATTAAGCATGTGGGAGATTGAGGAAGTGATGGGTTATTTTATTTTATTGCATATATGCTAAAATCAAGGACATATGTTGTTATATCAGTTCATGCACAGACAGCCAGAGCAGAGCTACCTGTAATGGAAGGGGGGCAATTGCTTCCCCTTCTCTCTCTAAAAATTCCTTTAGCATTGATAAGTCTTGAACTTTGATCATCATGCACTTTCAATGAGCTTAAAACCATCTCCTCTCCCCCCGCCCACCCCCCTCTCCCCCGCCCACCCCCCCCCCCCTCTCCTTATCCTGGCTCTGTGGCTCTTGTTGACAGCTGAAATTCCATTGCAAATATGCTGATTGGATTTTTGCTCCTTTGCCCATTTTTAATTGCTTTTTGCATTGACATGTTTTTAATTCAACCTCTTGTGACGAACATTACTTCATCCCCCCCCCCCCCCCTCTCCTTATCCTGGCTCTGTGCCTGTTGACAGCTGAAATTCATTGCAAATATGCTGATATGATTTTGCTCCTGCAATTTTTAATTGCTTTTTGATTGACATGTTTTTATTCAACCTCTTGTGACGAAATTACTTCCATTGCCTGCCTTTGCTGTTTCATCAGCTGACCAACTTCAATAAGAACATCAAGCTAACATCCTCATTGGCCAATTTTTCGGATTGCATTTGAAATTTTTTGTTTGCATGTTCTAACTAGGTTCATCATTTAGCTTCCTCGCTGTCAGTGTTAATATTTATCGTATAATGATAATGCATATATGCTCACTGTAAATCAGATAATTAGAGTCAAGAATATGTTTTCTTTTATCTTTTTCTCTTATGCTCAAATTGGAAAGTCTAGTCTTTTGAACAAAGGCTCAGTATTTTATCTGGGCTTGCAATTTACTAACTTGTTTCCTTCACGGACTGCAGAACTCACCCTGTGATCCATGCATGGTGCACTGCTGCTTGCACTGGTGTGCTTTGTGCCAAGAACACAGGGAGATGAAAGGACGCCTATCAGACAACTTTGTGATGCCAATGACCATCGTCAATCCACCCCCTGTTCAGGAGATGAACTCCGCCAGTGAGAACCAGAATTCTGAACCATCCTCTGAAAAAGGCACCAACTTAGAGATGCAGCCTTTGTGAATCCACAGTCACAAGTACACAAAAGTCTAGTAATAAGCAAATTTCATATGGAAAATGATTTTCCAGCTGTAGAACAGATACTTATACAAGAAACTCTCGAGAATGATGAACCTTTGCTAGAATTGATACTTTTTGGATGTAGGGAAGTTCAGTTTTGACAAGTATTGTTGTCTTCTCATATTCACCCATATCTTGTACCTGTTTTCTTACTTCATTTGACTACACAAGATGCCATTTTGTATGCAACATCGCTTTCAGGCTTCCAGTTTCTTTTGTTGTTAATTTCGAAGCACATGGTCGCTTCTTGTATTATTGATTCTCTTATTGGGAATACACTCTACAATAGTCTCAGATTCACATAATTGCTTTGTGAAATGAACTGTCCAATTCTGTAGATTTCCCAATTTGCAAATCGGGAAGAGAAGAAGTAGAAGATAATGATTGGGGTCGGCCGGTCTCTCCACTTTCGTTTATCACCAGGGGGCAGTGGCTAATAATGGTGGAAGCAGGCCCACAAATGATAGATAGATGGAACAAATTATGGTAATATCAGTTCCCCAAGTTAAAAAGCTGAAATCAATAGACTGCCTCGAGGCCCTCCCGATTCCCCAACCACGTTCCTTTATTTATTATATTATTATTTATGACATTGGTCATATATTTTGCGTCCAGAAAACACTAAAAGACTTGCTTTTTCTTGTCTTATTCAAAACCAAAATCAACGAATGCATAGAAAAAGGCTTGTCCTGTCAAAATTCAAAGTTGAAACGTTTCAAAAATATCTGCTACCTAACAATTAGAACTAATTTCTCAAAGCACCTGTCTTTCTCTCTCCCTCTCTGGAAGGCGAAAGCTTGGACTTGTTTCAGTTATGGAGAGACCTCAGTCAGAGAATGGTAGCAAGAGAATCAGGGGAGTGGTGAAGGGCAGAGAAATGGTACAGCGTCCACCTAGGCGCATGTTAGCAGTGCCATCCGTGGTGAAGACACAACAGCCCAATCAAGCAATGCTAGCAGCAATAGCCGTTGATTTAAATGTCCGTCTGAGATCGGCTGATATGCCCGGTGCAATGCAGGAGCGTGCGTTTCGGTTCACCAGAGCAGCTCTGGATGCAAATCTCGAGAAGAGGCCCAATCCTACGCGTATTGCCATGTGTCTCAAGAAGGTAAACATTCTGTTCTGTTTGGTCTGTTAAAATTAAAAAATGGCTACTCGAGTCTTACAAATCCTGCTTCTAGCGGAAATTTTTGCTTCTGAAGTAATTTTTTAATTTTGTTTTTAGATCATGTATCAATTACTTTGCTGGCACCCGCAATTTTGTTTGAATTCTGAATTTAGGTGCAACATATTTCAAATATAATTGAAATAATGGAAGCTTTGCTGGTTCAATAGAAAATGACGGGTCAATACTTTGGACTTTGTATCAGGAATTTGATGCAGTGTATGGGCCGGCATGGCATTGCATTGTGGGGGAGAGTTTTGGATCATTTGTTACTCACTCGAGTGGTGGATTTGTCTACTTCTCTGTGGACAAACTCTCTTTTCTCCTCTTCAAGACCGAAGTCCGACCAGTCAGGAGGTCACCTCTTCCTCCTCCTTTGACGAATCTTAATATTAATTAATGCTTTGTAGTATCTGAGAATGTAAGAATTTAAGATAGTTAATTCCATTTCATTCTGTTAAAAAAAACAAAAAAAGGAACGAACTTGAAGTCTTTGTCTGTTCCATTTGCAACTTCTCAAATTAAACATAAGCAGATGCTCTGTAAGAAATCAGACAATAAAGAGATAAGGAATGACAAGCTTAAACAATATTATCTGGATCTTCAAACTGAGTGTTCTTTCCGTCCACCCTGCACGTTGTCATCAATCCCTCCATTTTGATCTTCTTGCAATACTCAACAAAATACAGTTCCTGCTTTTTATGAATTGCTAAAATGAAGTGACAATTCTGCTTCCGACAAAAAAGGAGGTAAAGCAATGGTTTGTGATGGTCTTAATATACTAATTGCTGGTTAAAACCAAGTATAATTGTTACTTAATTAGTTTTGTCTGAGAATTGCTGAATTAATTTGCTTCATAAGATAGGAAGTTACTTACGCAGGGGTCATTCCACAAATTCAAAAAGATGGTAACGGTATAAACCGCCAGCACTGGCAACTTTGCATCTTACCATGTGGCATTTAGCGGTTATTTTTATTTTTTGAATTTCAAGCCTATTCACGAATGGTTGCCTTTGTTTGTACATATATATAACGAGAGATACTCCGTGTAATCTATTTGCAACTGTTTCAAAATTGTTTTCTCTCTTGATTCATCAACTCTGTTCTATTCGCCCAGAATCATAATCTCCTTCTCCTTGTTCTTCTTTTCGGTAAGCAAAAATGGCACCAACATCACTAATTGTACGCTTCCAGCAATCTGTTAGTCCCGACGCTCTAAGATCATACCTTGCAGAGTTCATCTCCACTTTCTTTTACGTGTTTGCAGTTGTAGGATCTTCCATGGCTGCACGTATGTCTTCAATTATGACTTTTGCTCCGTTTTCTATTTTTGCAAACATCGAAGTGTAATGATTCCTGATTTAGAAAATTCGCAAAAGAAGTAACGTTTGATTGTCTTAAAACAGGGAAATTGATGCCAGCAGCAGATCCATCCAGTTTGATAATAGTTGCAACTGCAAATAGTTTTGCACTCTCATCGGCAATTTACATAGCGGCCAACATCTCCGGTGGGCATGTGAATCCTGCGGTCACGTTTAGTATGGCTGTTGGAGGCCACATTAGTGTCCCTACTGCCCTATTCTACTGGATTTCACAGATGTTGGCCTCTGTCATGGCTTGCGTTTTCTTAAAAGTAGCCATTGTTGGACAAGTAATTAAACGTCTCCTAATTTTATCATTTCAATGAACATTTGAATCAATTTTTTTTCCTAATTCTGTTTAAACTTTTGTGTGAAAATTTTGCAGAATCTTCCAACTTACACAATTGCAGAGGAAATGACAGGATTTGGAGCGTCTATACTAGAAGGTGTATTAACGTTTGGTTTAGTGTACACAATTTATGCTGCTGGAGATCCAAGACGCAGTCTTCCGGGAGCCATTGGACCTTTAGCAATTGGGCTTGTGGCAGGAGCCAATGTGTTGGCTGCAGGACCATTCTCAGGCGGCTCAATGAATCCTGCAAGTGCATTTGGGTCTGCAGTAGTTGCTGGAAGGTTTAAAAACCAAGCGGTGTATTGGGTTGGACCTTTGATTGGAGCCACGGTTGCCGGGCTTCTCTACGATAACGTTGTTTTTCCTAATCAAGTTCCTGACTCTATTAGGGGAATTTCGGATGGTGTTAGAGTCTAATTGCCATTTCTTACGATTGTGCCCCTCAGTTAGGTTTTTGATTATGTAATTTTTTTAAAAAAAACAGCTTGCTTGTACGATACAACTGAAATTATCAATAAAATAAAATAAAAATATGTGAAGATTTGCTAAATCATCCTTAGCAGACCTTATCATGAGATCACTTGTATACTGAACAGTTCTTTGCTCTAGAAAAAATTTTCGAAAATGGGCTTCACAAGCCCAAAAATGATAGCCCATAGACAGCAACATGTAGACATGTTCGCTGCTATGATATTTGCTCTGCTATGCGCCTCTGCTTGAACACTCAAAAAGATTCAGAGCTGAGAAACTCTTGACAACGGTAATTAATGGCGCCTAAAACCTTCTCTACATTCCTCTCTCCTGTCCCTCTCCCACATCAGCTCACACGCTTTAACCCTAAATTCATCAGAATTTACGCAAAACCTATTTCCATCTTTTGCAAATCCAAAGAATCGCAAAAAACGCCAGTTTCAGAGACCCAATTATCCGTTTCCATGCCCGAAACCGATGGTACAGGGGCAGCTGCCCCGACTCCGGGAGAGAAATTTCTTGACCGCCAAAAGGCATACAAAGCTGCTAAACTAGTAATGAAAGAGCCTAAGAAGAAGAAAGGGAAAGAGAAAGAGAAGGCTTTGAAGGTTAACATGACGGTGGCTTGTTGTTACGGGTGTGGAGCTCCATTGCAGACTTTGGACCAGGAAGCTCCGGGTTATGTCCTTCCGGAAACTTATGAATTGGTTTGTAGATAGCATGTATTGCTAGTAAATGCTGTTCTCTTGTTGTTGGCTTTGGATAAGAAAGGTGTTTCAGGGTTTTGTTAAATTGCTAGCATAGAAAAGTTAAATTTAGTTCGTTTAAGAGCTATTGCTATGGGAATATCGTAAATGTGAGTGGTTATGATTATTCTTATTTTCTTCGGGTTGCAGAAGAAGAGACACCGCCAGCTTAGAACTGTTCTTTGTGGGAGATGTAAGCTTTTATCTCATGGCCATATGATAACTGCTGTCGGTGGGAATGGAGGGTATCCTGGAGGGAAGCAGTTTGTTTCAGCTGACGAGCTTCGGGAAAAACTGTCTCACTTGCGTCATGAGAAAGCTCTGATCGTCAAATTAGTGAGTGCTTCCTAGGAACTTACAACTGCCTAGAAAATTTACTTGTCGCCCAAAAGTCAAAATGAGATTTTCAATGCATGAATGGAATCTGATATATGATCTTTGGGGAAAGTAGGTTGATATTGTGGACTTCAATGGCAGTTTTTTGGCTCGTGTGCGTGATCTTGCTGGTGCAAATCCAATAATATTAGTTATAACTAAGGTGGTAATCTTTGTATTGGTGATTTGTAACTTCATGATATGGATATAAGGTTTTTGCATTAAATTTTATTAGATTCTTTTTATAATTTTCTATCAGATTGATCTCCTTCCAAAAGAGACTGATCTTAATTGTGTTGGTGATTGGGTTGTAGAGGCCACTACAAAAAAGAAGCTTAAGTAAGTTTTATATATATGCCTTTTGTTTAAATGCTATGGTGTATTGGTGTTGACTTCCTGGAATTCTTTGTTAGAAAAGTTCTTCCTGTTGATTGTAGGTAATTGGCATTGAAGCTTTTATTGCATGTCTTTATTCTATTTCCTTCTCTTGAAACAATTTCTAGCTTTCAGCAATAAGCTTGGGTTCGAATATTTCTGATACACTCTCTTTGCTGACAGTGTTCTAAGCGTCCATCTTACAAGCTCAAAGTCATTAGTTGGAATTGCTGGAGTTATCTCAGAAATTCAGAAGGAGAAAAAGGTTCCCCCCCAATTAATAAATGAAAGAACAAGTTTTTTTTGGCTACTGTTTGTCTCGTTTTAATGTAATGACTTTTGTCCATTCCATTCCCTCTACATGATTTCCCTTTTCTATTAGGGTTGCATCTCTTCTGTGCCCTTCAATATTGTTTTAGTCTAAAGGATGAGAAAAGTGAATGAATGTTGACATGTAATTTAATTCCATAATTAACCTGTATCATATTATTAAAATTATGAATCTTCTCTTATAGGTCTTTCTAACCATCAGAATTTATTGTGCTATTACATTCGATGAAACAAAATGATTGTGTTGTATTTTCATCCAGCGAAGTTCTTAGTGTTTCTGCTTGTGGTGCAGGGCCGGGACGTGTATATTCTGGTTGGTAACTCTCTTAACTGGAAGCTTCAAAGTGGTTTGCAGAGTAGGGTTGAAAAAGGATGGTTTTTACTGATCTATGAATGCTGTTGGTGCATTTGTTGTTTGTCCCTCTCACTGGAATCAAATAAATAATTTAGATAATACAGGAGTAGTCTCAGACGGAACTGGAGGCTATGAAGTAAGCCTTAGTGAACAGCAAGGAGAATTACATCTCCGTTAACCTTGTTGACGGGTTTAAATGTTTAGGTGTAAAGCTGTTGTTGATCGGGCACTATATAAACTTCTTTTCAAAATGGTTGAAGGTCAGATTTGTAAAAGCATTAACTAAATTATGTAGCTTATGAAAGCTTATGACGCTATTAATTCTTTTATGGACTTATCTCATTGTTGTTTTACTTGGAGTCATACACGAGAAAGAAGGAAGTCTTCATTGATGGGCATGCTATTGATTATGACATTTTTACCTGGCAATTTGCTGTAATACTCACCTCTAGAGACCGAGTTACAATTTCAACTTCTAGAAAGAAAGTTTACTGCCTCTTAGTTTCAGATTAGGATGGAAATCTATTAGTTGTCTTGGTAGCAGGACAGAACATGAACTTTATACAATTGTTTTGAGGTCTGCAAGGGTAATATTGGTGACCTCCCTCTCTGCAACTTACATATGCACATATGGACAAAATTCAAAATAATAGCCACATGTGTTTCCACTGTTGGCCAATCTTCAAGCATGAAGTACTTGGTCTAAGTTGGTTGCCATGCTTGATTTAGCAATTTTCATAGTGCTTAGTTTATGAGTCAGCACATTTTGATTGTTAATTTCACCATTTCTACAGGGTTCAGCTAATGTTGGGAAATCTGCATTCATCAATGCTTCGCTGAGTAAGTAAATATATTTTCCATATTTTAATTAAGACCAAGGTAAATCTATGTTTGAGAATTAATGAAGAGGAGGAAAAGGATGAAACCAGTAAGATGAAAAAACATTATCTTTAATGAAGAATGTAGTTGGAAATGCTGAGTGCGAACTCAAGCTCTCAGTGGTTGTAAAGCTTGTCAATCTAAATAGACCAATATATATATATATATATATCTGAAATGACTAGATGCTGGCTTTTCATTTAACCCCCTTTTGTTCTTGCTGTCCTGTTTAGTGTCCAGCATATTGAATGAATAGGCCTCTTACTATTCAAATCAAGCAGTGTAAATGTTTGTATGTTTTGGAAGTCTAAGAAATTAGAAACTAGTGTTTCTCTGCTGATATTGTGATAATTTTCACAAACTCTCTGCTGTTGTTGAATATGCATGTGCTCTTTTTGGGTCTTCTGGACCTTGATTCCAAGTACAGATAATTTATGTTTATATTCTTGCTCTTTTTTTTCTTCCACTCTTTGGTAAAGTATTTGTCCATGTCTTTTAACTTTTGGCTGTTTACTAAATTTTAACATCAGAAATGATGGCACAACGGGATCCAGCAGCTGCAGCTGCTCGGAAATACAAACCAGTACAATCTGCTGTTCCTGGAACTACCTTAGGTCCAATTCAGATTGATGCCTTCCTTGGAGGAGGGGTATATATTGTTCTGTTCTTGTTAGTGTATATATTTATCTGTTTCTCTAGGCTGTTTCCTCTATGCAGTGTTAAGTTATTGGTTTTCTAATGTACTTGTTTATGATTACTTTTTATAAACATGCAGTATAACTTTTCATTTTCTGCAGAAAATATTTGATACACCTGGAGTTCATCTCCACCACAGGCAAGCTGCGGTTGTTCATTCAGAAGATTTGCCTATCCTTGCTCCTCGGAGTCGTCTTAGGGGTCAATCTTTCCCTGTATGTTCTCTTCAAAATGTCCTTTAAGCTTACATCAATTACACTTCTATTTACTAAAATTACACATTTTCTACTCTATTCACTGTGCTTTTTACACCAGAATGCTAAGTTGGCCTCAGAAAATGGGGTAGCAAACAAATTTGAATCGAATGGCTTGAATGGGTTTTCGATATTTTGGGGAGGTCTTGTGCGGATTGACATCTTGAAGGTTACTTTCTTCTGATTCTATGAATTCAATGTAGTCAGCCTTGTTTGTGTGCCCTGCCTTTTTTCTGGACTGAACATGTCACAAATCTTGGTGCTTTCAGGTTCTACCAGAAACAAGCTTAACATTTTATGGCCCCAAGGCTTTGCAGATTCATATAGTACCCACTGACCAAGCAGATGAATTTTACCTGGTAATATAAGTCACCCTGTATTTTCTGTGTCAAAAAAACTCACTCACTCAGTGAACACCTTGATCACTTTATATGGGCCCTTGCATTTGAGCTGTAATATATACATGCACCTTGAAGAAATAAGGTAGCTGTAGATGTGCTTGCATTTTAAGGTGCATTTATAATCTCATGCAGGTGCATGGATGTTAAGGAGCAGTGGTGTTTAAAGCCAAATTTTGTGGGTTGCGTTGAAGCTTTTCTTCTTTAATAATAAGATAATCGTATAAATGGCTGTGATGCAAAGCTATCTCAAAGTGTTTCTTTTAATTCAATGTTAATAAAAAGGCTTTGGTGGCACTGTTGCAGGAAGAACTTGGAGTTCTATTGACGCCTCCAACTGGAAAAGAGAGAGCAGAAGATTGGAAAGGACTTGAAATTGTGCGTCAATTGCAAATAAAGTTTGAAGACGCAGAAAGGTAGATTAGTCTGTACTAATGATCGCATAAATTTATTCAAAATTTTAATAACACTTATTGTTACAGTAAATATGTGAACTTTAATTACTATACCATTGAAAATAATTTTTTTAGCAAATAATTTTTTGAAGTACTGCTATATATTGAGTTTTGAGTAGCTCGCGGAAGAGTCTGGCTTATTTGCTGCTCTACTTCCAATATCTGCTTTGTGATTCTATTTTTCTTTGCATGGGCAGACCTGCAAGTGACATAGCTATATCTGGTCTTGGATGGATTGCTATTGAACCTGCAAGCAAATCACTCAGAAGGCCTGATATGAATTTAGGAGAAATTGCCAAAGAACTGCATTTGGCTGTCCATGTTCCGAAGCCAGTCGAGATTTTTGTTCGGCCTCCACTGCCAGTGGGCAAATATGGAGCAGAGTGGTACCAGTATCGAGAGTTAACAGAAAAGGAAGAGGAATTGAGACCAAGATGGAATTTCTAATTTTTTCAAAATCTTTTAAGCAATTCTGTACTTAGTTTGCCAAACTGTAAAAGGATTATGTAATAATGTAGAGGATTTCTCAGTTTTTAACGAATGACAAAGGAGATACTGAGGTTGCTGATGCCAAACGACCAGCGGAAAGCCGGTTTTATCGTTCCAAATGGCACGCTATCGTTCTTGAACAACGTGAAAGGAGGCTGTCGTTTACGAACGATCTAGACCAAACGAGATGGCTAATGTGTAGTGTAGTATAGTGGCGACTTAACCATTTGTCGTCGACAATAGTATAGTGGCGACTTAACAATTTGTCGTGGTTGTCGACGACAGGTAGTTGGTTTTACCAAGAGTGATAAAATCATTAGTGGGCTTCATATGCTAACAACAGCGGATAACCAGAACAAGCCTGGCCCATTTATACTTTGTTTGGACAAGGGCAAAAGGACGATAAGGAAAAAATAAATAATGGAATGTTATTTTCTTTTCTTAAATATTTTTTACTGTTGTATTTGAATGGAGGAGTGAAAAAAAAAGGATTGCAATATTTTCTCAATTCATTAATTATTTTATTTTCAATTTAGAGGGATTCTAATTTTATGGGCAGGAAAAATTTGTGTAAATTTTCATTCTTAATAATCAACTAGGAGGAAGTCTGTTGCTTTATTTATTTTGTTATTGCTTATTGCATTAGAGGTTATTTTTTATTATACATATAAAAATAATATTTATAAAAAAATCCTACAACTTTAGAGAAATGGAAAAAAAAAAAAGTATATACATAAAATACAAAAGTGCTAGACAATAAGTATTAGTTAAATTTTTTTGCAAACTTACAAATTTGAAAGACATACAAAAAAATTTCATCTATGAAGACAATAATAAAGATATATAATTTTTGTTATTGCTTATTGCATAGAGGTATATTTTTTTATTATACATATAAAAATTATATTTAGTAAAAAAATCCTACAACTTTAGAGAAATGGAAAAAAAAAAATGTATACTACATAAAAATACAAAGTGCTAGACAAATCAAGTATTAGTTAAATTTTTTTGCAAATTACAAAATTTGAAAGACATACAAAAAAATTTTCATCTATGAAACAATAATAAAGATATTATATATATTATCATTATATATATATTGTAAAACTAGATTAAATTATTATAAATAAGATTGAACACACAAAAAAAAAAAAATCCATCTAAAACTAAAAGAAATTCAAAAATATTCACAATATAAAAGTCATTAACATTGTTACTTATTTTAAATTAAACTAATAGGTTTTTTAAAACTTTAAATAAATATTTAAGTGCTATAATAAATAAAAAATACAGTGCAAATTGAAATATAGATATAGATACTTCTGTAAATGAATATAAATGAATATTAATTTTTTAAAATATAACTATTATATATAATTTTTTTAAATATTTAGATACTAAAATTAAAATTTAAATGATAAGAATCTTATTTTAAGCTCTTTAAAAAAAAATATAATAATAAGGCATCTTAATTCCTTTTTAATGTATTAAATATATTTAAATTTAATTTATAAGATCCCTGTGTTGTTTTAAATATATTTATTAAATTTAATATTCTTTCCTTTTTCTCTTTTAAATCAATGATGTAATATTCACTCTGCTATATATATATATATAACTTCAATCGTACAAAAATTTACTGTTTGATGTAAATAGCAAAGTAATAATGTAATAATAATAAATAAATAAAATAAATATATATTATACTTATATTTCTCTTTCCAATTTATTAGCTTAGTTTTAACTTCAAAACTCAAATCAAACAAAATCATATGAAATAGTTGACTTGTATGCCATGTACTAACTCAATAATTGGACCAAAAAAAAAAAAATAATAATAATAATAATACATGAATCAAAATAATTAAATAATAATACATGAATCAAAATAATTATAAACATACATGAATATGAAGCAATGAATGAAAAAATTCACAATGTACAATTTTATACAATTTGCTAAAAAAAATAATAAATTTTAAAAAAATACATAAATAGATTTATAGTTAGTTTTTCTTTTATCTTCATCTTCATCGATATGATATTTTTCATACCTGCACTTACACACATACGACACATACAATTGGTAACATAAGAAGATATTATTGAATAAATAAGATTAAAGAGGAGAAAAATCATGGGATGCACAAAAAAAAAAAAAAAAAAAAAAAAAAAAAAGACTATAGCAAACAAGTTAAAAAATATAAAAAAGAATAAAAAAAGAAAAGAGATCAAAGAATTAACATTATCTCAATTGAATAAGAAAGTAATAATATATCTTCATTGAACATACATGTATGTAAAGGAATGAAGAAAGAAAGCAACAATCAAAACTCAAAGAATTGAAAAGCAATAAAAGAGAAAAAGAAAAAATTACTCTGAAAGAAAATCACTAGAACTAAGGTATACATAGATAGGTGTAGGTACATTTAAATAGATATCAATAAGAAAAAAAATTGAAAAAGTTTTGAAAGTTTTAATTTCAAAATTAAAAAATTTTAAAGTACTAATTATTTAAAATTTTAGATATTGTTGTATATATTAGATTAAAAGGGTCTTTCTTAATTTCCTCAAAAATTAAAGACAAATTTTCACGATGAAGGGTACGTAACGCAAAAAGTCTGAATATAAAATTTGTCAGAGGAATATTTGATCTTTGGTGTGAGTGTAAATATTTTGGACGAATTAAGATAAAGGAAAACAGGAAACCTGGAAATACAAGCACACGTACTCCATAGAGAAATTAATGTACTAAAATAGGAATAGAATATAGAGACTAATTTGAAAGAACAGACATGCTCGCCAAGTAAAGCTATGATGGAAAGATTTTTTCCTTACCCGTGTCAAAATTCCATAGAGTGTCAAATCGACTGGTACCTTAGGGGATGTGTATTTTATACTAACGCAAAACCACGTACGCTTATACGCGGCTCACTCTTGGATATCAATTATAACTTTTTTTTTTTTTTTTTCCCCGTTTAAAAAATACCCAAAAAAAGCTTAACCACCTAATTATTAAGCTATTTTCAGGCTGAAAAGATGTAAATATACAGTATAGCCGTGTCAGCGGGGCAGTGAGCTTCTGTGGCCCTCCTGGCCCGCTTTTAAAAGAGCTGTCTGGTGTCTATTGCGCCGGGCCTCTTTACACCTATAGGGGGAATAACCAAGCGTGGGGACTTTCGGTGTCCCAAAAAGCCTAGTCCCCGCGCCAGCACATTTCGCCCCGAGAATATCACTAACCCAGGAAACTCCTCTTTAGGGCTCTTCACGACAATCTCGGCCTGGTGTGTGCTCTCTTAAATGTTACAAGACACTCACCGTGTCAACAATTACGCCGTCTGTGTATTTCCTTAATTTCAAAATTAAAAAATTTTAAAGTACTAATTATTTAAAATTTTAGATATTGTTGTATATATTAGATTAAATATGGAAAAAGAAATGAATAAAAATTATAAAAATTATAAAAAAGAAAAATAGAAATGTTTGAAGAAGAAAGTGCCAAGTAAGCTATTTGAAGATTTTTTTTACTTCAAAATTATATATATGTATAGATATTTATATAAAAATTATAGTATTTTGGATACTCAATTATAACTTTTTTTTTTTCCGTTTAAATACAAAAAAAGTTAGACACTAAATATAATTAAGCTATTTTCAGTGAAAAGATGTAAATATACAGTATACACGTATGCCTTGTCTCTGCCGCTTTAAAAATTTTGTATTCCCGCCTCTTACACTATAGGAATAAGGTGGTCACCGTTCAGCCAAATTCAAAATCACACAGAAACTTCCCTCTTTAGGTTCCATCTCCGGTTCCTAAATCAACTCACCAATTCTTGTATTTCTCCCTGAAACGTCCCTGGCTCAGTCACTTCCTAGGTTTTGATCTCCAAAACCTTTTCAATTCCTCAGTTCTATTTTTCAAGGAAGCTGAATTGGATCTTCTGGTGTCGAGCTCTCTTTCTTTCATATCAGAGTTACTACCAGAGCTTTTTGGCTCACAACGCCAAAGGTAACCTAATTCGGTAGTTTCTTAATTTACTGGTTCACGGTTTTTCTTCATTTTATTGGCCATATGTGTCCGTGTAGTTGGTTGTGTTCTTATTCTTCCTGGGTTATGAATTCAGACAAAAAAGAATGTACATCAAAGAAATATGCTTAGAGGGGTTCAAATCATATGCGACGAGGACGGTGGTCCAGGGTTTCGATCCTTTTTTCAATGCGATTACGGGGCTGAATGGCTCGGGCAAATCGAATATTCTCGATTCGATTTGCTTTGTGTTAGGTATTACAAATTTGCAGCAGGTTCGTGCTGCGAATCTCCAGGAGCTGGTGTACAAGCAAGGGCAAGCTGGCATTACTAAGGCCACTGTGTCCATTGTGTTCGATAACTCTGATAGGAACAGGAGTCCCCTTGGATATGAGGATCATTCAGAGATCACGGTGACGAGACAGGTTAGTTAAATGCTTAGTGAAATTGTATAAATTTTTGGAGTGATGAACTGCAATTGCTTAAAAAATAGAGTTCGAAAGGCTGGCAGGTAAGGCTTACATCTTATGTGTTTTGTGAATTTGTATGGCAAATGCAAATTTATGCATTACTTTGAAGGTCCACTTTGAGTTCATGTGATATTGTTACATTGTTTGTAGAACAGGCTACTGAGTGTTATCTTCATGCTTTGTGAGCTTAGCTTATTTTATCCAATACAAATTGAGTTTTTTTTTTCTTGTTAAGGATTTATTGCTTATTACGTAGATTGTGGTCGGTGGAAGGAACAAGTATCTGATCAATGGAAAGCTTGCCCAGCCTAGTCAAGTTCAGAACCTTTTCCATTCAGTGCAGCTGAATGTTAACAATCCGCATTTTCTCATTATGCAAGGACGCATCACAAAGGTCTTAAATATGAAGCCCCCTGAGATTTTATCCATGTTGGAAGAGGCTGCTGGGACTAGAATGTATGAAACAAAGAAAGATGCTGCATTGAAAACACTTGAGAAGAAGCAGAGTAAGGTTGATGAGATTAATAAGCTCCTTGACCAAGAAATACTTCCTGCTTTGGAGAAGTTAAGGAAGGAAAGGATCCAATACATGCAGTGGGCAAATGGCAATGCTGAATTAGACCGACTTAAAAGATTTTGCATTGCTTATGAGTATGTTCAAGCAGAGGAGATTAGAGAAAACACAATTGGTGAGGTTGAACAGATAAAGGCCAAGATTTCTGAAATTGATGGTGACACAGAAAAGACGCAGGTGGAAATACAGGAAATGGAGACAAAAATATCAAAATTGACTGCTGAAAAGGAAGCTAGTATGGGTGGGGAAGTAAAAACTTTGTCAGATAAAGTACATGTTCTCTCTCAAGATCTTGTGCGCGAAGTATCCGTGCTGCACAACAAGGAGGACACTTTAAGGGGTGAAAATGAGAATGCCGAGAAGGTGACCTATCTTTGCTAACTCTGTTTTAACTTTGCATGCCTGCAGCATTTCAAATCAACCCCCCTTCCCTTTCTCTAAATTCCATGCCAGTTGGTTATAATAGAGTCAGATTTCACATTTTTGTGTTGCCAGATTGTCGATGGTATTGAAGACTTGAAACAGTCAGTGGAAGAGAAGGCCACTGCTGTTAGAAAGTCTGAAGAAGGAGCAGCTGATCTCGAAAAGAGAGTCAAGGAACTCTCTAAGGCTTTGGAAGAACATGAGAAGGATTACCAAGTAAGAAGTGGTTGTGCATGTTGATTTTACTCTGCAGATATTGTTGTGTCTTTGCTTTTATGTGCAAACTAAACTGCTTCTGAGAAAGGTTTAATTGCCATGCATAGGGTGTACTAGCTGGAAAAAGTAGTGGAAATGAGGAAAAATGCCTTGAAGATCAACTAGCTGAAGCAAAGGTTGCTGTTGGAAATGCAGAAACAGAATTGAAACAGTTGAAAACCAAAATCAACCATTGCCAAAAAGAGCTGAAAGAAAAAAAGCATCAGTTATTGTCAAAGCGTGAGGAAGCAGTTGCTGTAGAAAATGAATTTAATGCTAGAAGTAAAGACGTGGAAAATGTTAATTTGGCATTGGAATCTCTTCCATATAAGGAGGGCCAGATGGAAGCTTTACAAAAGGTTTGCATGCTCTTCCTCTGGTGGCATTTCCTTTCCTGCACCTGAATTATCTACAAGTTTCCTTATTATTAAATGTCTTTGTAAAACAAAATTTTCTGCAGGATCGTGCATCTGAAATGGATTTTTTGCAGAAGCTGAAAGACAAAATACGGGATCTTTCAGCACAATTATCAAATGTTCAATTCACCTACCGTGATCCTGTAAAAAACTTTGATAGATCAAAAGTGAAAGGCGTGGTTGCAAAACTTATCAAAGTGAAGGATAGCTCCACAATGACTGCCTTAGAGGTCAGCAATGCATGCATCATATTCTTGGTTTAACAAATTACAAGAGGTTTTTTGCTTAATTGTATAGGTGAAGACTTTTATATTGAGTTAATATGCTGATTATATTGACTTAATATGTAGGTTACTGCTGGTGGCAAGTTATTTAATGTTGTTGTAGACACTGAAAATACTGGAAAGCAACTTCTTCAAAATGGTGAACTCCGGAGAAGAGTAACAATTATTCCTTTGAACAAAATTCAATCCCATACTGTTCCCCATAGAGTTCAGCAGGCTGCCATTCGATTGGTTAGTCATTCATTTGATTTTATTTCCTTTATTTATTGTCCGGAACTCTTTGTCCTTTCCGCTGATTTTCTTCGTTTGTTTCCAGGTTGGCAAGGGGAATGCAGAATTGGCACTTTCTTTAGTTGGCTACGATGAGGACTTAAGAGTATGCTTGCTAGGCCTGTTGATTTATTTTTAGGGAAATTATAAAAAATCTTTAAAGGCTGGGTCCAATTTCATATTTTGGATGGTCCTTTTTTTTCCTAATAATTATAATATGTCCTTTATAGTCTACAACTAAGTAATTTTGATAAAAGTTATGCTGTTTTAACCATTTTTAATGAAAAATTTCCCAAGTGTAAATGACACTAAATATCTTTCTTTTTATATGATTTTTGCCCAATCTTTCTTCCAATATTCCCTTTTATTTATAGTTGAAATCGGATCTACATGGTATTCTATGTTGTGCATAGGCAATTCTTTACATTGGTTGTACACATCTTTTTATACTTTTTTTTTTAAGAATTCATATAGTTCAAAGTTGCACCTTGTTGAATATTATTTTTCTCAAAAATTGATTTTTACTGCAGAACGCTATGGAATATGTTTTTGGTTCAACCTTTGTTTGCAAAACCATGGATGCTGCAAAGGAGGTATTCCAGTCCTGGCAAAACTTTCTCATCTGCTACATTATTTGGAACTTTGAATAGTTAAATTTTATTGAGGTCACTGATATTAACAAACCTATAACCACAGGAACATTCTTCTATATTTTCTCGTGGACCAGTTTTATTTACTTGGATTTCTGTACTGGATGTTTTGTAGATTGCTTTTAATCGAGAAATTCGCACTCCCAGTGTCACTGTTGATGGTGATATTTTTCAACCAAGTGGTCTTTTGACTGGTGGAAGCCGCAAGTAAGTTGCTTAACGATTAATGGAACTCTTGCGGGCATGAATTCAAGTTATTTTAAGTTTTTCCTTTTTGTCACCAAAGTTCCATTTCTTTTTTTTGTTTGCTTGTATAATGTTAGATATTATTCTTAAGCTTGCATTAAGAGAGGGTTTCAAAATTTTAAATCTACTTGGTTTAGCAAATATTTAGTATTGATTTATCTTTTGCCATAGGGGTGGTGGTGATTTGTTAAGACAACTCCATGAATTGGCAAATGCTGAATCAGACCTTTTACTACATCAAAGAAAATTATCTGAAATTGAAGCTAAGGTAGACTTTGAAATCCCTTGTCCTTTATATGTCCATTTCTAGATATTTCAAAATATTATTTCAAGTTTGTGACTGTTTCAATTTCTTTGCTATTATTATTATTATGTCGTCTTGGAATTGCAGATTACAGAGCTTCTACCTCGTCATAAAAAGTTCATGGAACTTAAGAAACATCTGGAACTTAAACAGTATGACCTGTCATTATTCCAGGGCCGGGCTGAGCAAAATGAACATCATAAGGTTTTTGTCCTTTTACTGCTTTCATGTAACTGGTTTATCCTGTTTACTTTTATGTTATCATAGTGCATGTTTTGTGTTGGGCAATAGTACACTTCCATTTCATCTGTTCTTTTTTTTCTTTTTCTTCCCCTTTTGGATTGTCGGTTCGTAATAGCTTGGTGAATTAGTGAAGAAGATTGAGCAGGAGCTTGAAGAAGCAAATTCTATAGCCAAAGAAAAGCAAAATTTGTATGAAGAATGTGTTAGTACAGTGTCTATGCTTGAGAAGTCGATCAGAGAGCATGATAATAATCGAGAAGGCAGGCTCAAAGACTTGGAGAAAAAGATTAAGGCTATGAAAGCTCAAGTTCAGTTAGCTTCAAAAGATCTCAAGGTAGGTTTTGTTTTGCTGATGCATACAATACATTTTATGATGTTTAGATTTCTAAACTGTCACAGCTTTCTATTTCTGTTATGGTCAACAATTCATTTTAGCAAAATTCTAAGAATATAAAAAGTGCAAATGTTCTCCAATCTCTTATCATGAATCACTTAGTTTGAAATTTGGGGTTTTTTATTCTCATCATATTTCCTCCTATGCTGCTAATCCTTCAGTCTATCAAAGAGTGTCAAAAAATGAAAGTTTAAAGATAGAAAGGGTGCACTTACATTTGGGGATGATGTTTTGGCTAAGATATGTTTTACAAACAACTTTTGCAAAACTTTTCTGTGAAGCATTTTGATTTTGAGGCAGTCCAAGGGGGAAGGGCACTCTGTCAGATGGAGGGAATAGATTTAAACATTATTCCGACAACTTTAATACTACATGTGCCTTCTTTGTTGATTTCAACGATCATATTGGCTGAATAGATTTTTGACATTTTCGGCATGGTTCTCTTTGCAATTAGGGACATGAAAATGAAAAACAGAGGCTTATTATGGAACAGGAAGCTGTCATTAAAGAACGGGCGTCGTTGGAGAGTCAATTAGGTTCCTTGAGGATGCAAATTAACCATCTCAATTTGGAAGTGGAAGAACAAAAGTCTAAGGTAAACTTGGATAAGCTTTAGTGAGTTCATAAGTGAGAAGTTATTGCAATTTACTTTCCTCTTGCAGGTTGCTTCTGTACGTAATACTCATGATGAAGCTCATTCTGAGCTTGAATTGATCCGTCTAAAGATGAAGGAATGTGATTCTCAAATTAATAGCTTCCTTAAGGAGCAGCAAAAACTACAACAAAAAGTTAGTGAGACAAAGCTTGAGAGGAAGAAGCTAGAAAATGAGGTAATTTTGGTTAAGGTAACTAGTATACCAGCCCAACTTGAGACACTAAATTGTACTCTTTCTAATTGCTGGAATAGGTAAAAAGAATGGAAATGCAACAAAAAGATTGCTCTACAAAAGTGGACAAATTGATTGAGAAGCATGCCTGGATTGCTTCTGAGAAACAACTATTTGGAAGAAGTGGGACAGATTATGATTTCATGTCTCGTGATCCTAAGAAAGCAAGAGAAGAACTTGAGAAATTACAAGCTGAGCAATCAGGGTGTGTGAATCAAAAAAATTTAAATATTTTAATCCTCAGATGGAAGTTCTTTTCACATGCATATGTTCTAGTTGTAAATTTTTATCTTTTTCTTTTCTTTTTTTTCTGGGAAACCTGACACCTGACTAATTGGTTTTTTGTTTTCTGTTTTCACACTTATGAAGCCTTGAGAAAAGGGTGAACAAGAAGGTTATGGCAATGTTTGAGAAAGCTGAGGATGAGTATAATGACTTAATGTCGAAGAAAAACATTATTGAGGTACGCTACTCTGAATATGCATGAAAATAGTTGTAGCTTAGATTGGCTGCACTTCACTGTGCTAATTTTAGGTTTAACTAGAATGACAAGTCCAAGATCAAGAAGGTGATTGAAGAGCTTGATGAGAAGAAGAAAGAAACTCTCAAAGTTACCTGGGTTAAAGTTAACAGGTGAGCACAGTTCTTTCTTCGTATCTGCTATATTTCTTCTTCCTTTTTGCATTTCGTTTTTAAAGTAACCATTCATTGTCTTCATGTTTGTGATGGATGCTCTGGTTCTCAATTTCACAAAATTTGACTGCATCTGTCCACAAAAAATTTGTTTCTTCAGTGACTTTGGATCCATCTTCTCTACACTATTGCCTGGAACCACAGCAAAGCTAGAACCACCAGAAGGCTGCAGTTTCCTGGATGGTCTGGAGGTTCGTGTTGCATTTGGAGGTGTCTGGAAACAGTCCTTGTCAGAGCTAAGCGGAGGCCAACGATCTCTGCTTGCCCTTTCTCTAATCTTGGCACTGCTTCTCTTTAAACCTGCCCCACTTTATATCTTGGACGAGGTATACTTTAGTTGATTTTTCATTTATTATTTGGGATTTTGCAAAAACTGATACCAAGCTTTTCCCTTTTAGACATATTGGATTGAATTTGAAATCTATTATGACATTGTAATTGAAATATTCAAGCATAATCCAAATATTTTCATATAAAAGGTGCGTGTAAGGAAATGGACAAGTCATTTTAGGGGCTTTGTTGAGGAGATTCTGAATGGTACTTTATATGTGTCTTAGATTAGGCATGTGCACACGCTTTGTTGAGGAGATTCTGAATGGTACTTCATATGTGTCTTAGATTAGGCATGTGCACACAAAATACAATTTATTATTATTATTTTTTTATACTGAAACTACTTCGAATGAACTCTACTTTTGGTTCTAGTGTCTAGTGGTTTCATAATTTGAAGTAAAATTTTGTCATGAATGTATTTGCAAGTGATTTAATGTTGAGCCGTTTGACAGGTTGATGCAGCTCTTGATTTATGCCACACACAGAACATAGAGAGAATGATCAAAGCTCACTTCCCACATTCCCAGGTCAAATAATTTTCTTTTGATGCACTTAGTGGCAAAGGGAATAATTTAGCAGCAAATGTGGAGTTAAAGTGAATTTTGGTTATTGCTTGGGATGGCACCCGATGTTTAATTTGCTTTCAAGCATAATATGCTAGGATATTTTGTCTTACACTTGTCTCTTCTGAATTATCTTGTAGTTTATTGTGGTTTCACTGAAAGAAGGCATGTTCAACAATGCCAATGTCCTCTTTCGGACGAAATTTGTAGATGGTGTTTCAACTGTCCAGAGGACTGTTGCTGCTAAGCAGAACAAGTGATTGCTGCCACATTATCAGGTTTTATTACTGTGTTACTTTGATGGAATTACTGTGTACTTTGATGGAATTTTATTTAATTTCGATTCACATGTTTTGAAGTACTCCCAAGTAATCGCCTTGTCAGTCCCATATGTTATTAATATACCGTCACTAGTCGTAACACAATTTACTTAACTTCAGTTCCAAATTTTGTTAGTTTGTTCTTTAATTTGATATTCCTCAGTTCCGACCACCCTCCTATCACTTTCCTGCTTTCTTTTCTCTCTCTAACCACTTGAGATTTATTGATGCTGTTAGATTTTGGATGGCAAACATGGCGGATGGGAGATTTGATTTTATTATTTCGATTCACATGTTTTGAAGTAACGTCCAGTAATGCCTGGTCAGTCCATATGTTATTAATATACCGTCACTAGTCGTAACACATTTACTTAACTCAGTTCCAAATTTTTGTAGTTTGTCTTTAATTTGATATTCCTCAGTTCACCATTCCTATCACTTTCCTGCTTTCTTTTCTCTCTCTAACTACTTGAGATTATTATGCTTGATTAGATTTTGATGGCAAACATGGCGGATGGGAGAGTTTGGCTTCGAATTCTGGCACTGATGAAATGATACTAATTTATTTGAATGTCTGATGATGTATTTTTATTTTGTAAATGTGTGCTAATATGTGAAAGTTTGTATTAACCATATTGTATTAGTAATGCTAACGATACATAAAACCATGAAATTCTGTTCAATCAAATTACTCATTTGGTGTTGACCATGGGTTTGACTAAATTCGGATGTGATTAACCTGAATCGGAAAACTGACTGACCCTCGGTTCAACCGGTTGAACCAGCTGTTCAAATAAATAAATAAAAAAGCATGTTAATAATTATATATTATAAGATGAATCAGTTAAGCATTTTATAATATCTGTATAAGTGAGTCCAAATGTATGTTTATCTGAAGAAGATATATGATCGTTTGCCGTTAATTAGAAAACAAGTCTAAAATATTTGTTTATATATAGTTCTTATTGATATTTCTTTACATCTCAATTTTTTTTTTTTGAAAAATAAATTCTGAAATAAGAAAAATCTACTATTACTCCATTAGTCAAATAAAAATCAAAGCAGCCGCTAAAAATTCTAAAATGGAATAAGAAAGATTCAAAAGTAGCAATACTCATAGGCTAATGATAGTGCTGTGTCAGCCACTATAACTTGAGGATCTTTCCTTTCCTCCATAAGTGCAGCCCAAATCTATGAACAGGACAGCGTCTGTTCTTGCACTAGCCCAAAAACTTGACTTAAAGATTAGCTTGTGCACCGTCGACTCATCTTTAAGCTCCACTAATTCCGCATATTAGTGGTGTATAATAATTTTGATTAGGAAAATTGAAAGCACATGATTACTTCAAATACATTCATTCGTGTCTAATCACTATTGATCCAATAATGCTTCTGCACCAAACTCAGAACATTCTTCTTGATTATGTATTTGACAACCGCCAACCAACAAACTTAAACATTAAACTATATCGCATCAACGCGCATTCAATTTTGGTGATAGCTACACTTTCAAGTCTTTCTAAACATACTTTTCACAAGAAAATGCAGCCTTGAAACAATTGGACAGACCGAGTCTTTCTTGTACCTGACATTAACCCCATATTTGTTCATACTGTCAGCTAAGACACTGTTTTTGCATATGCTGTAATGATTCAGTAATATCTTCGCAGTCTGCACACACAACCTCGACCATAAACTATGGATATAAGATAAATGTTTAGCAAACAGAAGAAAGAGGAACATTCTCAACTATGAGAACTTCTGTCTCTTTGGTCCTTCTAGTTTCTTTGATAGTTTTGCCATTTTCTTGTAAAGCAAGCTTCGCTTTAACCGCGGAAGCTTTAGCCCTCCTAAAATGGAAAACAAGTCTTGGGAATCAATCAATTCTCCGGTCATGGGTAATACCCAGAGAAAATGACAATTCCAGTGCTGCATATCACTGCAAATGGCGTGGAATAACTTGTAATAAAGCAGGCAGTGTTACTGAAATAAATCTTGCTTACACAGGTCTAACAGGTACTCTCCAAGACTTAGATTTCTCCTCCTTTCCAAACCTTCTCCGTCTTGATCTTAAAGTAAACCAGCTTACAGGCATCATTCCATTAAACATAGGCATACTTTCCAAACTCCAGTTTCTTGATCTTTCTACAAACAATCTTAATGGAACTTTGCCTCTTGCTCTTGCTAATCTTACTCAGGTTTATGAGCTTGACTTTTCTCGAAACAATATCAGTGGTGTGCTAGACCCCCGCTTGTTCCCTGATGGAACAAGTTTTACCAAAACTGGCCTTGTTAGTCTAAAAAATTTTCTCCTTCAAACTACAGGACTTGGTGGCAGAATTCCTGAAGAAATAGGAAATCTGAAAAATCTGTCTCTTCTAGCTTTAGATGAAAATCATTTCTATGGTTCAATTCCTTCCTCTCTAGGAAATTTGAGTCAGTTGACCATTCTACGCCTTTCCAGCAACCAATTATCAGGGGAAATTCCACCAACTTTAGGCAATTTGAAAAAGTTAACTGATTTGCGCTTGTTCAAAAACCAATTGTCTGGTTTAGTGCCTTCAGGATTAGGCAATCTTTCATCATTAACTGTTCTACACCTTTCTGAGAATAACTTAACTGGCCATTTGCCACCACAAGTATGCAAAGGTGGAAAGCTAATCAATTTCACAGCTGCTTTCAACAATTTCTACGGTCCAATCCCTGTTAGCCTAAACAACTGTCATTCCTTATACAGAGTTAGGCTTGAACATAACCAACTTACAGGAGTTTTGGACCAAGATTTTGGAGTATATCCAAACCTCACTTATATTGACCTAAGTTTCAACAAGTTGAGAGGTGAGCTCTCTGCAAAATGGGGTCAATGCCAAAACCTGACACTTCTGAGAATTGCTGGGAATATGGTAGGTGGCAACATTCCTGCTGAGATTAGTCACCTGGAGCAGCTAGTAGTACTTGACCTTTCTTTGAACCAAATTTCTGGTGACATACCAGAAAATCTTGGAAAATTATCCAAGCTTTTGCTTCTAAGCCTGAAAGATAATAGGCTTTCAGGTCAGGTGCCAACGGAAATTGGAGAATTATCCAACTTGCAGTCTCTAGACCTTTCTATGAACATGCTAAGTGGGCCAATTCCACATCAAATAGGAGACTGTTCTAGACTTCAAATGCTGAACTTGGCCGAGAATAAGTTGAATGGCAGAATCCCTTATCAAATTGGTAATCTTGCAGCTTTGCAAAATTCACTTGATTTGAGCTACAATTTTCTTACTGGAGAAATCCCTTCTCAGCTTGGAAAGCTTGCAAGTTTAGAACAACTGAACCTATCATGCAATAATCTTACCGGTTCAATTCCTTCTTCTCTTAGTAACATGTTGAGCTTGATTACTTTCAATCTTTCATATAACAACTTAGAGGGTCCAATTCCTGATAGCAACATCTTTCGCTCAGTCGATCCAAGCGCTTATAGCAACAACAAAGACTTATGCAGTGGTGAAATGCAAGCTTTGAGACCCTGCAATACCACTACTACTGAAAAGAGCGACACAAATAGAAAAAACAAATTCGTTGCAATTGCTCCTTCAATGGCAGGTGGGCTATTTCTTTCACTTGCATTTGCAAGTATTCTTGCATTTCTCCACAAAAGAAACATGTCAACAGATGAAAGCAAATCAAGCAGTAGAGAAGAAGATCAATTCTCGGTATGCTACTTTAATGGCAGGATTGTGTATGAAGACATTATTCAAGCTACAAAAAACTTCAATGACATGTACCGCATTGGAGAGGGAGGAACCGGAAAGGTTTACAAAGCGGAAATGTCAGGCTGTCAAGCGTTAGCAGTAAAGAAGCTGAATTACCTTGGCAAAGACGGAGAAGTTGAAAGGATAAAAAGTTTTAGCAATGAGGTAGTAGCTTTAGCAGAACTACGCCATCGCAATATTGTAAAACTCCATGGATTCTGTTACAAAAGAAAGCATGCATTTTTGGTTTACGAGTTCATAGGAAAAGGAAGCTTAGCTAATATGCTAAGCAGTGAGAAAGGAGCTACGGAGTTGGATTGGGAAAAGAGGATTAAAATTATTAAAGGGGTTGCTCATGCTTTATCTTATATGCATCATGATTGTAATCCACCTATGATTCATCGAGACATATCCAGCAATAATGTTTTATTAAACTCTGAACTTGAGGCTCTTGTATCAGATTTTGGCACTGCCCGGTTTTTGAAGCCGTATTCATCTAATTGGACAACAATTGCAGGAACATATGGTTACGTAGCTCCTGGTAATTAATTAAGCTAAGAAATCTTTATTGAGTGGTTTTTTGCATAATAACATATTCTTTAAACAGATCATTGTTATGTTACTTATTGCAGAGCTAGCTTACACGGCTGCGGTGACTGAGAAATGTGATGTTTATAGTTTTGGGGTGCTGGCATTAGAAGTTATGATAGGGAAGCATCCAGCAGAACTCATATCATATCTGCAATCATTGACTGATAGATGCATATGCTTAGAAGATGTCTTAGACGGACGTATCTCGCCTCCAACAGATCAACAACTTACTGATAAATTGTCGTGTTTGTTGAGTATTGCTTTCATATGTTTAAGAGCTAATCCTGAATCTCGACCGTCCATGAGAAACGTATCTCAGCTTCTTGAAATGAAGGACAGTTCTGATTGTTAGTACTAATTCCTAAACACTAGTTTGTATATATGTTAATTATTTAGTCCATATCTTAACAATCAAACTAATTATGAAGTACTACTAATTTGTCCATACATCAATCAATCCTTACATTTATCTTTGTATCTTTTTGTGCTTGTATTTGCCTTTTCTTAAGTAAGAATTTTGCTCATTTTGCCATCTTCAAATTTCAGGAGAACGACAGCAAGAAAACAAGGAAAGAATGGTAAACGGCAAGAGAAATAAAAAATAAACGACAAACCATAAATTTCACTGGAAAAGTAATGACAAATATAACGAAACTATTATTTGGCGAGAAAAATATATTTATTCTTGGTAAAGGTAAATTTATCATGATAAATGTATTTTTATCTATTCATCAATAGCAAAAATATCACTATTTCAAACAAAGAAGCTCTTAATTAAATAAAACCATGATTCAATAATTTTTTTAAGCAACAATTTCAGTCGAACTTTGAAAACTTTATAGTAATTTGCCTAATTTTTACAAGTAATGTAAATTACCGACATTCTTTTCAAAGTGAGGAAATTACTGTAGTTGAGTCATACTCATACCTTTCATTTTACAGTGCGTACAGTACGGTACGCTGTATATATTATATAGCTTGATAAAATACGAACTGAAACCATTTTTGTTTCCAGAACCTAATTAATAAATAATTAAATGATAAAGTTGCGTATAATCAAGATCATTACTCCCACGTTTCTATGAAGTCCAAGTCGCGTTTGTAATGATTTGGCCAAATTAATTCCCGCGCATGCAACTCTGAAAATTACCTGATTTCCACATAATTGAGTGCTGCCACATTTTTTCAAACTCTGAGCTACAAGACCGCGCGTTCTGAGATTCTACGCTCCATCTAGTTATGAACGCGTTTAGCCGAAATATTTGTCATAGACTTTGAAACACCAACAAGCTATATATGTATATGTATAAATAATACTAACATACCATGTTCTTCAGATTCAAGAATGGCCTCTGCTAACAAGTTGTTTTATCTTTGGGCGCTGCTTTTCATTGCCCTTCTCCTTCTACTATCCCCTTCTGCCGCGTCCAGATATCTGCTAAACCCTCTTCTTGTCACTGGTAATTTGATCTGCTATTTAATTAATTAAATAAAAATATATTGATCGTCATGAAATTTACACTCTCTTGTATAATATAATGCAGACGAGGCGAGGATGCTGATAGATAATGAACCTCAAGATGATCCTCATGGAGGCAATTATAATTAATTTAGGTTTTGATCTTCGACTGTAATAATTAATATTTGTAGAAGAATGATCTACTATATTGTTGTTCCTATGCATATATAATATTAATAAGAAAGATTAATGCTGAAGTTTTCTTTGCTTCATCACTGAATGTTTATGGGATGCTTGCCCAGATAGAAACTGGGGTGCAAATGGTGTTGTAGCCTTTTTTTTTGCCATATCAAGTAGAAAAATTAAAGATGCTAAATATTTATAGTTTAATAATAATGGACAAGAGCAGAGGACCAAATGTTTTATTTATATTAATTATAAGTATTTATTTATTGGCCCATATTACCTTCATCTTAATTATATTTATATTCATTTTCATATTGAACCAATTTATAAGTATTCACTGTTAGTGTTTTCAAAAAAAAAAAAAAGTATTCACTCTTAGTGGTAAAACGTCACCGGATTGCAATTGCAAAAACCTCACAATTCTGCTCCATCGCATCTGCGAACCCTCAGGTGCGAGTGGTGCAGGTGCTAAATTGATGAAGAGAAAAACCCTAAAGAGAAGGGAAGCAATAAGGAGAGGAGAGAGAGTATAATGAAATGAAGGGCACCTTAGCGAGACACTTTCAGCTAGGAAAAGTATCTCTATTTCCTCTCCAGTACCAGCAATCTTCTTCTTTCACCTCAGTTTCCTATTCATCCTCTCGTCTCCAATACCTTCTAGTTTCTGAAGCCGCCTATCCACAGTGCCTTTCTCGTTGGGTAACCCCACCAATAGAGATGTCGATGTTGATGAGAAAGATTTCATTCTCAGTCAGGAACTTTTCTGGTAAGTTTCTCTTCAATTTGTTGTTGTACAAGATTATTAAGCTGTTGTCTTTAGTAAATTCTTGTGATTTTTCAGTTTTTGATAATGGGTTATCGGTGTTTCCTTAGCAATTTTGTAAAATTGATCAATTTTCTTCTGGATTTTTTTGAGGTGTGTCGAGGTAATTGAATAGTAAGGTGCATTCGAGTCTGGAAGTGAAAAATCCTTATTTGAAATCCCAGAAAACGATTGCGAAGTTGATACTAAGTTTAGATTCATTTCAATATAACTAAATGCAAAACTTGCTCCGTGGTGCTACTTCTGATGGTTTTTGAAATCAAAGGCAATTATTTTGGCACCAATTAAATTCTTTTTGTAAAGGTAGAGAAGGAAGGTACCTAAATTAACCTAACCCTTGTTGTTTTGACACTAATTGAGCTTGGGTGAAGTTAACCCGAAGCTCAATCGTGGGTCCGCAGCTTTATAATTTTTTAATCAGATAATGTGGTGTTTGGAGTGCAATTAATCTCAAAATTGCATATTGGTGCATACATGTCAAAAAATTGTATGATCGCAACAAGTTGCAAAGTTCAGGGTATTGTAGCTTATTAGGCCTTTTAATGCAGTTTTGTCGGTTTGTTTCCATTTTACATATTGGTAACCCACTGTAAATTTTTTTTTTTTTTTTTTTTTTTAGTATTTTTAATGAAGATAATGTGGTGTTTGGAGTGCAATTAGATCTCAAATTGGGGCATATTGGTGCAACTACATGTCAAACAATTGTATGATCGCAGACAAGTTGCAGTAAGTTATGGGTATGTGTAGCTTATTAGGCCTTTAATCGCAGTTTTTGTCGGTTTGTTTCCATTTGTACATATGGGTAACCATGTAAATTTTTTTGTTATTTTTTTTTTTTGGTTATATTTCTTTATTGCATAGTTCTTTTCCCCGTTTTTTTTTTTTTTTTTTTTGGTTATATTCTTTATTGCATAGTTCTTTTCCCCGTGACTGATCTAAGACAATGAGTGGCAGTTGTATTTATAAATTTATAGCTGGTAAAACGCCAATAAATTTGGTATCTAATTCAATCTTTGAAACTATTTTTGTTGTATAATATTACTAGTCTGAAGCTCATTTGTTTTAGTCGCTGTTTTTTTCAGGAACAGAAAAGTTTTCTATTATGTAAAGTAAACTTTGAGGTAAATTGAATTTCTGTTTTGACAAATGTCCAAAAACTATTGGATTCATGGCCAAGTTCTTTATGTTCACTAATGCTAAAAGGAGCCAAGCTCACAGCTCATTTGGGCAAAATGCTGCAGAATTTGCCCAAAAGCTCTTACGTCTCTTTTTCTGCATCTCGATTATGTAGGAATTGTAGTAATGTCAGCTCCAAAGATGATGAGTCAAAACATGAGACTGATTGGGAAAGATTACTCAAGCCATTTGACCTCAAAGAGCTTCAGAAATCTTTTAATCAAATCACTCCATTTCAGCTCTGTAAGCTTCTTGAATTGCCACTTGATGTAGTCACATCAATGGCATTATTCCAATGGGCAGGTGCCCAAAAGGGTTATTGCCACACATTTGAGGTCTATTATTTGTTAATTAATAAGCTCGGGGAAGATAAGGAGTTTAAAGTTATAGATAGCTTGTTGTTGCAGATGAAAGAAGAAGGGATTGTTTTTAGAGAGTCCCTCTTCATATGTATTATGAAATATTATGGGAGAGCATGTTTTCCTGGTCAAGCTACTAGGTTGTTGTTGGATATGAAGGGTGTTTTTTCTTGTGAACCGACATTTAGGTCTTACAATGTTGCATTGGATGTACTGGTTTCTGGTAATTGCCCTAGTATTGCATCCAACATTTTTTATGAAATGTTGAGTAAGGGTGTTTTGCCCACTGTTTACACATTTGGGGTGGTTATGAAAGCACTTTGTATGGTTAATGAAGTTGATAATGCCTGCTCACTACTAAGAGACATGACAAGATATGGGTGTGTGCCTGATGCAGTGGTCTACCAGACTCTCATACATGCACTTTCCAAGAGGGATAGAGTGAGTGAAGCATCGAAACTGTTGGAGGAAATGTTCTTAATGGGTTGCAAGCCTGATGTTGATACCTTCAATGATGTCATTCATGGTTTGTGCAGGCTTAATAGGATTCATGAGGGAGCAAAATTGGTAGATCGGATGCTTCTCCGAGGTTTCACCCCTAATGATATGACTTACGGAGTTTTAATGCATGGGTTATGTACCACAGGTTGTGTTGATGAAGCCCAGGTATTGTTGAACAAAGTCCCTGGTCCAAATGCTGTTCACTTTAATATCTTGATCAATGGGTATGTGAAGAGCAGGCGCTTGGATAAAGCCAAGGCACTTTTTTATGATAGGATGTTAAGTAATGGATATAGACCTGATGTTTTCACATTTAATATATTGATACAGGGGCTTTGCATGAAGGGGCTTATGGGTTCAGCTCTTGATCTTGTTAATGAGATGGTTGTCCATGGTTGTGAGCCAAATGCAATAACATACACTATTGTGCTTGATGGGTTCTGCAAGAAAGGTCAACTAGAGGAAGCTTGTCATGTTTTTAATGAGATTTCGGCTAAGGGACTTGGTCTGAATGTAGTGGGGTACAATGCCCTAATATCTGCTTTGTGCAAGGATGGGAAGGTTCATGTAGCTCTGAACATGCTTGGTGAAATGTCGAGCAAAGGATTCAAGCCTGACATATTTACATTTAATACTCTAATATTTGGTTTGTGCAAGGTTGATAAGATGGAGGATGCCTTAGGATTGTATCGTGATATGTTATTGGAGGGTGTTATTGCCAATACTGTAACTTACAACATACTGATTCATGCTTTTTTGCAGAGAGATGCAATTCAAGAAGCACTTAAGCTTGTGAATGATATGTTATTTAGAGGGTATCCTCTCGATGAAATCACTTACAATTGCCTAATAAAAGCATTCTGCAGGGCTGGGGCCATTGAGAAAGGATTAGGATTGTTTGAAGAAATGATCGGGAAGGGTCTAACTCCCAGTACTATCTCATGCAATATATTGATTAATGGCCTGTGTAGAATTGGTAAAGTACATAATGCACTTGAGTTTCTAAGGGATATGATTCATCGAGGATTGTCTCCTGACATTGTCACCTACAACAGCCTCATTAATGGTTTATGCAAGATGGGACGCATTCGGGAGGCTTTCAGTCTCTTTGAGAAATTGCGTGTTGAAGGAATACATCCTGATTCTATTACTTATAATACTTTGATCTGTTGGTATTGCAGAGAGGGGATGTTTGATGATGCCTTTTTACTCCTTCATAGAGGTGTCAATAATGACTTTGTACCTAGTGATGTGACATGGTATATTTTGGTTAGCAATTTTGTTAAAAAGATTGGTCAGGAGAATTCAACCTTCTACTATTCTCAGTTTTAACTGGCTGGATTCACTTGAAGAAAGCTTCAGATATTGGAAGATATGACTTCTTTAGGCATTGTGAATGATCCCTTCCAGTTGCGTCCAGAATCCACAGCAAAAGATTGTCAATGCATTTTCGCACAATACAAATCTGCTATATCCTTCTATTCCCTACTTAATGGTCTGTAGTTGATGAGTTGGCATTTTTGTTGGATTTGACAATAATGCTGATTTGATGATCTTCTATATAGGTTTTGCAGATTGATCTGCTACTTGAGATGGATATCACAATACATATAAGAGGTTGATTCCACTTTAAAAGAGTAACCGGATGAATTTCAACGTAGATGAATATCTGAAGGTTATCCTGGTTTGTAGATTAATGGAAGATGGGTATCCAAGGGGACCTCTCTGGATTGTCATTCACTTGGATACATACTCATCTATGTGGTTGTCCGGTGATTATTTATGTACCCTCTTTACTTGTCCTTGTTTTGTTTTCATTGTTCCTTCGATTTCCATAGTATTACTGATATTTTCTGTTTATTCTGCAGACAAAGGAGCAGAGGTAGCTGTCGAATATTCCTGTATTGCATACAGAAATGATCCATGAGCAGATAATGAGATGAATAGGCTTCTTTTTGTATGATTCCTCTAGCCTAGTGCACCTTTAAATTATTATTATTATTTTTAAAATAATACATAGAATTTCAATTTGTGTAACGCTAAGGTCACCCATTTCAGGCTAAACTATATACAATATAGATATATATTCAATAATAATGATGATGAATATTAAAAATTCAAGATGATACAATGATGTTATAATTTGATATCATCAAAATTAACTGGTGAAGGGGAATTCAACTTGAAAATGGGTCCAAATTGGAATCCTTACTAATAATTTTAAGGGGAATCGATTTTCTTATGATTTGATTTGGATGTGAAAAGGGATTTGCAATCTTGGCAATCGGTTCGAAGGAAGATATAATTAAATCCCATGCAAATAGTATATTTTGATGCTTTAATAGTTACATAAGGAGAGTGTTGACTGACTCTAACCATACTTAAAATGTCGCTGTAAAGATCGTCTTACCGGTAAAATAATAATTACACCAAAGCATAACTTGTGTCGTAAAAAACACAGAGATATATCAGTCAGAAAAATACAAATGAAGAAAGGAGGTGTGGGGATATGCCTGAGATTATACAAACATGAGACACAATCCCAACTTCACATGACATGATTTTTCAGATTCTTATATTTATATGCATGCACTACAAGAATAAGATCGTTTTGGCAGTATCCTTTTTAAGCAATCAATCCTAAGATTACTAGCTATCATCTTTCTTTTTGTTTTTAATTTCAACTGAAAAAGCATACAATCCAAATAGCTATGATGCAAGATTTAGACTTAACGGGGGTATATATACATGTAATAAGTCTACAAAAAAAGAAAAATCAATATTTAACATCAAATAAAATTTTGAAATTTCAGAGAGATATCATGTCTATCAGTAGCTATTTTCATAAAAAAAAAAAAAAAAAAAAAAAAAAAAAAAAAATCATTGTAACCTTTATCAAATTTTCATTTGAAATTTTTAAAAAAAAAAAAAAAAAAAAAAATCTTGTACCTTTATCAAATTTTCATTTGAAATTTAAGGAAATATTTCACGTAAAAGTTTTTTTACATTAAAAATTTTATGAAAGGAGAGAATTGATATGCAAAATTGAAATAAATTCATGTTATATCGTTAGATAGTTTTTAATAGTTTGCCTATATATATATATAATAGAAAAAAAAAAAAAAATGCCGTCCAAATCCTCAAACAAAATTCATGCATCAGTAGCAAGAAAAGACAGGTATTTGATGCCTATCCGTTTGACCAATTTTAGCAAAGTCAACCAATAGACACCTAGTTAATTAACGATAGAGTAACTAATCATGAAATAAAAATTGACTTAATTAATTCTTAAAAAAACATATATATTCATATGTCAAAATGCAATTGTTGGTTTACATCTTTTATACTAAAACACAAATATTAAACTTTAAATCCAAAGTCAACAAAACCCCCCCCATTAATTTGCATAAATGAAGTGGACTTCTATAATTAATTACATTTAATTCTCATAAATTGGCAACGCGTTTAGGAGGCTTAACTTAATTTTAAGCTGCCGCCCCGCGCCTGCACCACCACCACCACCACCACCACCTCCTTCCTTTACCCTTTGAGACGATGGAGTGGCCCAGCTGATAAAAATCCCAAGAGACATGGAAGATCCCCCCCAATTTTATTTATTTTATACGTGTTCTAAAAATATATTTTATTATTAATACATAAATATAATACATTAAATTTCACAACATTATAATAAATTATTATTATTATTATAGTAATTCGGTGATATATCTTAGGAAAACCGTTAAGGAAGTTGACTCGACGTGTGTATATATAGAGGAGAGAAATAGAGTATGTTTCAGAACTAAAACACAGAGAGAGAGAGAGAGAGAGAGAGAGAGAGATGAGGAGCCATCAAGTTCGTCTGAACTGTGGAATTACAATGCCAGTTATTGGACTGGGCACTTATTCCTTCCAAAATGATGATGAGACCACACAACTTGCTGTCCATAATGCCCTTCAGGTTCATTTCAAACTTGCTTACTGTGCTCTTCATTCTTGCTTGCACAGTTCTTTCTATACTCATCGCTAATCAAAAGAACCTTAAGCAATTTGGGTTGGAAATCCTTAAATAGGAAGAAGGAATGGTCAAGTTTTAACTCCCTATTGTCTTTTTTGCGTTATGAGATAAATACTCGATCATTTAGCTACTAATTTTCATATATATCCTCTGCAGAGTTTCCTATAGCTAGTACCTTCTTGTCAAGTGCTATTAGAATAGATTCAGCAAGAACAAATTAAAGAACTGGGATTTTAAAGAGGCTAATATAAATTGTGGTGTATATGCAGATGGGCTACAGGCACTTTGACACAGCAAAGGTGTATGGTTCAGAGCCAGCCATAGGAAATGCTTTAGCAAAAGCAATTAATGATCAAACAGTGACAAGAGAGGACATTTTTGTTACATCTAAGCTATGGGGTTGTGATCACCATGATCCTGTTTCAGCTCTCAACCAAACTCTCGAGTAAGAACTACAAGTACAGTATAGTACCGACGGAAAATTTCCCAATTTTCATAAGATCTTCTTGTCAAATATACGCCCAAATCTTTTTCCAGTTGAAAAAAAATACTTTTTTGTTGCACATAATTTTATTAAGATATAAGATCAGATAATAATATAAACTAACAATTAATACAAGTTTCCAAGATTATGGGATAAGAGAATCCTGAAAAATATTCCGATGGAATCTTTATTGTTTGAATATAGGAAACTGGGGATGGAGTATGTAGATATGTATTTGGTGCACTGGCCAGTGAAGCTGAAGCCTTGGGTTAGTTATCCGGTGCCTAACGAAGAAGATTTTGACAAGTTATTAGACATTGAGTCCACATGGGCTGGAATGGAGAGATGCTTGGATTTGGGATTATGTAGATGTATTGGTGTCAGCAATTTTTCCAGCAACAAGATCTTAAGCTTATTGGATTCTGCTTCTGTTCCTCCAGCTGTTAATCAGGTACTGTACTATTACTGTACAATCATAAACATATTATTAATTAATGCTTACTCTGATTTTTACACCATAAAATCATGTATTAAAATGGCAAATCGGAACAAATCAGATGTTAATATGAATTCATGTTTAAAAAAATTTTACTAATTATATGAAATAAATACAAAGTTAAAATCTGAATTAGATTCCATAACTTTCCACGTTATTCAAACTTTCTTTTTAAGTGATTGCTTCTTTAATATATATAAATAAATGAAAGATTTACCAATATCGAGCGTATAGATAAAAAAAAAAAAAGAAAATATTAATGACAAATGACAATCAACTATTGAGTAGATTTGTTACTGATATACATCAATATAGGTTAGAAGAACAATTTACAAACACAAGAAATATTTGGCAAAATAATTTAAAATTGTTAATGAAAGTTCCGTGGAAGTCGTTAGACAAACGGATTTGTAAAAGCTCTTTCTCTAGGTTGAATGAACCAATTAATCATATCTTAAGCAATTTCTAACATTAGCCATTATTTTTTTAAAGACTAAAAGTCAATGGATGATGATATATATATATATATATATATATTATTTTTTAAAGAAACGTAAAAGTCGAATGGATGATGATATATAATAATTATATATATATATATATATATATATATAAGTGATGAAATATCTATAATATGAGAAAAATATAAAATGATTAAATATAAATTCAATAAAAATCATTTCCATACATAAATATTATAAATATGTTATTTAACGTAAATTAATTTATTTTTTACATTTATTTGATATCCATTAACTTCATAAATTTTTCCATTCACAAATATTATGAAATCGGTTTTTATCATTTTAACATATACATGACAATTATATTAAACATTAAATTTACTAAAATATATTAATATATAATTATACACGTCCAAAGCACCTGCTAAAAGACTAGTAAATACAAAAATCTTTATAAAAATAAAATAAAATAACATTTTTTATTTCTACCCCGCACAAAAAATATATTCCAGAACCCCCCCCCCCTCTTTTTTTTTTTTTTTTTTTTTTTTTTTTTTTTTTTTTTTTTTTGGCTTTTGGTAGTGGACCTCTAATTATTTCTTAACGCCGCGCTCGCTTGTTTTTTTTTTTTTTTTTTTTTTTTTTTTTTTTTTTTTTTGGCTTTTGGTAGTGGACCTCTAATTATTTCTTAACGCGCGCTCGCTTGTCCTATACTGGAACAAGTAATGGTTCAATGAGCCTTAAAAAGGAGAATTTTGATAATTGAATTGTATGGTGAAGGTGGAAATGCATCCACTGTGGAGGCAAGCCAAGCTGCGAGAGGTGTGTGGAGATTACAAAATACATGTGAGTGCTTACTCACCACTTGGTGGCCCTGGAAATGCCTGGGGCTCAACCGCTGTGGTTGATCATCCTGTCATAAAATCCATTGCTCTCAAACACAAAGCAACCCCAGCTCAGGTAAACATATTTTACTCATTTATCTACTAATTGGGCTTTAAGATGTATATATCACTGTAGGTTAGGTAATAACAAATTCTGATATTTTTGTAGGTTGCTTTAAAGTGGGGATTATCAAAAGGGTCTAGCATGATTGTGAAGAGCTTCAATCAGAACAGGATGAAGGAAAATATTGAGGCCTTGGATCTCAAATTGGATAATCAAGATCTTTTGGACATTGACAAATTGGAGGAGAGGAAGATATTGAGAGGAGAGGTTTATGTTAATCAGACAACAAGTCCATACAAGACAATTGAAGACCTTTGGGATAATGAAATTTGAATATTTGATGGACCTATAATGTTGTTGTATTTCATATTTCTCATTGTCAATTTATCAAATAACAAGGATCCTTCTGTATCCTTTCCCCTGCTCTAGTCTATTACTTTCAGAAATGAAAGATTATGCATAGTCTATAAAGTATTCAATAGTACATTCATTGTGCTTGCTGAAACTTGAAAGTGTGCTATGAATCAACAAGATGTTCCATAGATCTAATGCTATTATACTTTGAGACCAGGAATAACCTAATTAGTTATCTGGGTTTAGTTACAAACTACAATATCAGAATACCAGTGGCAGATATAACATGTCAAAAACATGTTTTTACCTGAACAATTTGTCATTATGTTGGACAGGGCACATAATGTGCACTGAAAGGGCAGCACAGGTTCTGAAACTTCCGCCATCCTTTATCTGTCAGCTTACTTCTCTCAAATGAAGATTAAAAGAAGAATGATCGTTGTAAGATCATTCTGGCCAGCTAATTTTGACAACAGGATGATCCCTATGTCAAAGTACAGGATTTACATTGTTCATGCGGATCATCCGCGTATGGCCACATTGCAGATGCTAATTATCAGATAGCAACTTCAGGGTTTGTGACTTCTTGAAAAATTTACCACCTTTCTTTCCCACACCAGTCCCTGCAAGACTGGATGCTAGAAGAGATTTGGTATCTGGCCTCCATTTCAACTCTTTCATAACAGAGAACAAGGTTGAAAGAGCAGGAGAGACTTCACAATCCTTTATGTGTTTGCAGGACTGTACTCTAAGATGTTGAAGCTCCTTAAAGCTAAGAAGTACAGTTTCCAGGCCTTGTGTTGTTAGCAAGGAGCATCCTTCTAAAGATAGTAACTTTACCCTCCTGTAAAGAAAGTAAAAACATTATCTCCCTGTTATATGACTTTTAAATATTTGAACCCTACACGTTATTTCTAACTCACTGTTACAAATTGATGCCCATCTATGACTAAAATATTATAGCATGAATTATTGAATTCTCTGAAAATTATTTAATCTATTACCTAAGACTTTGTTGAATGTCAACTCCACAACTTGATAAAAAGAAACTGCCAAAATGTGGTCAATCAGATATAGGACAATGTCCCCTATACTGGCCGTAGGATGCATATTCCTTATATACGCAGTTAAATACCAATAATTTGCTGTCACTGAAAGTGAGCATTTCCTAGAGCATATCAATTACTCAAATCATTGAAGTAAACTAAATGCAAAAATGAATTTCATAAGTTTGTACCAGAGATATTTCATCTGCAATAATTCAATAACTTAGAAGCATAACCAACTAACAAAAATAATCAAAGAGAGCACGAATAACCAATTACCTGCAAACACTTGCAGAGCTGAATATGTTATTGTCCAAACCCCAGCAATCCTGAACTACGATTTCCCTAACAGCTTGACAAACCTTAAACATGGCTCTAATGCTCTTTTTATCCCTCAATTGACACTTCTGTAACAGCAACCTCTCAAGGGCGGGGCACGAACCCAAATATTCATCTGGCCCTGGACTAATATCAATCTTCTTACATGAAAGAAACCTCAAAGTTTTCAAATTTTCACAATAAGAAAGTGCACCCAACCACCCATCATCCATCCTATGATCACAGAGGGTCAATTCTTCAAGCATTTGGCAACACTGTCCAATTGCCTTAACCCCATCAAAACTACCCTCACATCCACTAAGCTCAAGCTTCACTAATCTCTTGCACCCTTGAGCCAAAATGGTCAACCCAATATCTGAAACCAAAGAGGTATAAAGGCCATTCACGTTTCCTACAAGTTTCAAGATCTGCAAATTCTCACATGCTGCAATCCCACGCAAGACATTGTCATTGCACTTGTGTAACTCCAAATCTTGCAAAGTTAAACACTCCTCAGCTACGCTCAACAAACCTAACTCACTAGCACCAACCACTACAAGCTTACGCAGATTTGGGCAAGCACTGGCCAATGCTTTTAGCCCTCTGTCAACTATCTCTACAGGCAATAAATTCTCCTCACAAATTCGCCAACTTGGAAAAAAACCAGAAATCTCAGAATTGATATGCATGTAAAGGATACAGTGGTTTAACCAAATACTAGAATTATGAGGGGTAATAATACAACCATTTATCAAATCCACATGCGTAAGATTTGGGAATCTCGCAATTAATCGACCGGATTCAATGAACTCCCAATCCAACACCTTCAAGGACCGCACGAGGCGGCCTTGGAGATTAAGCCACCGCTTGCAAACAAGGAAGTTAGGGTTTCTCTGCGAATCGGGTAGTTTGGAGAGGATTTTAAGGAGAAGCTCGTCACTTAAGAGAAGTGTACGGTCGATTTTGGCGAAATTGCGGATTAGGTTTTCGGCTTTGGTTTTGGAATCTTTCGTGGGGGTAGGAGGACCGGAGAGAGACTGGAGTTGCATAGCAAAGACTACGTGTTTTAAAGGTTTAGTATTCTTGAGCCACAGGTCTGACCAGCTTGGTGACCTCTTCTTCTTCAACGGCGGGTTAAGGTCTGTGGTTGGCTTCTCTGATGAAAACGACATCGCAATGTTAAGGCGCCGGTGCTGGTGCTAATGCTGCTACTCAGGTTTACCTCTGCTTCTTTTGCACACGGACGACATCCATCCTCTGTTCCTCTCTCTACAGATTTTTCTCAGCTACTCCTTGGCTTCTGACTCTCTCTCTCTCTCTCAGTTTTGACTACTGAAGGCTTTGCATTTCTGCATTAAAGATCAGTATTTGATTTTTCCTCTGTAAACTCTCTGTTTCCTTCAAAACCGGATAAGCAGATACTGGATGCTTCCTCTTTCTCTCCCCATCTCTGTATATTTGCTTATTGTATCTCTTGTAATATATCTATGGGGTTCTCTCTGTCTCTCTCTACAAAGTATGGACTTTCTGGTTTTGGGATTTGAGTGAGGTGTGATAGGTGACAGGTGAAGCCTGACTTTGAACAATTTTGCATTTAGAATGTATTACTAATATATGGGAATGGCGCTTTTTGTTTTTATCTGAAATTTGAATTTGGAGACTGTTTGCTGGTACATGTTATGTTATCTACTGTGATTATTGACTCACAAGCTGCAAAAAGCCCTGTACTATGAAGAAGGTTTCTTGTTTTAATTTTTTGGATTGCTCTTATCCGGATTTGGAAAATTTCTGGATTTGGAAATTTGATATTGAGGAAGGACAGAGATGAAACAACTAACTTGAATAAAAATGAACTGTATATAATCCTTTTAGAAAAACTTGAGTTGTCATTTACCAATCAAGAAATAATATTGAAATTTATAAGATTTGCATTCTATATTCTATTCTTTCTTTAGCATTTTTTGGAATAAATTTTCCGAAAGTTTAATAACATTCTAGAAAAAATTTTAATTACATTCTAACTTTTTATGAATTTAATATTAACTAGTTTTCTCCGTTGATTTTCAAGTATTACAAATAAATGTAATCTAATTCATATATATAATTTTTTATTATAAATTATAATATTATGAACAAATTATATTGTTAAAAATCTACAAAAATTCGCAAAAGAGACAAAAACATTTATGAAATAATAAAATACAATTCTAGTAATTAAATAATTTGTTAAGAAAATAACATATTTATAATAATAATACATTATTATAATTTGACAAAAAATATTTTCATAAAAGTAAAATTATTTATCAACCAATTTTAATTTTTTATAATAATTTAAATTTAAATAACTTAATTTTTTTAAAAGTAAAATTATTTATCAACCAAAATTTTTAATTTTTTTATATATAATTAAAGTTAAAATAACTTAATTTTTAGTATAAAATATGATATCGTGTATATATATGTATATATAATAAATATATATAAGATATATATATATAATATATATCCTTGGTATGGATAGGTTCCTTCCTGGATATATATATATCTATGGTATGGATAGGTTCCTTCCTGGATATATACCTTATATATAATTTTTTTTTATTTATTAAATAGTATTAGATTTAAATAGGGGATCAAAATGAGTTAAAAACTAAATTACATTTATAGTTTCGGCTAATGAATTTAAAATTTTTAATAATATTTTTTATCGATCCATAAATTTGGTAAGGGCATTTTTGATAATTATAATATTCTCCTTTTATTCTCACTTTTATATTATTATAGACAGGTAATAGCTTATTAATAAATGAAATCTTAACATATAACTAAACTGTGAATTATTGGATATTATAATTAAAAAAAGCTCTGAAAGAGAAATTATATAATAATTACAGGAATAAACAAGGTAGGAAATCACAAGCAAAGCAACCTTTTTTTGTTGGCGATTCCCCGACTATAGTATTACTATTACTAACTACTAAACAAAGGACATAATATTTGCTAGCTAACATTATAATATTTTGGGCAGAGATTTTGTACGTCTTGTCAAAGTAGCCGTTATAAGTAGCCGTTTGATGATTTAAAAGTTTGGTTTTAAAGTGGGGACACAAACCTTTAGCAAATCTGAACTTTTTTTTCTGTCTTTAAGCAACCCATGAAACAAATTCATGGATCATGCTTTATGACGTTATCAGTACAAATCATACTTATTTAAAAGGGGCAATGAGTCTGAAAATTCCTAAAATGCAAAGCAAATAAAAATAAATAGAGAGCTATGATAGAAACTATTATTAAGTTTTTATTTTTGACGACTTGCATACATTAACTGTCTTGAAAATTTATCAAAATGCGTTATTTTTGCCGTAGAGATGCTTTCAATTATTTCCACCCAAGATATTAAAATATGCACTGTATAAAGGTGTGGTTTACATTTGACATTTCCAAGACTTTTACATAACGACTAAAAACCCTCTTCTTCAAAGTAACATGTTTCAAACTCAATGGGATCTCAAAAAGTGATGCATTAGAACTGGTTGTTACATAAGGGAAGGAAGGATATTCAACACAGTAGAAAAATGATAGGTTCCCACACTTTTCTTAGCTGGAATTCTTAGGGATATTCAAACCACGGACAGCTTTGTCTTGTAATTGGAAACTCGTATCAGAGCCCATTCCCTGTTCAAGAAATCTTGGACACTCATAATTCATGGATGGTATCATATGCATTATTCATTAGATCCATCTGCTTCCAAATTTAATACGCTCAACGCCACGCCGTAGGCACAATAGATTTTCAAATCAATCTAAACATGCACAAAAATATACGACATTGAACTACTCGTTAAATTTTTGTCGCATTGTTGCTGTTCGATACAGTTCTCCAGCAGGCAAAACCTTCGTATGTCTGCAAAATAGTGCAGAGTTTCTTTACCGCTTATATTAGCATGAGAAGATAACTAGCACAACAAAATACGCAACCAAACAGTACAAAAACAATTAGATTCATATTCACAAACTATACACTGGAATTTCAACTAAGTTCAATGCCATGCCTATAAAATGTGGCATCAGCAATATTCACAAACTATACACTGGAATTTCAATACACTGGAATTTCAACTAAGTTCAATGCCATGCCTATAAAATGTGGCATCAGCAATATTCACAAACTATACACTGGAATTTCAACTAAGTTCAATGCCATGCCTATAAAATGTGGCATCAGCAATATTCACAAACTATACACTGGAATTTCAACTAAGGGTCGAATCCAATCATCTCCAATTGCATGGAGCGTTTATTAACAAGTGCAAAAGGACAATTACTACACTATGTAAACCTTCAGATAGGCCCACAATAACAGCAAAAAGTAATCAAGATGATATCCTGATTTTAATATATCTAGGATGACTGAATTTGTGAGCGGCTTACCATCTGATCAAATTGAGAGCATAGCATTTCAAGTTGTACAAATGGGGGAAGAATTACTCGTATGGGTAGAATCAAGAGCGAGGAGCCGCCATTTGCTGCTTCTTTATCCTTTCCCCTTGTTTTACCATACTGTACAAACACGGAACAAACAGTATCTGTCATCTCAATTTTCCAAACAGAATTTTTTCCATTCCTGACTCAATATAGTCATAAAAGGTCATCATATCAATCTATGGCATGGGAACTACATATCTGAAAGATGGTTTAACCAGCAATAAACTGGGATTTCAACGTAACTAAATAAATATTGCTGCAACATGCATATCCAACTCTAGAATTGGAGTTGATGCCAAAGACAAATAATTTGATGACAACACAGTTCCAGCATTGCATTATTTAAATAAATAAATAAATAAAAGGAAAGAAAAGAAAGAAGCAGCCATCGCAAATAATGGCAGGAAGAGAAGTAGATGATGCTACTGGAAGATGCAATAATTTCAATCACAACAAGAGCATGAACTAGCAGCATGCATAAACAGAGATAATCAATCACACAAATTACAAAATCTCACTTAATGAATTGCCTGATGCACCACATGCATTAAAAAATTTTACATAAAACTCTAAGCCTTGAATTAGTATAAAAATTTATAAGTCTTAAAGTCCCGAGTGAATTGAAGAAGCTAAGTTTCTTTATCTTGAATATGGAGTAATTTATAAAGCTTTACATGTATAAATGCAAGCCTCCATGCACATGTTAATGCATGAAATATCTGCAACAGTCTCAATGTTAGTTGTACAAGTAATTTAAGTAATTTTCAAGAGAATAAAAATTCACTTAAGTTCACTATCAATTCCTTTCTAAACCTAAGAACACATCTTGCTCCTGTTCATATCAAGAGGTTTTACTGGACCTTGGAGAAAAATTACCTACATCAGATTACCAAATTTGACTTTTGTGTGAATATGCTCAAAAAGCTCAATGTTAAGTTGTGTATGAAAATTCTAAAAGACCCAGGTCTGTAGATCCTGGGGGTCCATACAAGTATCACAAAGTAGATCACATAATAGAAAGCACTGTAACAAATGCTTCTATTATCAGTTTCATGCAAGCACTGAATCCAAATTCCAGGGAATGTTCAATTTAATCACTGTTTCTTTTATTGTGCAGGGTTGTGCACAATCACGTCCAACATCAGAAAATCTCAGCACCCCACATCACCTAAACCCACCCACGTAAAAGGAGAGGAAGCAAAGGATTTTTAAAATTGTCCTGCTAGCAGCACACATCATCTCTGGGCAAGTTTGTTAATTATAATTTCAAGCATAATTTAAGAACCTGATATCATGAGGTGTGATAAATATCCACTGACACCCTTGCGCCAATGCAAAGTCCACTAAAGTGTCTAAGCTAATTTTCCGGCTAACCGCATCCTGGACATCCACACAAGCAAGAAACATAGTTATCACAAGTTGCATCCTAACAGAGATCATTCCACATTTTGAAAAGGGATATATAGCTCAATCCTTCAGATATTATCTGAATATATCACTTAAGAATTTCACATCCAGCCATGGAGAATTCAAAGAATAGCTACAACTTAGCAACTCCTCAATGCACATTCAAAGAGTTGCACTTACCATAAATACATCAAACTCATCCATTGCTCGGAATGGGGCTTCTGTCATCTCATGAAGAGCTAATGCAAAGCACAATGTTGAAAAAGAACGCTCACCGCCTAAATAACAAGCAATTATAGAATATCATGACTTTGAGAATTGCTAAAATATCCAAGACAAAGTTGAGCAATTACATTTAAAATATGTGCAGTTACTTAATGATTAGGCAAATGAAATGCAATTTCTTTCTAAAATTCACATAATCAATGAAATCTGTCTATTTAGCTATTATCTTATCTTAAACTTCTAATAGTATAAACAGATATGGAAGCTACAAGTAGAGGGGCAAGTAGAGGGGAGCAAACCTGAAAGACCTCTGGTGTCACGAACAGAGCTGCTTGATGCATCTTGGGGCATCTTTACCTAACCGAGAAAAAGATATAGCATAAGATGAAAAGCAAGAGATTAACATAAGTAGGCACCCATGAATAGAAGAAATTGCTTACCTCTACTTTAAGGGTTTTTTCTTCATAACTAACTTTGATGTTACCACTGATCCCTTTCTTTCCTAAATGACCATTAAAACTAATTGCAAAAATTGCATGGTTAAGAAAAGAGCAGTACAAGATAATTAACAAAATACTTTGGATTGATACAAAGAAAACAAACCACTCAGAGTTACAGATAAAAAGTGGTCTAGTTTGGGGGAAGGGAAAGCAATTCATACTTCCAAGTCAACTGACGCTTTAGAAGAGTACTGTTCCTCTGAAACTTGTTCCATCGCAGATCTAGGGCTTCCTGACAAGCCTGCAGTTCAAAATTTGAGGAAGAAGAAGAGTCAAAAGACTGCAAAAAAAGTGAATAAGTTGGTCCCCAAAATTCAATTTCAGCATTAAAAAAACATCATACTAATGATAACGAATGAGAAACAAAAGGAATCATTGGTATCGAGCACCCTTGCACCTGGCCTAAAGGAAAACAAGAAAACAAGCAGAATATTCACAGCATAAAAACTTGTATATAGCATCCACAACTTAGAAGTGCTTCCTCCATGTGCCCTTAATTTTTTTCCATAGATTTTGAATATAAGGAACAATAAATTTTCCTTCTTCAAATCAAGTGCATAGAAGTTTAGAAAAGGGGCATCGCCTTTTATAAAAGGAATATAGCTCCAAAAAGATAACACAATTTTACAAGGATAAAAAAAGTTAGGTAACAGCATAAAACATGCATATGAAGACGCATTTCAGTGACATCCACCCTCAGAAAAATTAAACCCTTACCTTAAAAAATTTGAGATATAACGGTCTAGCCTATTTAGATTTGAGAAATATAGCTTACCTTCAACTTTTCTCGAAACCCTTGATATGTTTGTTGTTTTTTTAAGATTTTACGTTGCTTTTTCTGGTACAAAATTCTAAGATCATCGATAGAGTCAGAATACCTGCCACAATAAAATATAAAATAAAAAAATACAAAACAAGCTTATAAATTAAAATATATCATTGAGGATTGTTCAAGTGATAAATGGAGACAGCTCATGTTTATACCGCTGGCTCTCATGCTGAAGCCTCTGGTTCAATCTTTTTAATTGGGCGCTGAGTTGCTCTGGGCTGCTCCCATCCCAACCTCCTAAAGCTTCAATATCACTCTCAGGACATATAATTGAAGCTTTTCTACAACTCTCCTACAGTTCAACAAAACATTAAGAAAAGTCTGGCTTGACACAATAGCAATGAGTTCCAGTTAAATTTTTAACAGTGCCATGGGAAAACAAGAAATGGAGAAAATAGGGAAGCAAAACCAACTTTAATACTAACATCTAAAGTTTTCCAGTTGTGGATAATATTGGAACATTGCTTTAGCTTAAAAAACACCATACTGAGAACATGTAAAAAATAGAATAGACAATTATATAATTGATGTCTAAAATTTTCTTATTTTTAAGTTTAGTGTTTAAACTTTACTCTTATCAATTGTCTAAATGAACCAACTTTTTCCAATTAGGTGGATTTGACCTAAATGTTTCATGAAAAAATAAAAATATACAAGTTTACTCGATAAATGATATCACACTTAACAGGTTTTAACCAAAGTAAACTGAAAACCGAACTTCTTATGAGCAAGCCAACCAAACTGAACAGTATTGGTTCGATCGGTCATTTTGCTCACCCTAATTTAAACAATGAAGTTGAGTATGTCCACTAATTCTATCAAATGATTGAATGACTTGATTTCACTATTATTCAACCTTAATCTACTTTATTGTCATGGTATCCCGTGGTGGGAATGATAATACCTTATATCCCTCTTGACTATAACCTCCTTTCTGCAGAAACCAGCCTTAAACAGCTGTAGTTGTGTAGATAACAATGTCAGAACTTACGCCTGCAATTACTGAATGACCTGACATAATTTCCAGCTTATGCAAAACAGCTTGAAAATCTATGTTTTCTTTTCTCCCGTTAAGTTTTGCAATTTGCAGCAAGATAGGGTTATTGACTGCTGTGTAAGAAATAAGACCCTTAAGACGTTACCTTAGGAACAAGAAAGTAAAAGTGGGAAGGTAGGAAAATATGATCTTAAGATTTCCTGAAAGCTGCATCTAAGCCATTGTAATGGTAGCTTTATACTGCATAACAAAGGCTTCAAAATCCTGCTTAACCCTACTTGGATCCTTTGTTCCCAAATATGGTGTTGGCCCAATTCTTAATAAAGGGAAAATAAAGCCTATATTGAAGTCCACTAAGCTAACATAACTTAGAAGTCATATGTTGGAGAAGCATTGAAGCCTTCTATACCTTGCTCATGGCACAATTGTATTTGACCAGAATTTCATATCGGAAGATCAAAATAAACTATTTTACTTTATTTCTCTATTTCGTTCATTTTTTTAGATTGTTACATTTCTTTATGTCAGCAGTCAACTCAAATAGTTGTTTTTCAGATCCGGCGAAGTTTTGGTAGGGGCATTATCAGTTCTGTCAATTTGATGTTTCAGGTTACCTTTCACTTCAGTTTGCATTGAAAGACTATTTTTTTTTTTTTTTGGTGACTCTTTCTGCGTTGCTGGAAGGGTGTTTAGTTTTTATTAATAATGGATCTAGAACCTACAGATTCTAAAACTACTATTACTGAATTGATCCCAGCAATGAATAAAATCACAGAACATAAATTGAAGGGAACTAATTATTTAGATTGGAGTATGTTGGAAGGGTGTTTAGAGTTTGTATTAATAATGGATCTAAGAACCTAACAGATTCTAAAAACTACTATTACTGAATTGATCCCAGCCAATTGAAATAAAATCACAGAACAATAATTGAAGGAATCTAATTATTTAGATTTGGAGTAAGAAAAATTCGAATTTAATTTGCAGAAGTGTTGAAATAGATGATCAATCTAATTGATGGATCCACCAACTTGGTGACCACTAGACAACGTTGGGCTCAGGGAAGATTGCTAAGTTATCTTTTCTACTGATTCGTAATTCTATTGACAGTGAAGTGGGTTTGGTTAATCAATCATTTGTGAGCTTGTTAGGAATTTAATGGAATATCTTGGAATTCTTGTTACTCGAGAAAAAGGTAATCTATCTCGTATGTATGAGGTCTGCAAAGGATTTTAAAGGGGGCGACACAGCAAGATAAAGCCCTTGACAGCTTATTTCATTGGAATTTAAGAAGATTTACGAGGAATTTAAATATTTTATTCATGGAATTTAAGAAGATTTACGAGGAATTTAATATTTTATTGCCTTTTAGTCTCGATTTTAAGGTTCAACAGGCGCAGCAAGAACAAATGACTATGATGAATTTTCTTGCAGGTCTTGCTCCGGTTTTTGAAACTGCCAAATCACAAGTTCTTTCAGGCAGTGATATTACCTCTCAACTTTCGCTATATTGCTACGTACTGAAAGTTCTCATACGCCTTCCCCTCCTGATAACAATGCCCTTGTGAGGTAGCTAGGCAACCAGGAAACAAAGGAACAAGAGGAAATAACCGTAGTAATGGACCAATCACTCGGGAGGCAAGCATTCTTATCTGCCATTATTGCCATGAACCTGGTCACACTAAACGATATTACAAGAAACTGATAAATAAGGCACCAAGGGTAAATATGACAACTCAAGATTATGCAGTTACTTCTTCTGATAACAATGTAACAATTTCTACTACGGAGTTTGCTAAGCTCTCTAGATACCGGCCTTCTAATTCGACTGATTCCTCAATTACTGCTGCTGCCAATTCCAGTGCTCCTCCTTCATGTCTTATGTCTACCTCATCAGAGTGGATCATTGATTCTGGTTGCACCGATTACATGACAGGTAACCCTAGTCTCTTATCCTCATTCAAAGAACCTGAACAATTTAATCGTCATGTTACTAGTTGATGGGTCCACATTTCCTGTCAAGTGTATTGGCACCGCCAATCCCATTCCATCTCTTCCATTGTCTTCTGTTTTTTGTTTGACTCGTTTTTTGTTTAATCTACTGTCTCTTAGCAAAATTACTCGTATGCTGAATTGTTATGTCAAATTTTATCTTACATATTGTGTGTTTCAGGATCTTTTGACGAAGCGGATTATTAGTAGAGGACTCATGTCTGGTGGCCTTTATCTTCTGGATGAACACGTTTCATTATCTCTCTGGATGAACACGTTTCATTATCTCTAGCTTGTGCTGGTGCTCTATCTCCTCTTGAGATTCATTGTCATTTGGGTCATCCTTCATTGTCTACTTTAAAGAAGTTGTATCCGCAATTTCAGTCTTTGTCAATTTTAGAATGTGAATCTTGTCAATTTGCCAAACATCATCGCTTACCTTTAGTTCCTCGAGTCAATAAACAGGTTTCATCGCCTTTTGAGTTAGTTCATTCTGATGTTTGGGGTCCATGTCCTGTTATTTCTGTCCATGTCCTGTTATTTCTAAAACTGGCTTTCGGTATTTTGTAACTTTTGTGGGTGATTATTCTCGTGTTACTTGGTTATTTTTAATGAAAACCCGTTCTGAGATATTCTCTATTTTCTGTTCCTTTGGTGCCGAAAGTAAAACTCAATTTAATACCTTTGTTCGCATATTGCACAGTGATAATGCTGAAGAAAACCTATCTAATTCCATCCAATCTTATATGTCACAGAATGGTATTCTCCATTAAACATCTTGTGTTGATACTCCTTCTCAAAATGGGGTTTGCAAAAAGAAAAAAAATCGACACCTTCTTGAGGTTGTTAGGGCACCTCTATTCTAAATGAAGGTCCCTAAACATTTTTGGGCTGATGCTGTCTCTACTGCATGTTTTTTGATTAAGCGCATGCCTTTTTCTGTGCTTAATGGTGCATTCCGTGCTTTAATGGTGCACATTCCTTAATAAATGTCTTGTTTCCTTCTAAAGGTCTTTCTATCCCAAGATTGACCTCGTATGTTTGGTTGTACTTTGTTTTGTTCATGAATTTTTGGTTGTACTTGTTTTGTTCATGATGTTCGTCCACAGGTTTCCAAATTAGATCCAAAGTCCCTTCGTTGTGTTTTCCTTGGGTATTCTCGACATCGAAAAGGGTATCATTGTTTCTCTCCCGATCTTGACCGTTATCTTATTTCTGCATGTCACATTTTTTAAGAATACTCCATTTTTTCCTTCTTCTATATATAAGAGTGAGGGGGAGGACGATAAGCTTTGAGTCTATGCTGTCCAGCAATTTCATAACTCTCCTGCTCCTGCTCCTATTCCTGAACTTGCATCCTCCTGCTCCAGTGTCTACTGCTCCTATTCCCGCTCCTGCTCCAACATCTGCTCGCCCTCGTTTTGCATAGGTTTATTCCAGGAGACCAAAAACTCTTGACTCACTTTCTTCACCTGCCGCTTCAATAGAAGATCTGGTTCACTCCACTCAACCTGAGCATGTGTCACCCACTCCCTAGTCAGACCTTGACCTTCCCATTGCTCTTTGAAAAGGTAAACGCAAGTGTACCTATCCTATTTCCTCTTTTGTCAATTATGATCATATTTCTTCTTCATCTCGTTGTTTTGTAAGTAACCTAGACTTTGTCTCTATCCCTAAAACTGTTGTCCATGCTTTGTCCCATCCTGGTTGGTGTGTAGCAATGAAAGAGGAGATGGCTGCCTTAGATACTAATGGTACTTGGGATCTTGTGCCTCTCCCAGCAAGTAAGAAAGCTATTGGTTGTAAGTGGGTACTATGGAGCCTTAGATACTAATGGTACTTGGGATCTTGTGCCTCTCCCAGCAAGTAAGAAAGCTATTGGTTGTAAGTGGGTTTTCACCGTTAAAGTGAATCCCGATGGGTCTGTTGCTCGTCTCAAGGCTCGATTAGTTGTAAAGGGCCATTCTCAGATTTATGGCCTTGATTATTCTGATACTTTTTCTCCTGTCGCCAAATTGTCTTCTGTTCGTTTATTTATTTCTTGAGCAGCTACTTTTGATCAGCCTTTACATCAGCTGGACATTAAGAATGCCTTTCTTCATGGGGATCTTCAGGAAGAAGTTTACATGGAGCAACCACCAGGCTTTGTTGCTCAGGGAGAGTCGGGTAAAGTGTGTAAACTTCGAAAATCTCTAAATGGACCTCGGGTTAACTATCGTTGTAACAAGTTGGGCATGATTGATATCTATGTGTAACAAGTTGGGCATGATTGATATCTATGCTCCAACTTGAGGGGAAGTGTTAAGGATTAGTTGTAAATAGAATTCTATTAGGAGTTAGATTCCTAATAGGTTTATAGTCTAAATTCAGGTTAGTTCGGCTCGGTTTCTTAAATGAAATCTGTTCTGACAGCAACTTCGGTTTGATTCGATTTTGCTTCTAAAATTTCGGATTTCCTTTTCCGTCCCAGTTCTTAAACTGAACCGACTGTTTGTTCGTCCCTAGATTAATCTTAAAAACCTAAGGAATCATTTCTATTGGAGAGTTTTTCAGTTTTCCACAAATGCATCTCAGACAAGCTAACCTTTGTTAAACTTACACATGAAACATCACAACTGATGTTGGAATAAGATATAAAGACATGTTGACGAAGTAGCTGTCAGCAAATTATTCCAGCCTGCTGCTACATATACAGATAGCATAAAAATGTACCTTCCGGGTCTCTTCAAGCTCTCGATAATGTGCCTCTGCTGCTTGGATATCAGGAAGGACCTTGTTAGTCATTATACCTTCATAATGAGTCTTCTCCTGGAAAAAAAAAAAAAAAAAAAAGGAATTGAAAACAAGCTTGCAGAAACAACAATTTAAAACGAATTGCAGTAAACCATTAAGGACAGGAGACAAGGATAAGTATAGATGACCGCTTCTGCAGACTGTAGATCTTTTTCTATCTTCATAAGCTCAGCCTCTGCTTTGTCAAAGGCATCAAGTTCTTCTTTAGCTGACTCTACATTTTTGGCCCCAATAATGAATAAAGTGAATGCATAAGTGGAGATACATTGGACAAAATCAAAAACCATAAACAGTCAGCAGTGTACCGCATAAATTCTCAAATGATAATCCCAGGTCCCTAGCCTTAGCTTCAGCTTCATCCCTTCTAACTCGAAATATCTCCAGAGCAATTTCTTTTTCTTGTATGTCCTCTTGGAGTTTCTGGAAAACATCAACAAAGGAAATTTACACGGAGAACGAACAAGTACTTCATATTGAATAGACCAATTGCAAATCTAGGTAAACCCCCAAAGAAGGAAAAAAAAAAAAAAAAAAAAAAAAAAAAAGAACAATACGTAACAGGAACAAACTGAAATTTCTTGATGAAGCTCATCAAACAGTTTGAGACAGCTGGTGTACTAATTTCAGAAGCAATATGACCTCTTCAAATCTTGTAGTGCTAGTTTCTTGGATGCCAGATCCCGCTCCAGCACTTGAGCATCTTCTCCCGCTACACCAAAACAAAGAAATTGGTATTATACATTAGAAAAAAAAAAAAAAAAAAAAAAAAAACAATAGTAACAGGAACAAACTGAAATTTCTTGATGAAGCTCATCAACAGTTGAGACAGCTGGTGTACTACTTTCAGAAGCATATGACTTCTTCAAATCTTGTAGTGCTAGTTTCTTGGATGCCAGATCCCGCTCAGCACTTGAGCATCTCCGCTACACCAAACAAAGAAAATTGTATTTATACATATAAGCAAGCACAAGCATGCATATATTATATAAAAAAATGAATCCCACATAAGTTGGCTTTTTAGTTGGGAGTGGGGGAATGTTACTGGTAGATGACACCAGAATCAAGACCAGGAAACACTCTTAGCCTGAAGTGAAACATGCACTAGACTAGTCCATTGACAGCTTGAGTCAGACCATAGCATTTTCTAGAAAATGCACACGTATAAAGAGCAATATGAAGAAAAGAACATGTTGAAATACAACATTGTCAAACTGAAAGTATTAAGCAGATCAAAATTTTAAAATAATTTCAAAAGGCTAATAAACATTGTATTGTTGTTATTACCTTCACATTATTTAGACCATTTTGAAGATCCTGAAGATTTGCCTCAGTTTCCCGTTTCCTTTTCCTGCATTCTTCAGCTTCCTTTTGAAAATTTGATGCACGTTGTTCAAGATCCTTAATGTGATTATCATAAGAGCTACATAGACGGCCAGTTCTAAGCTTCTTATTTGGAGGAAGCACTGTCTGAACTGAACCCCGGGAAAACCTAAGGAGGAATTAGTAATAAGTACTTGTAAAAGTGGCAACTATGTTACCAAACTAAGTGATAGAGTCCATAGGGTACAGAAACTGCATCATAGAACTACAACCTACAAGACCAGAACAAACATGCATGATAAACTGATATTAATATTAAGGGCTATAACTTTGGGTATGATATCCAGATAGTAGCTGCTATAACTTCAAATAAGTACTTCCTAAACCATTCCATGCATCTTTGGTGAACCAAAATAGTGTCTAATGGTATGAGATGCAATAAATTTTCAATTGATTATTCTACTAAATCTTTGTTTCACTATATTCCATTACATTTTTTCAAACATAGTCTTTATGGAGCATTCTTGGTAGAATATAATGTAAAACATGCTCTTACAGCATGTGTGTAGAACATATAGTAACCGCTCACATTTTATATCCATCTAAGGTGAAAACCTCCTTCAGATTTGGGATCTTTCTGTCAAAAGCAACAGCCCGACCTGCGTCATAATCTTCTACAAGCACTTGCCTCTCAGCACTACCCTGGAAATACAAGTAAAGTGCTACCAATTTTAGAGGGCACCTACAAAACGCATAAATCACAGCGAGAAAAAAAAATAAAGCTATACAAAGTTAAACGAGAGAGAATCAATGATGAAGCCGACAAATTACCATATCCACCAAGACATTCAATACAATATGATTTTCAGAATGTAGAACAGAAAGTGTAGTAGGTTTATTTGTCCTGGGAAGCATGTCAGGTGGTATGGCCAACCTACAGAGGAAAATAAACCCAATAGGATAAAGGAGGTCAAACGATAAAAGCAGGATAAACAACCACCTAGGTCTGGTAAGCAAACAATATAAGTAGTCAGCAATCTACCTTGGTCGTGAGAAGTCATATATGATAATTTGAAGGTTATCATATCTTACTTCTCTAGCACAACTTCTTAGAAGTCGAGAATCATTATGACTTGTTACAATAAAAGCATTGAGCAACCTTCCAATGGCATTTTCAACAGCAAGAGCCCATGCATCACCATCAACCAATGTCTGCAGTGCCAAAATGAAGATGTATTAGCAAATGGCTGGAAGAATCCACAGTAGTTAATGTTGCTTAAAAAAATAACTTTCGGACATATAATTAAGACATCGTCACTTGTAATGATCAATAACAGGTCTTCACCCCATAATGCAAACTGCATTGAATCAAAAGAGCATATGAACTCAACTAAACCTGAACTAAAAGGCAGTTGGGATCAATAACATTAACAATTATCCAAGTCCTAATTTATGTACTTGACACCAGTCATAAACTAGCATGCATATACATTGTTGTTATTGCTTACCAGGTGGACACCAATTGGACCTATAGGCGGTCTGTCAAATTGTTGGTGATATCTTTCAATAACTTGCAGAAGATGAATCACTCTCTGTCCCCCAAAGGCCGTCACCTGTCAAGGAAACCTGATCTAAGTTAATTATATTGCTATAATCAACTTCAAGTTTCAAACAGAAATTGCATTGGCATATGGATCCAGACACTCAACAAGAAACAAACATTTGAAAAAAAACTAAAAAGCACACAACTTGTATAAACCTAAAAAAATAATTTTATTACGATGCACAACTATCTCCATGCAAGATATAAATAGTTGCACGAACCTTGTTGGCTTTGTGTTGCCGAAGCTGGCGAATGCTTGTATTGGTATCATGACGCTTCTTTTCATAATTATCTATCTATACAACCAAAAACTTAAATACTAATACTTCTGCAATGTGAAAAAGAGGCTTGAAAAGATAAAGAATATTGCAAGAATCAGCAACATGTTTCAGATGATCAAGTCATTTAATTTTTCAAGCATCTCTGTACCTCTTCATTTATTTTTCTGATTTCATTCATTCCCTTGGATACGGTTTCTGATAACTCACGTTCATCTTCCTTCAACCTGAATTATAATTTGATTAAGCAGCCAGTAAAATATAACCAGAGAAAAAGGTGAAATATGAGCACATAACATGATAAGGTAAACAAAAGACTAACCTTTGTAATGTGGCACTAGCAGCATCAACCATACATTGTAGTTCTTTTATCCTTTCCTCTATTTCAGATTCTTCAGCCTGGAGGAAAACCAGAAGTAAGAGGCATAAAACTCTTATCATCACAGACATATCCCTACATGTCATCATACCGATATCTTCCTTAGCACTTTAACCTCTTTGAGGTACATGGTCTAAAACCATCACCTCCATCAGAATGATCTAGAAACTACAATCAAGCAAAAGAATGGGACAGCTGATTTCACCATCTAAGAGATTAATACTGGGTTAGCAGCTAGATCCATTATTAATTGCAAATCAATCAGATATGATACAGAATTTTACCTTTGGACTTGAACAAGGCTCATTAAGAAGGTTGCAACTCTTTACTTCTCTTCTTGGATTTTGAAATGAGAACTTTGTGTCCTCAACATTTGCAATTACAACTATATTCACTTGGCACCACAGCATTGAGGTTGACTTGAAATTACATACCACATCACACCTCCATTAGACTCCTAAATTCATTCCATCACATCTATCCAGATTTTTGTTCTAAATATCTTTAACACTAGATGTGCCGTATCCTTCCTAGGAAATGTCATGCATCTCCTACTGCTACGAACTATCTTAGTTGTCCTATGTCATATCTGTTAATTAACATCACCTTATTTGGAATCAATATATTGTTCATTTATGATCAAGGATCATTTCACCATCCCTCTGATATGAGAACACTTTTCCACTATGATTCTCTTCAATCATCCACTCTCCAATTCTATCCCTAGAAAATCTTAATTCATCTTTCATGGTGTGAAATACCATCTACTATTCCCTTACTTAACATTCTCTCATTCAGATCCATTGTAACTCCTGACTCATTTGGCATCAGTATTCACACCATCCCATTGATGCAACCAACCAACATTGTAAGACTTACCCTTAACTAATGTGATAATATCCCGTGGAAAAAGCATGGGTATTAGAGGAATTTCACCTCATAAAAACATAGGTCTAAATGAACAACTATTTAGTAAAAGTAATTCGAGTGAACAACTATTTAATTTTTCATTCTTACAATGTAGGCAAGTATTTTCCCAAGCAACCTACCAGCTTTTCAATGTCCTCGCCTACCATGTTATTTAAAATGCCTAAGATTGTGCATTCCTCTTCACACCACATTCAATTTGTTATCTCATGTATATCATAATATGCAGCATGATATCTTCCTCCAAAATTTGAAGAACCCCACTAACTATATTTATTAATCTATCTACATAATTACGCATACTGTCATAAATCAAATCATATCAGTAGCACAAATAGCACCTAGTGCAGAAGTGAACATGAAAAAAGCAGGTAAGACTCTAAAGCAGAGGAATGAATGAATAGCATTTTAGGAGTCCCAAAAGTCACTCACACAACATATGATGGCAAAATGATTTCACTTGCATTTCTTCTCTTTCACAGACAAGGCACAGTTAAAGCAAAAACATAATAAAATTACAGAAACTGAATTCAGAATTTTGTGTATTGTGCTTTAGCATTATAACAATAAAAGCACCATGATTCATGACAAATTACATTTGAAGAAAAAAGCATTATTATTTAAATATTTCTGCAAAGGGATCTAATTTCAAAAGCATAAAATAAGGAAATCTTCATAATCATAACAAACAATGAAGACACCGAAAAAAAAAAAAGGCAAGACAGTTATAGCAATTAAATAAAGCAATCATCTCAGTTGAAATCAAACATAAGAACCTGTGTGTTTCTAAAATGTTGCTCCTGAGTATCATGGACTTCTTGTTGAAGAGACTGTGCACGTTTTAGCAATTTCTGAATGTGGTTGGCTGCACGACCATGCTTTTCTTCTAACTCAAGCTTCTCTTTTGTTGCCTAGAAAAATAGTCTTTGCATCAATAGGGTATCAAAAATGAATGAAATGCAAACAAATGAAGGAAAAACTGTTAGAGCACACACATAAAAGTACCGAGGCTTGAAAAATAATAGTGTAGAATATGCAATAGGGTCTACCAATTCTTTTAACACTTGAAAGAGTGAAATATCTCCTAGCATTTGCCAAATATGCCTAGTCTAGTGTAATTCCAAATATATATATATATATAGAGAGAGAGAGAGAGATACACACACACTTAAAAGCATCTACACAACAGAAGACAGGGAACAGAAAAAAAAAAAAAAGTTATGCATCTGCTGCAATTTTATGTTAGCAGCCAGTCAATTTCCTTAGAAAGAAATAATACAACCAAGTTCAAACATACCAAGGAAATAGAATTCTGCAATTCATCCTGTTTTCTCCTCACTTCTGATGTTTTTTGCATCATGAGTGCAATTTGGGCCTTCTTCTTTGTAAAGTGGTCCCTCAGCGACTCCACCTTACCCTGCAAAAAAAAAAAAAAATTGATATGCTTTAACTAGAGCTCATAAAGTCGTTTTTTATAAGATCTTTATTAAAAATAAATGGGTGATTAACAAAGACATCATTTGCACAGCCTGTTAACGGTAGGAGAGAAAATCTAATGTGCACTGGACTTGTCATATTGAAAAGGCAGACTTATAGTTTTTAGCGTCAAGAATTTTACTCACTTGTTCCCAGTCAATTTTAGCTTGGCAAGTGGGCATACGTTCTTTAAGCTTTCCAATCTTCACACTTTGTTCTTCAAGTTGCTTGTCTACATAATAAACCCATGACCATGCAAGCTTCTTCTTTAATTGTTGTGCCTGCTGAGATATTTCTTCTATATGCTCCATGTTTTTTATTTTCACTTGCAATTCAGCAATTTCTTTCTCTATGGGTTTTATTGTAGCCTCCAATTCATCAACAAGTGCATTTGCAGACCTTAAATGTTCGTAAATACTTTGTAAAAGATCATTAACTTGCTGAAGGAGAGTTGCCTTGAAAAAAAACTGAAAAACGAAGTGTCAATCAAAAACCCACAAAGTTCTCTTCACATTCTATATGCACAAAACAAGAAATTACTTTGAATTTATCTTTGTCATTCCCAGAATGTAAGAACTCTCTGCTTTTGTCTTGACTCATGATTACACAAGGATTCTCAACATCAATCTGCAGAATATTAGTAGAAGGAATTAAAGATCCAACATAAAGAATAACTTTTAATTTTTAAAAAGAACTGCAAGAAAAAAGGACATCAAAGTAGGGACTGGTAAAAAAATTTTCATTTCATTGAACGGCATCTTAACTTCGTATGCTAATCAAGAGACAGAATAAAAAGGGGAGAAAGTAAGAACGTTATAGCAATTTCCATCTGTGATATGCATAGTTTTAGCTGAATCAAATAGTAATCCAGCTTCAGATAGCAATAGGTTCTGCTGGTTTCAGATGATTTTAGAACATTAATTTGACCATTAACAAGAATGTGTGGCCTTAATAAGCAAAGTTTACCATTCAAGGGAATTAAAAAAAAAAATAAAAAAAAAGACTGAAAACAGACCTAGGAAAGGCAATATGCAATATTAAGCAAAATCTGCATTGGACACTTTTACGGTCCAGTTTTTAAGAAAAACCAATAGACAACTCCAATTGCACTCACATTAAAATGTTCAATGAGCTCCCGAAGTTCCTCTTTCCGACTAGCAACTTTTTTTCCTGTCAAATAAATTCAAATAAAAGAACAAATGAATACAGCATATTTCACCAATCATAATGCATTACAACACAACCAAAGCAAAGAGCTAATCTGGTGAGATTTTTTTTTTTTTTTTCATGTCCCTGGATTGAACTCAGAGGACAACTGGCACCAAAGTGACAGCATTGATTTGAAATCATCCATCAACCTGAAATAGGATAAAGATTTTTTTCACATGAAGAATATAATATTGATTACTCGTGTAGGCAGAAACTCTAGCGGGAAAATTTTCTGTTTTAGACAGCTTTCAAATTCATTATTGAAACTAATAGCGAAATTCAGGCACCTAAAGGATATTCAACTTGAAATCAATAAGTGATGAGCCTTTTACATGCTTAACCATCTATGGGTTCCCTGTTCGGCAAAAATTTTATTGTTCAGAAGATACAAAGAATGGAAACAACATAAGCACATCCAAATGAATCCAAATAACATCCTTCCCATGCAAGATAATTATGTATTTGTTTAAAGGGTCTTCATAGCATTTAATTGATCAAAAGCATGATAGCTCTCTGTCTAATGCCATCTAAAACAGACTTTGAACTTTCTTGCCATTACATGTCTTACAAAGATCTCAAAGGCGTTCAAGGATTTGAAATGAAATAAAAATATTTATTAGCAGAAAATTATTTAGACCTTGGAAATCTTTTAAGACTGTGGAACTTGTTGATTGATTAATCCTGCGTTCTATAGTTATGGCATCACCATAGATATCTGGCTTAAACGCGTCCTCCCCTTGATTTTTCACTACCACTTCAACAACAGCATAGCTGCATAGAAACAATGTCAGGCAACTGTGAGTGGATAGAATAATCTAATTTCTTGAAAAATGACTACGTCGGGGAAAAGTTTGAAGATGCATTGCTGAAAAGTGAAAACCAAGAAATGTCATCCAGAATTCATGACAAGATAAAAGAACAAACGTCACATCCAATTTCAAACTTCCACAGTTCTCCATACCATTTATGTAATGTAACTTATAATATATAAAGCAGGCGTGCGACACATTCCTATAACAGTTTTAAAACATGCGACGCTCTAACCTCAGGAGAAAATTCATAAAAAGATAAGAATAGATACCTGCAACCAGTTTTGATAAAATCCTTCAAGGTAGCTGCCCGCTGAGTCCCTTTGGCTCGGCTTCCAAATGCAATACATAAAGCAGTCAATATTGCACTTTTGCCGCCTGCAAACACCAAAACCACAATCTATCCATAACTTCATAATTACACCACCAAGTAAAAATTAAGAAAACCCAGAAAAATGAAAATAAAAAATACAATTACAATTTTTAACCAATTTAATCAAACGTTTCACTTCTGTGTATAAACAAAAGAACAATTAAGTAGAAAAAGTAGAAAGAACGTACTTCCATTTTGACCGGTAATGAAATTGACCCAAGGGCAGAGCTCGATTTGGAGGTTGCTGTGACACATGAAGTTCTCTAATCGGATCCGCATAACGGTACCTGCCCTGGACCGTGAAGTACTAGGGTTGTAATCGGCGAAAACCCTAGAATCGCCCATGGCGCAGGTCTACGGTATTTTTCTTCCTTGCGAACCCTAGAAAATGAAGAGAAGGTGAGACTGAGAAGTGATCTTTTTCAGAATGGCAAGCAGTACACTGAGACTACAACCAGAAGTCCGAAGTAGAAGGCGCGGCTGCGTCCGTATCTATTATGGCGGGAAACAACACTGTAAAATTGCGATCACGTTGGTTTTGCAATTAAGTATGGATGATAAAAAAAATGGGCCAATCAGGCCCCAAAACCCCATCATTCGACTATTGTTTTTCTTCTTTCGACGGTGATTGGGCCTAGGCAGATCGGGCCGGTTTCGCTCGTCTGGATCTAACTGCATTTCATACAGTATTTCGAAGACGTACTATTTGTTTAATGGAAATATTTATTACGCCCAATTTAATTTGAATATTTCTTAATGGAAACAGACAAATATCAAATATATAATATATCTTCCTTAATATTTGTTAAAAAAATGTATAGACGAATCCAAACAAAGTCTAACACCTTGTTTCGAATAAATGAGTTTTATAAAATTTTGTGCAACTCATTTATAAATTTAAAATTTTGTATTTGAAAAAAAAATGAAAATTTAAAATCATACTAATTAATTATATGGATTTTAAAATGAGTAAATAAAATTCTACTAGAATATGTAGAATTTTGAAAAGAATTTCAATTCAAAATATGAAATTATTATGTTAAAAGTATTTTAAGAAATGAAAGAAAATATTTTTTAATTTTAAATTATTCCATAAATGAACACATTTACTGGTGAATGTTATCTATAATTTACTTATATACAAGAGAGCATAAATTTATAAGTACATATATGTGTTTTTATTTAGTATAATATTAATATATAGTTAAATAAAAATTCAAATTTGAATATCTTCCTCTGAGTTATAAATTCAAAAAAAAAATTCTAATAATCATTAGTATCTGAAATTTAATATATACATTATATAATATAATACAACCAATTAAAACTAAATTATATTAAATAATAAAATTAAAAATCCTTAAGGATATTATATTCTTACCTCATTTAATATATACCTTATCTAGTATATAATATAACTTCTTAGTTTATCCAATAGAAGCTATAAATATGTAAAAATTAAATATATATGTACCTTATTTAGTATATAATATAACTTCTTAGTTTATCAGACAGAAACTATAAAAATGTAAAAAATAAATATTCAAAATTTATTTATAAATAAATTGTGTAATTATGAATTTATTTATACCGTTTTAATAGAAACATTAACTGCATTATAAAGAATTATAATATTTTATTAAATAAATAAATTTTAGAGTGTAGTCAATCTTTAAGTTCAGTTTAGGATATATCCTTCAAAAATTATAAAATAAAGTGTATTTACAATAAATTATAAAGTTTAGGGTAATGTTTCTCATTAGGGAAAAAAAAAAAATCCATGAATATCTAAAAAATCACAATATTTAGTGAGGTATCCATATTCCATATAACCAAATCCCATTTGAGACATAACCAAATTTCATTCCAAATGTAGCCGATCTCTCATTTAATATAAAAGATATATCAGGCAATTACCAGCATGGAAGTCAATTATATGATTAAAAAAAAAAAGGAATCGAGGATTACAAAAGATTTTTAAGAAACAAATTTTGTGCAACTAATAACTTTAATTAGCTTCACATGCGCATTATAACCATCAATGGATGGTGTACCTGGATTTGCAAATTGCATCCCCTTTGATAATATATTATTGGCCAAATGCATGAATTCACTTTCGTACTTTATAAATAAATAAAAAAAAATCTTATTACACTTTTACTTCGTAAAGAAACTCATTATACTTTTGAAATTACGAATTATTTTTATCGTTGTACTCTTCTTCGTACTAGCAATAATAGTTTTGGGTGTTTTTGGTATTTACTTGCAAATTATTCGCTTAATATATCAGTTAATATAATTTATGAAATAATAATTTTTATATTTTTCAACTATCCAATGAGTTTCCAATCAATCGAATTTTACAAGTTCAACTGTTTAATAAATCAGTATTCGATAAATCAAAGTAAAAATTGAGTATGTAATAAGATTTTTTAAGTAAAATATATGAATAAACTTATGCATTAGCCATATTTTGTCTATGTAACTGTATTTTGGCAATATAATTGTTAACTGTGCTTGCCTTTCCTCGTCTAACAAATTGGTTATTAGCATAAATTGCATGGGTTGTCGTCTTGTGGTTGCCATATGAAATTTTAAACATAGACATGGCAGGACGCGATCGCATCATTTAATTTTAAGCAAAGAAAGAATGTAATTCTTCATTTCAGGAATATTGAGTAGGTACATTCAATTATGACCTGCCAGTCAAACAAATGCTTGGATTTCTGCTTACAAATACTTGGTTGGATCAATACAAATAGACTGTAAAAAAATTTTATTTATAAAATTAAAAATTTAAAAATAGAATCATTATTATTTGAAGGACCCAAATATGGAAACACATGCAAATATATATATATATATATATATATAATTAAATTTCTCCGGCTAAATATATGCAGTTTAATATAATTTATGAATAATATTTTTTATATTTTTCACTATCCAAATGAGTTTTCCAATCATCTGAATTTTTACAAGTTCAACTGTTTTTAATAAATCAGTATTCGATAAATCCAAAGTAAAAATTGAGTATGTATAAGATTTTTTAAGTAAAATATATGAATAAAACTTATGCATTAGCCATAATTTTTGGTCTATGTAACTGTATTTTTGGCAATTATAATTGTTAAACAATTGTGCTTGCCTTTCTCGTCTACCAAATTGGTTATTAGCGATGAAATTGGGCCATGGGTTTGTCCGTCTTGTGGTTGCGCATATGAAATTTTAACCATAGAACATGGCAGGACGGCGATCGCATCATTTAATGTTTTAGCAAAGAAAGAAATGTAATTCTTCATTTCACATTGGAAATATTGAGTAGGTACATTAATTATGACCTGCCAGTAAACAAATGCTTTGGATTTCCTGCTTACAAATACTTGGTTGGATCAATCAAATAGACTGTAAAAAAATTTTATTTCATAAAATTAAAAGAAAGTTTAAAGAAATAGAATCATTATTATTTGAAGGAACCCAAATATGGGAAAGCAGCATCGCAAATTATATTATATATTATAATTATTATATATTTATTATTGTATTTATTTAGTAGGTTTCAATCGTAAAATTGTAACAGAAACTAGTATATATATTGTATTTATTTAGTAGGTTTCATCGTAATTGTAACAGAACTAGAGGTGGTTAGCGAGAAGACAACCATAGTTGTAGTTGTACTGTACCGCAAATATTGATAGAGACAATTTCAACTTTGTCTGAAAAATATGAAAACGAAAAAAGTTCCAACAGATTTTAATAATTTGCTTATCATTTCTTTTTATATTGGGCTATTATGAGTTGCATTTTAAATTGTCAGAATCCATTTGTGTAGTTTTCTTTTTCTTTCTTTTCAGATTGCATATGTAATTTATTTTTGGTTGCCGGTGCGGTGGTGCATCTATTAATTCCTTTCATTTTCTCATGAGCGATATTGCCATAATCATTTGTAATTTTCACTGTAGTAAATATTCAAATTCCATTATTAAATTTCACATTATTATATAAAACTTATTATTTTTTGCAAAATGTTAAGTTACGGCTAAACAATTCTAATTTTGATATGAATCTCGTTATTAATTAAAATATAGCACTCTTCCATATAGATAGGATACTCAATAGACAAAAATAACATTGTGAATTATACAGAAGAAGTAGCTCTTCCATTTGAATTTCACGTTTTTTACAAAACGCAATAAAACCAACCAGACACTTAATTGGCGAATATATTACTTTTTATGCCATATTAGATGTTTTTGAAAATAAAAATGCAAATTTTGAACTCTAAAATTTAGTGTTATCTAAAACTTTTAAGTTGACTAATTAAGAATTTGACAGTGCAATTTTAAAATTGGAAGTGCCATATACAATGCACGCATATGAATTAAAGATGGGTAGACATTCATTCCCAAAACTATAATAATTTTTCTAAAGGCATGTTCATTTTTACAATTCACACTGCTCATATTTTCTATGTGTTATTCCAATGATTAGAAGCTGTGATGTACGGACACGCGAGAGACTTGATGTCACCGCATTTTGGAAATATTTTGAAAACGGAAATACTTGAAAACGCGTTGGGTCCGTTTTTATAAATACTGAAAATTGGACACCCATTTCCTCTTCCTGAAAATGTTTCTTACATTAAAAAAGTTAGATTTCGAATTCAAATTTTACAGAATTTCATTATCTTTTTCCATTTTGACATTTGAATATTTTATTTTCTTTTTTTATTGAGCATGGAACTTATAAATTGTCCTTTAAAATTTATAAATGTACTATTTCTAAATTATTTTTATATTTATTTTTATATTTTATATTTTTATATTTATGTGTTTCTCCCCATATTTTCATTTCTTATATTTTTTGAAAATATCATTTTTTCATGTCTGTTTCCGCTTTTCCCATTTCCCCATTTTCGTGTCCGTGCATCATAGGTATCCCTAATTTTTTTATATAAATTTTAAGTGTTGATTTATGCATTATGCAGTTAATCTCCTGCTAACTATAATTATGTACACGTCAAAGACGTAATTTAATGATAAATACATATAAAATAATTGTCTTGTTAAAAAAAATTATAACCATGTATATTTTATTAATCTATTAGGTTGAATTCAATCCATGAATTAAGCCCAGGCCCAACTTTGTTGATCCAACCTTAAAAAATTTAAACCTTTTTTAAGTCCTATTTGGGAAGTATCCATTTGTAGAAGGACGCTGCCACGTGAATTCAAAACCTATATCTCCTAACCGAAATTTATATTAGAAAAAAAAAAAAAAAAAAAAAAAAAGTATCCATTTGTAGAAGGACGCTGCCCACGTGAATTCCAAAAACTATATCTTGCCTAATCCGAAATTTAATAAAATTTAGAAAAATAAAAAAAAAAAAAAAAATAAAAGAGAGAAAATGCAGAAGTTGAAAAAAAAAAAAAAAAAAAAAAACACGCATAAATCTAAAAAAAAAAAAAAAAAAAAAAAGAGAAAAATCAGAAGTTGCAGTAGCACAATTTGACGTGTGCTAATTTTAATTTTTCTTTTAAAATGTTTTCGAACTCTTTTTTTTTTTTAATAGGAAAATATTTACTTCCATATATTAAATATGATATTACACTCCCCAATAGTTGATTGCCATTTTAAAAAAGCAGTCACTTTTAATACCATTTTTATTAATGAAAAGACATTCATACCCTTATTTATACTAATTATTATAATTAGATTCATTTGGTCTATAATTGTTTTTTTCAAAATAGTAATACAAAAATTAAGTAATAATAAAAAATAAATATTTATTTATTTATTTAAATTTATTATAAGGGAAGGATCATAATCACAGTGTAGCATCTACCATTTTGTGCCTTTTAGGACGGATTCTTCTTATCAATGTCACCTGCTCCTTTTATAAGTTTCTCCACATTATATACCCACCCTAAGCCTGAGCCTCAATCCTCCAGAGTCCAGATATTATATAAACTGGAAGAAGGCAAAAAGATAGCTTTCCTTACTTCTTATCAATGGAGAAGAACCGAATATGCAGGATCTGCAACAGACGTTTCGCCAATGGCAAAGCCATGGGAGGCCACATGAGATCTCACTTAGCTAAGTTACCCTTACCTCCAAAACCCATCTCATCACAACTATACCCGTCTCCAAAATCGCCGTCGCCTTCGTCATCTTCTTCTTTTAACTATCCTTTAACCGATCAAAACCCCATGCAGTCCTACCGATCCGTTAACCATGAACTCCCTTTCATGTCAAAAGCCAATCTTGCTAATGATGGAGAAAGTGAGACTGAGTCGTCACCCAGGAATAACAACCCAACTCGGAGACGATCCAAAAGACGGCGCAAATCGGCCGAGAAAGTAGCTGAATCGGTGTTGAAATCGGCTGAGTCACCAGAACAGGTAAGTTCTATATCCTCTGATTTTTTCAACGAGGAAGATGTTGCTATGTGTCTTCTTATGCTTTCGAGGGATAAACGGACAATAGTAAAACAAGTAGCTTATGATCATAGTTATACAATTCAAGAGTATCGCGACGAGATAGAAGACGAAGATGAAACTTTTGAAGATGATGATGAATCCTTTGGTCTGATTCATGTTGGATCTAATAAATCACAAGGCAAATATAAGTGCCAGACATGCAAGAAGCGATTTCGATCCTATCAAGCTTTGGGAGGACACAAGGCGAGCCATAAAAAGATGAAAACACATGATCTATACGTGGAAGGTAGCGGCAGTGGCAGCCGAAGTGGTGCGGTTATGGCTATTGATCAACCTAGAATTTTTAAATGCCCATTCTGTGATAAGGTGTTTGATTCTGGTCAAGCACTAGGAGGGCATAAAAAGGTTCACTTTTCCTATCTTGGAAATAATTGCAACTCTAATAATAATAGTGATACTAAGATTTCAGTTAAATTTACAGATGATTTGTTAGATTTGAATTTACCAGCTCCAGAGGATGATGGTGAAGTTAGTCAAGAGCTTTCAACACTTTCCAAGGCATATCATCTGAGGAATTGATGCATGGAAAGGAGGTTGTTTGATGCTTAGCATGAAACACAGCCGTGTATAAGTTTTTTTCTTAATGGGTTCTTGTGCATATGTTGTTTTCTATTGTCTTTTTAAACTTTATACATTGGATTAATGTTTTGAATTAATTTGGAGAATTTACCTTTGTTAAATCTTTTACTTAATATCTCTATTGCATGTTGGTGAAAAGCACAATTATTTATTTGGTAAAAAAGGGTGAGTTTGGTGCACATTTAGATGTAAATAACTAATAATTCATTTGAATAATGATATTTGGTAGAACTGTATATTACCATATCAGTTCTATTATAAACAGTAAGAGTTCTGTAGTTTCATATGAATAAGTTACAGTGAAGATATCTTGTTTGCTTCCCTATCCTGCTGCTTTTAGCTAACCGTTTTTTCCTAGTTTCACTCGTAAAAAATTTCTACAGAGAGGAGTCCATCAAGGCCTTTCTCTTTTTGTATGGATACTAGAATTAGCTTATACTTGTCATCTTTGCCTGTAACATGTTTCGTACAGTTGGTGAACAAGTCAAGAAAGCATATTTCCTTCTTATCTTCCTCATTTTGGTTCCCTCTTTAGGGTTTTGGTATTTTAGAGTGCAAATATTGTCAAAGCAGAATGCATATCCAATCAGCCAGTACCATTTCATTTATTTGATTATATATATATATATATTGGATTCGATCTAATGAGTGGTGAAGAGCCTTAACTGCGATTAAGTTTTAAGCTGAATTAAATAATCCTGATAATTGAGTCTAAATATCCCAATATTTGTGGTTTACACAAAAAATAGAGTACACAAAAAAAAAGTTAAATTAACCGGAGTTCGAAGTGAGCTATACAAGCTATATCATTAAATAAGCTTTCAAAATATGCATTCCCATATTCATAGAAGAAACATAAAAAATTATATATATTTTTCGGTGTTATTAAAAATACTTTCGTTTGAATTAAAAAATTATTTTTAATTGATTTGATATATAGAGGGGAGTCCATAGACAGGTAATTCTTTCCTCCCTCTAACTAGTTATACATTGGCTGTGGTTAAAACCAAATTAAGGAATAGGCTTTTTTCTTTTTTTTTTTTTTTTTTTTTTTTTTTTTTTTTTTTTTTTTTTTTTTTTTTTTTGAAAGGTGGGATTATGGCTATTTGAATGAAGCAAATATAATGGGCTAAAAATGACAAATTTATAATAAGATAATTGAAGATTTTCTAAATGCAGTTACATATATTTTTTTTTTTTTTTTTTTTTTTTTTTTTTTTTTTTTGAAAGGTGGGATTAGGCTATTTTGAACGATATGGATAAAAATGACAAATTTATATAAGATAATTGAAGATTTTTCTAAATGCAGTTAATATATTGTTGGCCCCAACAAAAGACCATTGACCATAACACAAAGAAAGGATTCCTGTTTAGTCTACAACAAATTTGTTAGTTTCTTAAATGCATATCAGGATTTTTTGGACACATGTTTAGAGTTAGGTTTTTTCTGTTGCTGTGATTCAGTCCACTTTAGAGCCCAGATAATCTCTATGGATTCTGATTAATTCAAAGAATCAAGCCTAGATGTGTATTTATAATGGGCTTATGCTGGTGAGCCCACATGTGAAACCTAAGAGGCCCAAAACGTTTTTGCAAATGTGAACCCTGCGGATTGCCAATATATGGACGCTTGGTTTCATTTTTTCATCAATTTAAACGTATATTATAAATATATATATATATATATTTTTAACAATTAATACCCTAAAATTCACTATAGTTAATCAGAATTTGCCTGAAGAAGGGACTATATAGTAATTTAATTATAATGCATTCAGTACTTGTAAGATATAATGATATATACACACGTGATACGTATTTTATCAACACCAAATTACCAATTCCCAAATTAACACGCAATTATGATATAAAATTGAGTGCAAGATCCCGACATATCATTATTAATTGGGGCTTTGTAAGTCAAAATCATAAATAAATGTCAAATGTCTGATTATGGTTTGACGAAAAACGACAAAAAATAATAACGAATATTAAAACTCCACGTCGTGGAAGCCTTGACGTGAATCCATGGAAGAGAGTCCTTTCCATTGACAATTTGACATCCATTTCTGGTCTTCTACTCGACGTGCCATCAACTTCGTTACTCACTGACTATATATTTTTGTTAGTAAAACCATGCATATTCACGTCATTCAGCTCTCAAATATATTAATTCTTGAAACCTGCTCAAGAAATTAATGGAATACCCTCTTACGCGCCGAAACCCACCCACGCCGACTCCGCCATCACCACGCCTCGTTCGAAGCAGAAGCGGATCTGAAAACAATTCAACATCTATAAACTCTAGCCAAAGATTCACTAACCGATCAAAATCAACCACCAGATCATCAAGAAACATTCCAGACCAAGAGAATGTAATTCTAAAGAAGCCTAATAATCAACAGAGTGGTAGCAAGGATGGGTTTGTTAGGTTCTTGCAGCTTGGAAGCCCACGCTATTCCCCAGCAACTAATAAGAGGTCAAAAATGGCACCAAAGTCTCCGTCAGCTTGGGCGTTATCGCCGGGAAGGTCAATGTTTAATATGTTTCCGCCGGATTCCCCAGCTGTGCTTGGTCGAGAAGTAGATAAAGTCAAAGGTACCCGCCGCGGTGGTGGTATGACCGGTGTTTTGAAGTATTTTAGGCAAAAGAGACTGTCTACGGTACAAGAAGAGGAGTATCGCAGGTTTAGGGTTTTGCATAATAGGCTATTGCAGTGGAGGTTTGCTAATGCAAAGACTGAGGCTAGTCTGGCCGCTGTAAAGATAGTTGCAGAGGTAATTAATTATTAATTAAGCCCCATTTTTTGAATAAATCATACATAACGAGACTCCTAAAAACGACATCGATGTTCAAATCATTCATGAAGTAAGTCTAATCCATTATTACGGTGTGTATATATATATATATATATAATTAACTACTGATATACATACTTTTTATCTTTTCAGGATAGGTTATTCCATGTTTGGCTTAGAATATTCAATGCAAGGAATACAATATTGGAAAAGAGAATCGAGATACAAAGAGTGAAGCACGAGATCAAATTATTTCAAATCATTAACCCACAAATGAATATGCTCAATGATTGGTCAAAAATAGAGAGAAAAAATTGTGAAGCAGTTGGCAGAGTAACAAGAAAATTATCAGCCTTGACTCTCAAACTCCCTTTAGTAGAAGAGGCTAAGGTATCTTATCACTTATATAATTTTTTACTTCAGCTTCTTTCTTTATTGATGGATTTTTTTTTTTTTTCTCTTCAGGGAGATGTGGAATCCATACATAAAGCTATGCGTGCAGCAGTGGAAGTAATGGATAACATGGAAGCCACAATCACTAAATTCCTCTCAGAGGTTAATAAATAAATTTCTCAATCTATATTCTTACAATAAATTAATTTATTATGAACTAATTAAGATATTAGGCTATACTAATTAAATATGTCAAGTAAATAACACAATACAAAGTATGCTTTTTGTGACTTAATTTCATGTACAGCAGGTGGAAAAAATTCTTTATCTGCTTACTGAGCTAACAAGCACACTAGAACATCAAAAGGAGAGTTTGATGGAAATGGAGACCATAGTAACATTGCTTGCTAAATTATTGGTGAGCAACTGCAGCAACTATCTCCTCTGATTTTCCTATCACATTCTCAATCTTTTTTTTCACAAGAATTATCAAATGAAGACAGCTATAGTTTGAGCCCCAATATATATACATTTGAATCAGACCCAAATACTATTTTTTATCTGTATCATATAATTTTCTTTGCCCAATTTTAGATTTCAAACATGTGAGCCCTGCCCAAGAAATTTAGATTGGGTAAAAAGTGGAGGCTGCTCCTCTCTTAGCCCAAGCAAGATCACTCCCAGCCCAAGAAAATGATAATTACTAATTTTTGGTAAATTTATGAACTTTTTTTTTTTTTTACAGGAATGGGAGAAAAGTATTAGAGTGCAGCTGATGCAAGTAGTCAGAGAATCAAGAAACGAACAGAGTCTCTGAAAAATAAGAACCACATTTTTTACAATCAAATCAATTAATAATAGTAAAAGGATACTAAAAACACTTGTGCATTTTAGTAGAAGAATGAAGAATCTTGTGGAGGATGTGTAGAGACAGGCTCACAGCCCAATTCCTGCAAGGGTTGGGTCCCTAAATTTGGAAAGAAAAGGGTCCATCTTGATGTGTAATTTGAATGGACCCTCTATGTTTTCAGGGCACCTAGGCCTAAGCAAGAGGAATCAAAGGGAATAATTGAGAATTTTTTGGACACTTTACCCGTTGAACCTTGAATGTGACATGGGAATTAACAGAAGATTATTCACCACCACAAGTGTACGAGTCTGCTTCTAGTGTTTGGTTCGATTCTGTCCTAGGTGGGTTTGAATGGCCTGGTTCAGATGCAAAATGTCGCCCTAATAATTTGGGGGTTGTCTTTTGCCGGCTTCAGGTTTTGACCCCCTCTGTTCTTTTCTTGTACCTACATCTGTTTAGTACATTCAAATTAATTCAAATCTACCTTTAGGTACCAATCCAAGGCCTATGATTAATACGATTAGTTTAATACTTGAGAGATGCTTTATATGTATAATGGCAGCATACATATAAAATCCATTTAGTAGGCTATAATTAAGAATATCCAGCCAGCCTGGATAAAGGGGGTGCGCATCCTAGAAAGTTATTGTACTTTGACAAAATTATTCTTAACATTGTACTTTCAGAACTGTGTCTTTTGTTTAATTTGTGCTAATTTTCCATTAGTTATGCTTAATGTGAACAAACTAAGCACTCAGTCACTTTTAGTTATGCTAGGCAAGTATTAGTATTTTCCAATTTAAATAAAAATTGTTTTTCTTTTTTGCGGATTCGAGATTTTTAAAGAAAAGGGTAATTATAATTTGAATAATCACTTCACATGGTTAATCATGGAAATATTGCTTCAATGGATAAAATAATAATGGTCTCTTTTCTTTTTTAATCTTATAATTATCAAATTCCAACAAAATTTCTTTAGTACCACATCTTTAAATTTGGAATTAGAGGGTGATTTGTATTAATGTATACTCCCTTTGGTACCTTTTTATGGCAAGTTCTGGTCTAAGAAGGATTGTCCTTCTCATGATTTCAAATTTTCCCACTTTTGGCCCACTCACCATTTCATATTCCACACTAATAATCATTAACACTCCAATTTAAGTGTCAATAACAAAAGTTATGTCTCAATATTTAAGTAGCCTGAAAAAAAAAAAAAAAAAAAAGAAAAAGAGAAAAGAAAGAAAAAGGAAGAACACTTGAAAATTTCATTGGAAATAAAATAAAGTAAGAAAAATCACATTCTCCTAAAACCAATCCCCCAGCAAAATTTGAAAATAAACGCAGAAAAAAAAAAAAAAAAAAAAAGAGAAGAAGAAGGTGAAGCAGTAAAGAAAAAAAAAAAAAAAAAAAAAAAGAGAAGAAGAAGGTGAAGCCAGTAAAGTAAAATTGATCATATTAACATTCCACGGTAGGCTTTTGTGCACCAGCAGTAATTAAGTCATCACCTCCTCCAACACTAACTACACTTCCTGGCAATTTCCTCTTGGGCTTAGCTTCTTGCAGCATCAATACAACATCCCTCATGGATGGCCGGTCTGCCGGATTCCGGCTAGTGCATAAAAGTGCAATTCTAAGCATTTGCATCATTTCTTCCCTGACGGATGCTATTGATGCTCCTGCATTCTTGTCCAAAATGTTATGAACACCATCTTTACTCTTTATCTTAGACCTTACCCAATCCACGATGCTATTACCGTCCCCAAACTCAGCATCAACTGATCTTTTACCACAAATAATCTCCATTAACACCACTCCGTAGCTATAAATATCACTCTTCTCATCAACCTGTAGCGTATACGCATATTCTGCAAACAAAAAGATACAAACATAAGCAATGATGTAAGTATAACTCAAAACTAAGAACAAATTGTCAAAAATATAATCGATTAAAGGATCTACATTTTCTAGGGTGGGGTCCATTTGTATTTATTTGATTCTTCTGACAAAAATAGACAAGAAAAAGAAAAAAAAAAAAGGAGGGACTGAAAGAAAATCAAATAACAAGAACAAATCAAAAAAAGAAAAAAGACAGTCACAGTTCAAGCCTAATAGTGCGCCATGCGCAAGAATAGTTGATGAATTCGCGGCGCGCCAAAAAGAATAAATGACATGCGCTGTAGTATTAGCCCTGTTTTTGGAACAGAACAAACTAAAATATGTATACTTGCTTTACCAGAGAAAGAAAAATCAATGGATGGTTGTTTTTTTCATACTTAAAATCAAGAAAATAACCCATCAAAAGAATATTTCTGATGGTACCAATACTATAATCCGTATGATGCATGCACTATAGATAGTGGAATTGGATTTGATTTCATCACGCAACAAAACGAACTAAAATGAACAGAAACTAAAAAGCAAAGGTGGCCAAGAATAAGAACGTGACAATCCTTGCTACAGTTTACGAATAAGCCAAGATAATAAGATATCAACTGAGGGAAACAATGAAAACAAGATACATTGAAGGCTGAAGAGAATTCTGTGATTTCTACAATTAGATTGGTTAAATTCTTTAAGAATATGATAAAATTGCCATAAAAGCCAAACAAAAATGCAAGTAGACGAAGCTTTGATGACAGAAAGAAAAACAGTACTCACCAGGGGCAATGTAACCATAAGATCCGGCAATTACAGACATTGACTCGTCGCTTTGTATCAATTTGGCAACCCCAAAATCCGCCACTCTAGCCTCCATCTCACCGTCCAACAGAATATTACTAGGCTTCAGATCGCGATGCACGATGACAGGATCACAGTCATGGTGAAGATAGCATATCCCTTGAGCCACTCCTAGTGCTATCTTATGCCTTGTGAACCAATCTGCCACTAAATTTTCTCCCTTATTTTTACCATGCAATAGATCTTCTAAATTTCCATTTGGCATGTACTCGTACAGTAGCATTGTGCATTCCCTGTTGCTGCAGCACCCTAACAATCTCACTATATTCCTATGCCTCACGTTTCCCAATACGTCCACCTCAGCTAAAACCCCTCTTCTTCGTCTGATATTCTCCTTATGTTTGCCCCACAGCTTCTTCACCGCTATGATCTCGCCACCTGGCATTTCAGCCTTGTACACTGTACCTGTGGATCCCATCCCTATGATCTTATCGGTCATGGATAGACACTCCAGCACATCGTCAGCCGTGAAATTCAAGCGCTGAAAGGCGGTTAATTTCCACGGTCCGATCTCGCGCTCCTCGTTGAATTTGCGGCTATAATTGGCGTGGAAGCACCTGGTACCAGCGACGAGGACAAATAGCCCGATACCGAAAGCGGCTGCCATGATCCATACGATTGCACCGGCTGTCTTCTTCGGCTGTTGCTTACGGTGGACCTCAACTTCGCCGGCTGCTAACGTGTCCGCTGCGCATGGTTTGGCTAAAACGCGACCGCAGAGTCCATCGTTGCCGGAAAACGAAGACGGATGCAAGTTCGGAAATATCGTTCCAGAGCCAGGAATTGGTCCCGTTAAGCGATTAAAGGACACATTGAAGCTCTCTAAAGTGGTGCAGTTGTCGAAATTTGAAGGGATTGAGCCGGTGAGAAAGTTATGAGAAAGGTCGACGTCAGTGATCGCAGGAAGCGTAGATATTTCCCATGGAATTATGCCGTTGAGGGAATTGCGGCTCAAATTCAAACAAAGAAGCTTCAAGCAGTGGCCAATATCCCAAGGAATGGCGCCGCTCAACGAATTATCTTGCAATTCAATTTTATACACGTTGCTGCACCCGATAAAATCCGGAATTTCGCCAGTAAGATTGCTTGAACTAGCCGAAAATATTTGTAAATTCGGCGCGCTCCATATGTTAGTTGGCAATTTACTGTTGAACGAGTTCTCGGAAATGTTCAAGTATTGTAACTGCTGAGCATTGCCAAGATCGTGAGGGATTTCGCCGGTGAAGTTGTTCTTGCTTAGGTCCATGAAAGTTAAATTCCGCAAGAGCCCGAAACCATATGGAATTGAACCGTTAAGTCGATTATCTTGCATTCGGAACCTGGATAAAGAAGTACAATTTGCTAACGATTCTGGAAGACTTCCAATAAACTTGTTGGAAAAGAGTATGAGCTTGAATAGCTTGTTTCCTTGACAAAGATTTGGTGGAATTGGACCATTGAGAGAGTTGGACGACACATCTAGCCACTGTAACTTGCCATTGGAGCCGAGCTTTTGAGGGAGAAATCCTGTTAAAGAGTTGTTCCAGAGACATAGGGTGTCAAGATTCGGTAGCTCACCAATTCCTTCTGGTATTACGCCGCTAAATTGATTTTTCATCAAGCTAAGCCTTGTTAGCTCTTTCAGAGATGAAAATTCCACTGGAATTGTGCCCGTGAGTTGATTATCAGACAAATCAAGAACCTTTAGAGCTTTTAAATCTGTAAAACTCAGCGGAATTTCACCAGTAAACCGGTTCTGGAAAAGTAACAGCATTTCGAGTTTGGTTAAATTTCCAAGTTCTTGAGTGAGATTACCGGAGAGAGAACAACCTGAGATATCCAGGTACCGTAGATTAGTCAACAATGCGAACTCCTCTGGTATTCTCCCTGTTAACATATTGTATCCAATCTCCATCCGCTCAAGCTGGCTCAAGAGTCCTAATTGTTGTGGCACTGGCCCTTCCAACGAATTTCCAGCTAAGCCCAGAAACTTCAATCTCAAAAAACTACCATATTCTACCGGAATCTCTCCTTCAAAATAGCTTCCGGTGAGGTTGAGCCGCTCCAAGGAGCGTAGAGAGACGAACTCTGTTGGTAGCGGGCCGGTGAAATTGTTGCTGTATGCATCGAAGATTCTTAAGAACTTGAGCTTTGAAATTCCAGGTGGAAAGGTTGAATTAAAGCTGTTGTGGCTAATATCAACCGTCCTGAGCTCAGTCAGTTCAAAAATAATTGATTGGAAAGGCCCATCAAAAGCATTTCCGCTCAAATTTAAGTGAATCAAACTATTCAAGTGGCGAATTTCATCTGGAATCACACCGGAAAGACGTCGACGAGAGAGATCAAGCGCTATAATTTGAGCTGTTCTTGGGTCACATTTGATGCCAGACCATGAACACCAAACAGGGCCTTTAAAACCAGGCTTATTGGAAGATGGTTTAGTAGGATCCCAGTCGCGAAAAGTGTCTGAAGGGTCTAAAAGAGAGTATTTAAGGGAAAGAAGAGCACGGAGTTGAAGAGGCCGAGCAGTAGTAGAGAGGACTGGTATGAATGTTTGGAACAAGTAGAAGAAGGAGAATGTTAAACAGAAAAGGAAAGGAGGTTTCATGGTTATGGGGAAGTGGGGATTTTGGTTGAGAGATACTTGATGTTAAGAGAAGTAAATTTAAGGGAAGAGAGGTTTTGATGGAGAGAGATGATACTTTTTGAGAGTGCTGGGTGCAGAGGGTGTTTCATGATGATTGTTTTGCTTCAGTGGGTTTTCTTGGTGGGCATGAAGAAATATGAATTTATGAGAGAGAAAATTCAAGAAAACCACCCTCTCTCTCCTCTTTCTTTGCTACTACTACTAATATCTATATCTACAGTCTCTCCTCTACAGCTTTTCCATCCTTTGTTATGCTGAGATTAAGAGAGAACTTTGTTTTCTTTTTCTTTTCTTTTATATATATATATATATATATATATAAATATTTTCTCTCTCACTTACCAGTATTTTCCCTTTGTCTGGCTCTACCTAAATACTTTTTGTTTTCTTGGATTTCTTTTTCCTTCTTTTGTTTCCACTTTTCATCATTCCTTGTTTCCTTTATCTTTGGCTAACGAAATGGTAAAATATGTGTAACAGCGACAATGGCCCTCACAGGATCCAAGAAAGTTATCTCTATTTCCCACCATATTCTTATAAATATATATATTTTTTCTTCTGTAAAAAAATTGTTTTCCTATTTTTCTTTCCCTTTGTATTTCCCACCTAGGATTTTCAGGTGAGAACCTTCCTGAGATTAGTAGGTTCATGGACCACTCTCCTTATAAGGGAATAATATGGATCAACGGAAAATACTCCCTCCTATTCTTTATCAACCATTTGAGTAACTGGAACATTATATATGAGATCTATTAATTTGGAGTTTTGCTTTTCAAAAAACAGCAATCAGGTTAAAAAAATCACAAGTAATTGCCATACAATTGTTAAAAAGAACAAGATAATCATGATTATTGAAAGTATTAACTTTAAATTGATTTTTTCTTGGAGGAGTATTATTTATGAAGCGAATGAAGGTTAGGAACATAATCTGAAACGAAAAGCTTACAGATTTGGTTGATTTAGAAATAACTTATGATATTTTTCATAATACTTAATGTCAAAAAAAATATTTATGAAAAATTTAATCTTCGATTAATAATGAATAATTGTTTTCAAAATATAGAAAAAAAATTTGAGAACCTCTAACAAAGTGAAATTATAAATAAATAAAACATTAACAATTCTGAAAGCTGCAATCCACGTCAAATTCTGATATAATGAACATGAAAAAAAAAAAAAAAGGAAAAAACATGACACACTGAACAAGGTAGATGATTAGTGGACTGTCACAATTTATGTTGAAGAAGAAGAAGAAGAACGAGATGATGCAACGAATTTACACATCGCATGTTCTTTCTTTTAACAAATTGGCGCGGGAGTTTCAAATTATGTAAATTGCCGAAAATATCCCTTAAGTGTTCAGTAGTAGTATGAACAGTAACAGAGAATCAGAGACAGTAGTACAGTATCATATTGTCCAACAAAAATTCCATATCATTTGTTAATTTGGAATTAGTATGCCAGAGAATATACAATTACGGTTTTGCTTTTGCTGTGATGAGTCGGTTTGACTTGTGCAAAAGCTTTACCATCGTTACCATTTGTATAATTAATGTTGCAATTAAAGTACTTCTTAAGATAAGGACAGAGATTGATCTACTATTATCCTTCCTCTCTTTCTTCCTTTTTCTTTTTTTTTTTTTTTTTTTTTTTTTTACAGGAGGAATTGAATCTATATTATCCTTCCTCTCTTCTTCCTTTCTTGTTTTTTTTTTTTTTTTTTTTAATTGTTAAAAATCTTTTTTTTTTTTTTTTTTTTTTTTTTTAATTGTTAAAAATCTATGTCTTGGCGTACTTCCATCCGACATCTTTTTCCCCATTGTTATCTGTGATACCGATGTATATACTTTATATATTTTATCAAGCGTATTCAAAATGGTGTTTAAAATATTTAAAATTTATTTATTTAAAATTATATTTGATAGATTTATGGAGAGGAAAAACGCTATTTTAAATTTAATATATAAATATATTATAAAACGTTATTAGTATCTCTTATTTTATTTAAATTTTACAATTTAAAAGTAAATGGCTGGATGATTTAATTTATATATTTATAACGGAGTGATATATCATTTAGCTTTTGGTTAAAATTAATTAAGCTTACTCATAAACATGCAATAATAAGTCATGGGGACGGTTGGCCAAACAATGATAATCCTGATTTTAGAAGTCTAATTGTTGCAACTATAATGACAAATTATGATTAATTTGAGCTACTCATTACAAGATTTCTACCATAATCATCTTTTTTTTCCATAATTTTTAAAAAGAATTAGGGTGAAAGAAAGACAAAATTAAACATGATTTTCAAATAAATGCCAATCTTGATGTAGCTCATAAGCTACGCAAGCTTTTTTAGCTTGTAACTGATTTATCTATACTCAAAATCAAATTTAAATCTGAACTAATATTTTTTTTTTATATAATTTGTGATTTATAATGAAATTGTAACTGAAATATATTTGAATAGTAGCACTGCTTATTGCATAAAATGTAATAAAAATATATCTTAAAAAAAAAAAACAGTAGTATGGTAAAATTACTGGTGGATTTGTGAAAGGAATGAAATGAAAGCGAAGCATTAGATCATATAATCCAACGGTCGTTGACAAATAAAAACAAACAAACAAACAGAATCCGAGTTAGAAGAAGCGCCACATAGATTCTGTGAGGACAGTTCCGTAGTGGAAGAATTACAAGCAAACCTTGGCTGACGTCACCCAACACTAACCGAATGTTTTTATTATTATAATTTATACTATTAAATTCTAAGAAAATTATTAAATAAAATACAAAAGAGGAGCCGTGTAACTACAGAAAGAAAAGGGCAAAAAAGGATAATGGAATTCTCTTTTTTTTTTTTCAGTTGAAGCGCAAGTCATGTGCAGTCGCCTTCGATGAGGGCATTACGGGAATTCGCATCCCGTATTACTTTACTTTGCACATGAAGCGCGTGCTGTATACTTTCATAATGCGGTAAAAGAAGATGTTAGATGTGCTACGGAACGGATGCTTTGTATGTTCTTGGAATTTTTCTTTTTTTTTCTGAAGCTAATTAAGTTATTCTCGTGGCGTTAAGTTATAAGAATAAAAAAAAAACTTCAATTCTAATGATTGAATTAATAATTTTAAATTGATAAAAAATTTAATTTGCAATAATTTTTTAATATCAAAATTATTACAAGGATAAATGTAAAAGATTCACTTGCATTAATTGAAGAAAAGATCATTAACTTGCCTATCTCCATTTTGAATTTGCTCCAAGGGTCTAATTATCATTTGATTTTATCACCAACTCCAAAAAAAAAAATTTATTTTTCACAAAACAACTGCCATAAACATCCAACGTTTTCCATTATTTTCTTTCTTCTATAATCACCTTCTCTTATTCATTTCCATATACATCATTGTCTATGATTTTTCAATATTACTCAATTTCTCTCGATTCACAGCTCATAAATCTGGAAAAAAAAATATTTTCTAATTATACCATTATATATATAGATAGATTTTGAATGCTTTACTTATTTACAAAGTAAAAGATGTTCAAAAAAAAAAAAAAAAAAAAAAAAAAAAAAAAAAAAAAAAAAAAAAAAAAAACAGGAATCAAAGTCTACCAGTAAGGCAATAGAGAAAAAATTTTATTTTTGAGTGATGAAAATAGCTAGATCACCAATTAAGGCTTTTAAATTATTGTTTAATAATAAAGGAGATAGGGTGTAAAGACAATCAAAAGGTTTGTTCATAAACAACCATCTTATCTTGAAAGAGTGCGTGTTGATTAAATATTTTATATTGAAAACGCAATCAATAAAAAACTGTGAGACGTAAAAAAATATAGATCGGAAACATTTCGCTTTGGAGTGAAGCAGAATATAAATTTAATTTCAAGGCAAATAATTTTTATTTTCAATTTGAATAAATTTCAAATTTAAGTCATTATTTTAGGGTGGCTTTTACGGTGTACAGGTTAAAATTATCCAATATATATATCCACAAAGGTATGGAACTTCAAAAGTTCTGAAACTGAAAGAGACATTCCAAACGTTTAAAGCAAAATTCCACGTCTTAAAGGCGCGTGGGGATACTACTGTATAAAGCAGCAAATTACGACAATACCCATTAGGAGTACTGCAACTTTAATTTAATTTAAACAAATTTCTAAATTAGGTTTATGGCATAAAATTCGTATTTATTTGCAATACTATTCCATATATTTAAGTCATTTTTTCTAAAAGCCATTCAAAAATAAAACTTGAATATTTACACTTTTGAAATTGCAAGCGACAATTCTGTGTTTTCTCTTCTTTATATAAATGAGCGCAGTGCGGAGTGCAGAGAGCAAGGCCAGAACTAGAAGGAAGGAAGGAAGGAAGGGTGGCCTGGCCCACGAGAGAGGGAGTGGCTAAGTGGGTCCGTAAATCGATTTGCCCCTTCGTACCCTTCACTTGTAACAGCCATTCCATTGGAGAGAAGAATTATATATATATATATATATAGGCATGCACGGCACGTGCCTGATGATGGATATGGTGGTATCGACTATCGCGTGACAAGCGTGACCCCACACAGCAACATATATGATGATGATTGCGAAGAGGAAGAAGAAGGAGCACGCCCCTTCCACCACGCCTCTCGCTTCATTTTGTCTCAATTTCCGCCCTATAATTCCTTCCCTTGACGCTTTTCTGATTTTTTTTTTATCATAATTCCTAAAGACAACATTATTTCACTGCCTTTTTTGCCCTTACCATCTCTATTTTTTTTAAAAAAAATATAATATAATCTTTAAAACAAATATAATTGATTTTCAAAACATGGAATAAACCGTTATAGCTAATAAAGTACTATAGAGATCATAACAAAAAAAAAAAAAAAAGAATTGGATGATGAACTTAATATACAAATAAATTATTGCTTTGATTCTGTTTCTATATGATAATTTATTTTGAGAATATCACTTTTAATTTTGTGTTGTTAAATGAAATAAATGTGCAATATCGGTTTTTATTAATTAAAACTTCAATATAAATTGAAAAAAATATGTCCTCCTTATTCAAAATCTTCATGTTTGAATTCTATTTTAACTTTTTGAATAAGGAGCCTTTTATAGGAACATCAAAACTTATTCTTAGGCAGCATCATTAGAATATGATAAAAAAAAACATTTAATTTACTTTTAAGTCATAATTTGTAATGGATTTATCATCTAATTAATCAAGTATAATTAAAAAAAATCAT